ACTTAGGCAATGCTTTACAGAGGTTCAAAGTTAACAGATCGAAAAGGAATTTCCTGGTCCAAACAATCTCACCTACATATGCATCATACAATTCATAGGTTCAAAATCTACCATAAAAAAACATTAAAGTATAGATTCATTGTATGGAGATTATTTCCTTATAACGTTTATTACTGTTAGGATTGACACGATTATCCTTTTTTTTGCAGGGGACCAAATTATAAGGGTGATGACTTAGCTTTAAATTCTACATGCAGTTTAATGCTTGTCTCTGGAATTATGACTTATTGTGTTTACAGAATGAACTTCCACATCGGCTGCCAGGAGGAGAAACTGCCAAAGGGAAATAACACTCAGGAAAAGCTTACAGGGGCTTTCAGATGGTGCACAGAAACCAGTTCACATCATACATTTAAACAACATGATCACAATACAAAGACAAGTAAGATGTTTCATATTTATCTGGATCTAACATGCACTATTGATGAATGGAAATTTTGCTTATGAACAATAACAGATAATCATTATAAATTGGAAGCAAAGTATAAGATAAATAAAAGAGCAACAAAGAGAATCACATTATAAGAATAACTTAATATGTCCATATGTTTAAGGATTTTTGTTACTACAGTTTTTTTTTTTTATTTCATAATAATAAACTTGATGTACATACCAAAGCCTCGAGTCCATGTACATGTAGATGTTTTATGTGTTTTAGTTGTTCTTCTAAATTTTCTTGTTTTATTTTTTCTTCAAATTTTTGATTTTTCATGTTTTTTTATATTTTATATTTTCCAGAAATGTATATTTTTATTTCTATTTTGTATGTCTTTAATTTCCTCTCTTATTGTGCATTCTAAGCCAAGAATCTTTGCAAAACTAATTATTATGATAATAATAATTACAATTATATAATGATAATAAAGATTCTTGATTCTTGAGGTTAAAAAACACAAAAGAACATACAGCAGTAACCAATCAACATTTCCCCACTTTCCTCGGGCTGCTCTCCTACAATTTCTTTTTAAGCATCAATCTCTGTACTGGATATTAAGATCTACAGGGAAGTGTCATCTCCTAGTTAGACCCTGTAATTCAGTGAAAGGGTGGAGTCAGAGTAAAAAAATATATACAAGAGGGGGTCACTCCAGTGGAGGGGATTTCGGTGGGATTTGGAGGGAAGTGGGCTGCCATTCGGCTGGTGTTTAACTATGAAGGGCCATTTTGAATGACTGCTACTGTAGATAAGTAATAAATATAACTGCATTTGCCAGTGCAACATCAGTGGTGCAGCAAGGCCCTCCATTGGCAGCCTGGAGCTGGAGAAGATGTAATCACACTCCTACTTTCCTTGCTGTCTGCCCTCCCATCCTTTTATATAAAGTCCAGTTTTCTGTTTTAAAAAATATATTTTTTTAAATAATTAAAAAAAAGCTTAAATGTTTAAGAAATGTCTCAGCTGAATTTGGTAGATATTTGATTTGATAATTTAACATCTAGAGTTGGTTTTGTCCAAATCTAGAAAGATTCTAGTCAATATTAAAAAGTACACTTTAAAAAGTGTACATCTGCTACAAGTCTCAACTTAAATACCCACTGATAACTCATAATGCCCTTACACTGAGCATTAAAAAAATACTCTTTTTATCATTTATTATTGTGGTTTCAAAAAGTTTTTTTGTTTTTCCAATTTTACATCTTTTTCAGCTTTTCTGTCAGGGTCCTCAGTTGGCTGGTGCCTTGAGCAGTCTATGAGCAAAATGCACTGTAAACCCTTGAACAGTTTTTTGGACTTTGGGGGGAAGCTAGAGTTCCCTGAGAGACCAGGAATTGAACCCAGGACCTTCTTGCTTGCAGTATGTCAATATTATGAGCTTTGTGGGCTTTAGTGGTATTGTGTCAGTGCTGCTTTTTTACTTTGCTGCAATCAACTCTTTTACAAACAGTTTGTTGGTTCAGCTTGGTATTTAAAAAAGTGTTATCACATCACTGCACATCTAAATTGTTTGACAAGTTTCTTTATAAAATAAATTAGTCTGTCAGTACAGTACAAATTAGTAAATATTTCATCATAGTTAACTTTAGACTCACTCCTTTTTGCAGTCATATACAGTTTGGGCTCTTTGATATTGTTAACGCAACATGACATGACATATTTGTTATACTCCTAAAATAAATCAAATCAAAAAGTTACTGAGCAGTTGTCAGCACATTCAGCATTTTAATTAACCAATTTACAGTCTGATCTTAAATACTTTTAGACAAGGTGTTTTTCTTCAAAGTAAAAGCCCCTTGTCTGAATGAAACTAACAAATAGGTAATAAAAAGAATTTCTCATTTTAATGTAAGAGCATGTAGAAGATGTGCGCTTTTTAAACTAATCAATCTAGACTAGAATAGCTCCCTTAAGGGAGCAGTGCTGCCACTGTGCGGTACCTGGGGAGCAGTGTTAAGGGTCTTCCTCAGGAACCAAGAGTGGAGGCTGTGTGGATCAGACAGGGGACTTAGAGCACAAGTGCACTGCTCCAACCACTAGGCCAACACTCCCCTAAAACCATTTGGACCCAAGGAATGTCTCTATTGAATCAAATATCTAGTAAATTCAGCTGATTACATTTCTTACTACATTTCTTAAGTAGAAAGTGTTTCTATATATATTATAACAAAACAGAAAACTGGACTTTTTATAACAGGGTGCGATGATAGACAGTGGTGAACATAGGAGCGTGATGCTTCTTCTCCAGCTTGTGAAAAACTTTGCTGGAAATCTCTGCTGCCGGTGGAAGGCTTTGCTGCACTACTGGCGCTGCACTGGCAGGTTCAGTTAAACCAAATTTACTTTAATAAAAATAGACATATTATGGACCCAATAGTTTTTACATCAAAATTATGTCAAGCTAACTGGGATGAAACCTTCACTCTAACTATTTTTTAGCACCATAAACCATGAACCACAGAAATGGTTTGTTGGCTGGGTTCCAGCCCTGTGACTTTCACTGAGTTCTGTTCTTTAAAACACATTTTCTTCTCCTCTGTGCTGCTTTGTCTCGACACTTCCACACTCTAATTAAATCACTTCACCCATCTGTTCACCCTTTGGCCCTACCTTTCATACCTTGTAAAACCACTGGGTGTTGCACTTGAGCAACAGCATCTCTGTCTTAAATAGCTGAAACTGAAAGTCAACTCAGGCCATAAGGTGTGTAACAAACAGAGCAATTTGACCTGATATTGTCTTTTTATTACAGGGAGGCTGAAATAAGGGCAGAGATAGCAGCAGGAATAACACCATAACTTTAAATAGAGGGAGTTATACTGTTTTTCTGCAAGGGTTCATCACTTACCTCACTGTTGTCCACCAAAGTCCAGAAGTCTTTGAAGTAGCTTTGCATTTTAAGACTTCTAGATGTCAAAAAAGTTTTTCTTCCTTTTCTTACTGAATTTCTTTAGATCAGAGAGGGATATGCCACCTTCTGGATTTTTAGCCTAATTTGTGTTACCATACAAATAAATGACCCATGATTACAAATCTTGGAGTAATAAGTCCTCTGATGTGGCTTGTCAAATTTATTTCTTAAAGGGGGCATTTAGGTTTTACATACGACCAGTTTTGTTTTGTTGGGGATTGTCCTTGAAATGCTCACTGGAGAACATCTTTTTGTTTACTAACGATATGTTGGCCTAATTAAATAATGGATTTAATCATTCGAATTATTTAGTCACAACAAAAATGGAAAATCAAACAAGCAAAATTGTGCTAACAGAATCATACTGTAGGCTATTTAAAAGCAGGAGCTTGATCACCCTGACCTAAAAAATGTAAAGAAACTGATGTATTTCTTTACTTTTCAAATTATTTTAATTGACCAGTACTTAGAAAAGTTGTTGTCTTTGAGATGTCGACTAACTGTTAAGTCTTGAATGAATGAGCTGGGTCACTTGTGTTCTGCCATTTGTTTGTGCAGCTGTTGTTCTGCCTCAACAGGACTGCATTCTTTGCCATAATAGAAATCATAAACCTTTAAGCACAGTTTGTAATGTCAGTGGAGTGAATCACTAGTTTCTGTATGATATTAGACCAACAAACTGAAAATATACTTATGCTCACTGATAGGAAATTGATCTTTTTCATGAAAGCCCAGCTGTGTTCGCATCACATAGTTTAGTCATTTTGGAATTGTATGGTAGCTTGTCTTCTTTTAACATTTATTGTTTACATAAAAATCACATCACAGGCTTAAACTGAAAGGCAACCAGAGTTACGCTTAGTTTTTTTAGAAGACGTTTCGACACCATGGATAGGTGTCAAAACATAAAGAAAACTGAGCAAAAGTCCAGTTGATTCCCATTTTAAGCCTGTTTTGTGGTCGCCAGGACCCGAATGACAGAGAATTTACACAGGCACATATACATAAGAATAATGTTTTCCAAAAGTGCAAATACAGACTTTTGAAGATCTGAGTTATGAGATGTAAAGTGAATTATGACTTGTCACTGAGAACAATTCGAGCTGTATGTTTATTTTGAGCTTGGAAAAGTAATTTATTTTTAACAGGTAGCATAACTCATACGGACAAAACAAAGAGTTTTAACTTGCACTTCAGCTTGATCCAATGTGATTCATTTCTCTTTCTCATGTCAGATGCAGTTGGTGAATTGCTCAATCAAAGCCTTTCCATCCAGACTCAAAATATTGTTGCTACTCTTGAGAGTTTTGCTGATAACTTATTTATGCAAAAAGGTTACCACCCTAAAGCAATGCACTAAAAGTGGCATTACTCATTTGTCCCAGCTCTACATAATACCTCCCAATGCTGCATCATGCAGTAATTGACCATGTGGTTCAGGCCACAGCTGGCATGGATAGGGATTTCCCACACTAGTTTCTTCAAAAGCCATATAAGGGAGTGTGTCTCATACTGATGAGGTCATCAGTGATTGAATGGGCTCCCCTTTCATTTGCAGAAACAAGAGAGTGGGTGTGTTTGCCTCTGAGCAATAAAGATAGCTGATGGCCTGTAGATAGAGGACTCTGCGGCTAGCAGGAAGGCGTTCCAGGTTGTGCTGAGTGAGGTAAACTGTAGATTAGGAACAAATGTTGTGCAATGAGTATTGCAAAAAGAGGAATATCTGAAGAGGAACTGTGAACCCTTTGTAACATGAATCCTGTGAAAGAGAGGCAAGAAAGACTTTAAACGCATGGATCGGGAGCTGTTTCAGATGATCTTTAAAAGTATAAGAAGAGTGGAAACACATTAAAAAGAAGAGCAGACAACAACAAAAAAAAAAAGGCTGGGCTCACCCAACTCTACACCGAGAATCGAGTGATTCAGCAAGATGGGAAAATCAGGTAAGTTGAAATTGCTGCCTGGTTATTACACACATCATTTCATTTCTTTATGCTTGGTTTGATTCCTCAAATTTACAACATTCCAACACAGAAAAACACAAAAGTGCATGAGCATAGTTTGATAATGTTGAAGTAGTACTGTAAAGTAGAGCAATAGAAGGATACAAACCTGCAGTAAAAGCTGTGTTCCTTCTCTTAAATTTACCATCTTTAACTGCTTTAATTCTCATTAGATAGTTGATAAACAATCACAGAATCTCTCCTTTGTATAAATATCTGAATGGGTCTATTATTTTAGGACTGGAGATTTTGAGAGTAATGAAAAGCCCAGTGAGTGGTAGGCACTGAGTGGCTGTGTGGAGCAGAGAGTGACAAAAGGGCTGATCTAGCTAATGTTTTCTTATTCATGGTATGAGGTCAGTCAGTCTTGTCATTTTGGCTCCAAGGTCACACACACTTCTGTTTTTAACACTCATGCATTAGCCTTAACACTCATACACCAGCCTCTGTTTTTATGCTCATACACAAGTCTCTGTGTTGTATCCTTGCATTCCTGCTCTAATCAGATGTCTTACTGCTCCTTTCTTTTTGTGCCACTCAGCCTCCAAGCAGTTTGCTGAAGAGGTGCTGCAGTGCCATAATGAGTACAGGAAGAAGCACCAGGCTCCCCCACTAAAGCTGTGCAGTAAACTGAGCAGAGAGGCTGCACGGTGGGTAATGAAACACACACACAGGTCATATTCTGCTATACTTATGGGGGATTTCTGATGACTGCTATTCATTTTCTAATCCAGACCTTATCCCTAATCCTACCCAGTAACACGTAAACCAAACCTAACCTAAATTTATTACTTAGTTTTAAATTTACCCCCTAATATCTAAATTTCTAAGCTTAATACAGGTGATTTGATAATTTGGCTGCAGCTTCATTAGGATGCTAAAATTAAACCAGCAGTAATAAGCCTAATTCAGGTGAATGAGAAGGCAAAACAGACCAACTTTTAGTTATTTTTCCTCTGGATTATATTTAGATAAGCAATTACTGCCATAGCGTGCAGATGCTTGGTTAGAGCAGTGCGCTTGTGCTCTGAAAAGGTTGCATAACTGGTTTGATCCCCACAACCTGCACTATGGGTCCCTGAGCAAGACCCTTAACCCCACACTGCTCCACGGGTGCCGCACAATGGCAGCCCACTGCAGCCCAAGGGAATGGGTTAAGATGCAGAGGTAAATTTCTGCAGTGTGAGAATTTTTTAATTTAATTGAATGCTTCATTTACAGAATGGCATAAGAATCCTTACATTTAGATGACGTTTGCTGTAACTAAACTTTAAAAACACTTTCTGTGTGCAGAAATCTATTTCTACTGTATTAAGATCTATGATTTAAAAGAAGTACAAAAAAATTTTGTGTCAAAATTTTTTTTTCCTTTTCTTTTTTTTTTTGGTTTTAGTTATGCTGAAAGTCTGGCTAGCACACGAATCCTGAAGCACAGCGTGGAGTCCAGCAGGGGGAGCTGTGGAGAGAACTTGGCTTGGGCTTCCTATGACCAAACTGGTAAATACAGCCGCAATAAAATCTTATTTTTATTAACCACTCCAACCACAGAGGCTGAAGCCATGCAGCATTTTAGATGTAACTTTGTTTGTGCTTTAAATATTATCCCTCTGATTAAAATCAAAAAACACATCAACCGGGTCAGTGTAGTATAGTAAGTCACCTAGAGTAAATGCTATGCACTGACATGCAGTTGATGTTGCTGAACAGCTGGACTCTATTTTCTCTCCACTTCAGACTATGACTCACTGCACAAATATGTCAGCAGAGGGAAATTATTGATAAAACAGTTCAGTACTTGTTGACATACTGTAAGAAGTGGCAACAGAGACCTCATGAGCCTAGGAAGTTGTCTCACAATGAGAGTTGGCATAGATTTTTCTGACATTTAGAAAAAGCAGTATTAATCTGAGTGACCTATTAACGGGTGTCATTTTTAAAAAATTCAATGCTGATTTAGGGAAGGATGTGGCAGATCGCTGGTATGAAGAAGTAAAGCAATACAACTTCAACCGTCCTGGATTCTCTAGTGGCACTGGTGAGATTCACACGTTTTTTTTTTTTTCTATCTCATCTCATATTTTCTTTTCTTAGTTTTCAACAGCTTGTTCGCCTGCAGTGTCGCTTTCTGTTTGCGTACTGTTTCTCTTGCTTTCTCTCAATGTCACACTCGTGTAAAAGCGTCACAAAGTTGGGCGCTATTTCTGAGCTAATGCCACTGTGTGACTTGGTATCCATCCAATGGGAAACTGAGGGAGATTCCAAAGTCATATTCAGAGCTCATGAAGCCACATTCCCCATCCAGTCTGCTCAAATTCCTCCTCATGGTTTCCAGATGCTGGAATGTGTGTTGGTGTAAAATAAATAGCACATAAGGAGGGTGACTATCAGAAATCCCAGTGGCTTGCACAAATTTATGTAGCATTTATTGCAAGAGAGGGAGGGGATGTAAACTGTTAGGGACATGGGTAGGGGTTCAGATTAATGGTGGACAAAAAAAAAAAACATCCACCTCTTGTAAATGTTTGGCTGAACCTAAGTGTGAGTACTCAGCTGCAGACATGTTTGAACAAAATGTTCTTCACTCTTGTTCCATGTACTTTTGTTTCTTTCAAGGTTTGATCTTATTTTTTTCTTTTTTTTATACCCTCAGGCCATTTCACTGCGATGGTGTGGAAGAGCAGCAAGAAGCTGGGTGTGGGAAAAGCCACAGCTTCCGATGGATCTTCCTTTGTTGTTGCAAGATATTTCCCAGCAGGGAATATTACAAACCAGGGACACTTTGAGAATAATGTCCTCCCACCTTAAACTGGCTCTTAGGACCTGTTGATCCTTCTGGACCCAAAAACATTTCTTCATATTTAAAGCTTCCTTTCATGCAGACTCCCTGGAGAAAACAGCAGCACATTTGGCTGAATAGAAAACCAAACTATGGGCTTGTAAAATTTTGAAAGGAATTTACCTTACCTTTTGACTGCAAAGGATTGTAAGGCAGAGTGTTCAAAGTACCCAGCAGTTTATTTGTTTACAACCATAGTTGTTTTGTATCATGAATGAGATTTTACCCTAAATTTGCACACTAACATATTTTTTTTCCTGTTTCCTGTTTTAAGTTTTAGTCAATTCAGAGAAAAGGTCACCAAAATGCAGACATTGCTTAAATTTGAAGCTGATGACTGCACACCCCTGGAATGTCCTTGTTGTTGCTCCTTTTTGTCCGTGAAGACGCTGCAGGCTTGTTCTGTGTATTCACACCCTAACACATTTCAGTTTGAGATGAGGCAACGTATCCGCGGCCCTGAAAAATCAGTTTTCTTTGGACTACACAAAGATTTTCTTTTACCATCAAGTGTGTTTCATTGTGTAAATATTAAAGATTTATGAAAAACCTTTAAAGCAAGTATATTAAATTGTGTCTCAAACAAAGAATCAAACTGATAACCTACCTTGCAAAAGATCAAATTCACTACCTTTTTTTTTTTTTTTTTACATTTAATCACCCTCAAATCCTGTTGTGTTTTTTGTGTTTGACCAACACAAACTATAACAAATATCTGAAATGGAAGGAAAAAGATACAGGGATTTCCATTATTTCTGCAGGCATGCTTTTTAGCCCCTGTTGCTCTGAGAACATAAAATCAAATCCTTCACAACTGATTTATCATCAGAATTCACCTAATTAGTAAGTAAAGCCCACCTGTGTGATTCAATCTATAACTTAACCTGTTCATTAAAGGCCTTAGAGGTTTGTCAGAGGACATTAACCAAGAGCGTAGTAGAAACACAGCAGACACAAGTCTATGGGAAGGAAGTGGGGAAATTTAAAGGAAGGTTACAAAACAATATTTGAAAATTACACAGAAATGGAAAAGAGCATGATATAGTTTCAATCCGACCAATCTGTGGCTGCCCATAACGGGGAGGGTAAAGAAACATGCTTGTTAAAAGCAACAAAATACTTAGGACTGTAGTAAGAGTTCCAACCTAACAGGATAATGGAGCCTGAAGGTACAGCCAGATGGTTAATGGAATTATCAGTCTGGAAACTTGGGAAAAGGAGCATTAATCTAGATTTAATCTACAATTTTTCTTTTTAAATTTCCAGTTCACAGTTATTAACTACTGTTTATCACACATAAATCACATTATTGGCTTATTTGTAGTTTAAACCTGGCAAAATGATTTTGTCACCATGTTTTGCTGTATGTAGCTCTGTTTTGAGTCTTCCTGGAAGAACAAGCCTTATTGCTTACAGAGTTCACACTGGAACTTTTCTTAGACTTTATTGAGCAGAGTGGGGATACAACATACAGCAGCAGCGATAGAGAAGAGTATGTGGTACTTGGGCTTTATAGGCAGGAGAAAGGGTGCTGGGAATCAACTGTCCTCTGTCTTCACATGGTCAGCTCCTATAATAAAAAAAATAAAAAATGAAAATAGAAGCAAGGCAGAAAAAAACAAGAAAAGCATGTAAGTAACTTAGCATGATCCTGTGCTGCCATCTAGTGGACATAGTACTTAACATTAAGGGGTTTCTCAGTGACAACAGTAGGATTCCTCATATTTGTCCTCTGTTCTCTCTTGTCAGCCTTCTCTTCTTCCCAGCCTGTTCCATGGCTATGACTCATTGTTTTGTTTGCCATTTACCCGCCCCCTCCCAGCCTGCCTTCCCTCCATCTCTCCTTTGTCCTTACCATAATAGCATTCACAATGTCGTTCTTGTTGTGTTTGAGTGCGCGGATGGCCTTGGCTCGTGACACATTGGCCTGAGCCATCACCAGTTCAATGTCTCTCTGCTCCAGACCTCCGTCATCCACCTGATTTGCAGAAAGGAACAATGTTGGCAATATTATATTTGATACAATATTTATTGCAACCCTGACTGTTTGACAGGTGCTGAAAAATAAAACTTTAGATTGTATGTACCTCCTCTTCCTCCTCTTCACTCTCCTCCTTGATGGTAAGGCTTGGTGGAGCAGGGGGAGCCAATGGAGAGGGGGAGACAGGCACCTTGAATTTCTCTGCAGCTGCTTTGTGAGCCTGCTGAGATAAGTCCTCAATCTGCAACAAATGAAGAATAGAACAGGATATCTGGATGCAGGTCCAAATTTAATGAAAATTCAAATTATCAGCTGGTTATTGAAGATATACCTTTGCCTCTCCAAATACGATATAAATATCAGACATAGGACTTTTGAAAACATCTGGCCTGCTGATAACAAACAAGATACTCTTGGACTTCCTGATCGTAATTCTGGTCACACCATGGACTGGCTTCAGACCCAGTTTAGACATGGCCTGTAGACAGAATACCAGAGTTAGGAATACAAATTAAACAATGCTTCTTTTGAATTTATTTATTAAAAATAAAAAAAATAAAAACATCTAACAAATCATATATAAACACTCAAAACACATCCTCTTTTACAATGGTTTGCCCATATTTACATTTTTCTTAACAATGCTAACATGAGCATCACTGCTTTTCTGGGGATAGTATCCACCATCTTTGCAGACTGTGGGGTGTCAGAATATAGCACTGGAACAGAGCTATACCTTGACTGACTGTGACAAGCTTTCATGTTATGCTCCTGTATGCTGTCTGAGATGCTAAAGTCTCAACAAAGCTACTATTTGCCGATGCCATACTATCAGAAGCGCATAATCAGGCTTACACACACATTTCAGAACCTTCCTACCTTAGAATGAGCTTCATCAAGGGGGATTCTATAGTATTGCATGTAAAATGCATTAGACTACATATCACAATGATACATTTTAAATTTCTTGACTACTTTATTTAACTTTTTTAACATAGCATTTCCTTATGTGGTTTGTGCGCTGACTGCACACACAATAGGCAAAAACTCCACACTGTTAGGGTGATTTTGTTAAGAGAAACAATTGCAATGTTCAGGTTAGAGTGGTGTATGGTTAGGTCTATTGTCAAACACATACATGTATTACCAAATTTTAGGCTATTTATAAAAGAGATTAAGCCATACAGCCCTTATCAAGATAGGTCAAACCTGACTTTATCTGTTACCCTGGGATTTTTTTTAATTCAGATTTTGTGAAATGGCCTCCGGGATGGTCAATTTTCCACCTTTATTTTGACTTACATCCTGTACAACTTGCCTGAAATAAATCTGATAGAAAAAGAGGAAAACTTTGAAATATTGATAATCTTTGTCATTCTAATTGTGCATATCACCCAAAATTGTCTTTTGCACATCAGCTTTAGGGAGCAGTGAGAAGAGATACGCAGGGAACAACCTGGGACACTGATCAATCTTCTTTAGAGACCCAAGGTCTGTGGGGACTGAACTGGGTACTTGCAGCCTCCATTAGAATGCATGTACTCTGCTATATCCATGGCTATCAATCCCTTCTCCTGCTAAAATGGAATAACCCAGATTAGAGACTGTGAATACTCTCATGCACTTTAATTATAAGAATTTGATCTTTAAGGCCAAAATGATACAAAAAAAAAAAACTAAGAAAAAAAAGCTATGATAAAAAGCTTCTGATGTTGCTTTTCTTTAAATTTCCACAACTCGGTTTTAACCCAGAAACATTTGCCAGAAGTCTGAATTTAAAAAATGATTTCATTTTTCAGCATCAAAGTCAGCAATAATATAAAAATATATCTCTGATTGTAAACCTGGGGGTTCAACCAAGAGATGTTCTTCCTGTCTGACAGGTTTAGAGAACCTTTATAAATCACTGTACACCTGCTGCCAATGTGAAACAGACTTAAAAGAGTCCTGTTTCTTGTTGGACAATATTGAATGTTTTGTGATTTTTTTTCAAAGCAACCCCTTAGGTCCAACGCCTGATTTTTTGGCAAACAGGGATTTTGGATGTCATATTCTTTGCCATGTGTTTGGATGTATTGATATTTAACTCAAAACAAGAATTTTTATAAAAATGAATATTTCAAACACACCTGCAGCAGTCCTTTAATTGTATGTACTAATTTCCGAAAGATTATTTCATAGCTACACTTGTTTTCAAAACAGTTATAATGAGCTGAATATTTTGTGTCAAGGTAGAAATACAGATATTTTTTTTATATAACTCTTGTAAGTTTTTTTTATCTGATCACTGTTCACAATTTTGTGAAAATGAATGTGGAAATTGAGGCAAACACCATTTTATGTCTCTGCTAGAGCTTTACATCAGGTCTACAAACATTCAATGGCAATAGTCTGACCTTGCGTGCCTTCTTTTCACTGCGACTTTGTTTTGGTCTGTTCAAGCCATCATCTGCACTGGAAATACACTGGGGAAAAAAAGTTCAGTAGTGTTAATAAAATAAATAAAACTTCATCTGTTTAGAAAATTTGCTCATTTCCCAAATTACTGCCTTTTTACTGTCTTTTTAGCAACAGGTAGATAAATAGCAATAATCTGTTTATTGTCTATTGGGAAGCAGTTGAAAGCTCTATCAAGCCTTTTTTTATGAAAAAATAAGCAAATATTACAAGGTAAATCAACAAATACTACAATGTATACTATGGTCATTGAGTCATTATTGTTTTTATCAATTTCCTCTGAAACCTTCCTTCCTTCCTTCCTTCCTTCCTTCCTTCCTTCCTTCCTTCCTTCCTTCCTTCCTTCCTTTAGTATTAATATTAATCTTGTATCGTTCCATTTAGGATATGTAGGAACTCAGCGTTTAAGAGTCATAATATGGTATGATAAAGCTTTATTCACTTATAAAACTTTTATGCAAACTCACTGGTGGCTCAGATGGTCTGAGAGGCTCTAGCTCCTCAAGATCAGGCATCGAACCTTCACTCTCAGATTCATTGCAGGAAGCCAAAGTGGAACCTTGACAAGACAAGCACCAAAAAACAGAACGCAACAGCACCCAAAAATAGTCATAATTTATACCAGTGATAACAGTTGTTTTGTTATTTGTTTTTTCCTTTTCATTGTCATTAGTTAAATTTTTACTAAACAAGCAATTACCAAAAACAATGGTAGTGGGCTGGTATAACAGAGAGCAAAGGAAATGTCATCCCACAGGACAAATGGGAAATAAAAAAAAGACTCACTGTTGTTTTTAACAGACAGATCAATCTCTTCACAAATGCTGAGGTCATGGCTGATTGATGGTGTGCCAGTTGGGCGGTGGCTGGAGAAGGATTGGATTTCTTGCTCATCTGCTGGACCAGACTCATTTTTCAGAGATCCATTTCTGTCTTCTCCAGCTCCCTTAGGATTATTTGTGTGATCCTGCTTGAGTCCCCCACAACAATCCTCCCTGCCTGGTTCCTCTTCAGTTACACTAGTACCTTACATGACACAGATTCATTAACATAATTCAATCTTAAAACATTTTAACTTTTTCTCATCCATTCATAAAAGAGCAGATTATGTTCTTATTTTACTGGTTCACCACTGGTTGTAAATAAGGGACCAAGGAAATGCAAGTGAGAAATGTTTCACTCACCTCTACAATTGTCTGGGGATAACCGGGTAAATTCATCCTTCACCTGCTTCTGGGACTGGGTGCTGACAACAGATTGTAAATTTGGTTGAGAATAATCTGTAACATATGCTGAATCTAGACTCTCCGTTTCTTGGGTAGCTTTGGACAAGGCTATCGGCATGTTGGAAGGCATTGGGGGAGAAGAGACACTTTTAGATGATGGTGTTAAAAAGATATCATTGATCACTTGGGGATTTGTGTTTGGGGGGATTCCTGAACCCCCGGACTGTAATGATTGTTGCTGGGTTGGGAAGATAGGCTGGGATTCCTGGACAGGTGTAGAAAGGTCATCCAGTGACTCTATTGAGGCACAAGGTGGGGAGGAAGGTGGGGATTGCAGGGGCAGAGAGTATGAGGTGATATTTTGAGGTTTGCTGGGGCCATTGTCTATGTTGTTGTCATTAAAGTCCACTGTTCCTTCTCTCTGACTATCACACAATGGTCTGTTATCAAGTACTTCTTGTTTCTGGTGTGAGTCTTGGTTAATCGACATCATTGCATTAAGGTTATCTGTTCTACCTTTGTTGAATTTGCATTGCTCTTGTCTTGGAGATTTTTCGTCAGTACTGCTGAACTTATGTCCCTCCGACTTTGAAATGGATTCACCTTTGTGTGGCCCAGATGTTCCTTGCTGTAAATCTGGTGATGAAAACATGTTAGCTTTGCAGTCTGGCTCAATTTTAATAATGTCTGGAGACCCGTCTGAGCATCCCCCTAGTGTAGAGTTTGGTTGGGTGGAGCATTGCTTTGGATCTTGGACAGGCTCAGGGCTAAAGTCTTTGCTACCACCTGCCTGAGATGTCCGAAGTTTATTTTGCTTTCTTTTCTTCCCTTTTGCAGAAGCCGCTTGTGTATCAGTGCAAAGTTTGCCTTTTTGTACGAGTCTCTCAAAGTGTTGTGAGTCAATCAGTGTAGCAGAAGACATTTTTTGATTTCTTTGATTTTCACCCATTTTTTTATTTTCATCACCTCTTTGTTTTTGTTTGACCTCCGCACCCTCTTCCATTGAGTAACAAACAACATCATGCCTTTGTAAAAAGGCATCAGTAATCTTTGGTTCGTCCATAGTGCTGTTCATTTCAGGGCTGATGTTACAATTTTTTTGATTGTGGCTCTGATGCTGCAACATCTCTGTGTCATCTTTATGTGTGCTCCTCAGTCTAGTGATGTTAGATCTGCATTTAAGGGGGAAATATCCAAATGATCCCTCTGGCAAAGAAAATGCATTATTCCCTACATAACTGGACTGATGCTCTGGAATAGTGTCATATCTTGACTCCGCTTCATACAGGAAATCAGCATTTTTGGGTTTTGCAGTCATATCAGTGTTATTGTTTGCTGAGATTATATAAATACTATCCTTTGTGTCTGCCATTTTATTAATGGGATCCTCTGATGGTTTTGCTTCTTCTTTAAGAGTCCTGTCAGAAATCTGGAGTGGCACCTCTTCAAGTGGAATATTAGACACAGATTCTTTGGCAGTGACACTGACACTCTGGTGTCTCATTTCACCTGACAGAGCATTTAGGCTCCCATACATGCCTTTATCAAAGTACTCATAGGCAGATTCAGTCGAACTCTTCCAATCGTCTTGTATTTGTGTTTCCTTTTTATCATTATTATTGCCTGGGTTCAAATTGCTTATGTCCTCCAGAAATCTGGCACTTCCGTCCTCTCCTCCACCTGCCTCTGAAATCTCTTCAATAGATTTCCAGTGGACTAAGTTGGACTCTGATATTCCCTCTTCTACCAACTCTTTATCCAAAATTTGGTCATTTTTACCACTCTGACTGTTGTTATCTTCCTCATCTAGAATAGAACCAAGAACATTGTCATAGTTTTCACATAGTTCACTGCTCATGTTAGAAACCAAAGCCGTCTCTGTTCTTTGGCCTTCTGTGTCACACATAAGAAGACTATCTGCCTCTAACTCATACTTCTTACCCAGGGACAAAGAAAGTGATTCCCCCCCACCCCAAACACCAAACTCTGACCCTGATCCAAATCCAAGACCAAAACCTAAACCAACTCTGGCATCACACCACGCCCCAGATTCAGAAACTGTATCTCTGCTGATATCTGTCTCTGAATTCTCTCTTTTGGGAGAGATTGCTAGGGGGGAGTGTAAAGATCCTACAGCTCCTAGTACCCCATCATCTGTACTTAAAGTATTCTCTCTTAGGTTCTCCAGGGAAGAGTCTCTTGGGCAGTGTTCAGGAGTGAGGGCTAAGTTATCGCCAAGTTCTGAAATCTTTTCTTGGGAAGTAGAAACAGGGATATTACTCGGGTTGGAATTTGGATCTTTGGGAGAGGACAGCAGAACAAAGCCTTTATTCAAGTCATTGGTAGGAGTAACAATATTCCGTGGTGGAGAAGAATCCTTTTTTTTAAACTCTACGCTCCCTGAATCAGCTGAGGCATGCTTAGTACTATGATCGAGCTTGAAATCAGAGTCCCTGTTAAGACCTGGCCTACAAAGAGATCTTCCTTCACCGGGCACATCGTTTTTACCACAGAAAGACTTTGACAGGGCAACTCTGCTTGCCCCAACAGTCCTTTGGCTTTCAGAGTGGCCCTGACGAGGCTTTATGAGCAGTTTGAAGGAATCTCTTTCAGGTTTTCTTGTGTGCTCAGTCTGAGTTGAAGGTAGTTTCAAATCAACATCTTTTGCCCTAAGAATCTCTTCAGCTAAATCTTTTTTTCTCTCCTCAACACAGGTGAGAGAAGGAGGAAAACTAGTGTACTCAGTTGCAGAATCAGGTGATGTATGAATAGTAACAGGAATAGCGGATACAAAAGAACAGGGGTTATCTAGAGGCTTTGCCAGAGGGTTTAAAGAGACACCAGTACTTATTTGGCTTTTCCCATCTCTATTATTAAGTTCAGATTGGAAGTCTTGTTGGAAAGAGTTAACTTTTGAAGGTTCAAGTGGTTGCTGACTATCTGAGTTTTTTATTTCATTTTCTCTAATGGTAGGTTTCACACCATCTTGAGGCTTAGGGCCCATAGGCACTTCCCAAGGTACCAATTGTAGGCTGTCATCTTTAGGGTGGGCTACAATGGTTTCAGACAGATCAGTAGATTTGGATTGATCCTCTTCTTTGACAATGTTTACTTGTGTGTGCAAAGGATCCTGTTCAGTCTCTGATTGGATTTCAGCTAGATCTGAGCTGTCTGCTGGTAGAGGTTCCAGAGATTGTGCATGTCTCTCAGTGCTGTACAGTCGTTCATCTTCCTCCCCATTATAAGAGGCGGAATCTAAAGAGTCATCTGTGTTATCTTGGTAGCAGAATGATTCATCTAACCCTTCATTGATCGACATTTCTGAAAGTGAATGAAGGAGGGATGCTGAGCTTTCCTCAGCTTCATCTACCACAGCTTTGCTATCACATCCATCGTCAACATCATCATCATCATCTTCTTCTTCTAGCTCATCTTCCCTCTCCTCTCTCCCTTCTTCCTCTTCTTCCACAGCTTTCACTTCTACCTCAGCTTTCTCACCTAGCTCTGGCTGCCTGTTTGCATCCCCACTGTCATTAGGTTCTTCCCTTTCACCATCATCTGGTATGGAGTCAGTATTGTCACCCTCATTATGATAATCATAATGATCCAGTTCATCATCTTCATCATGATCTTCTACATCTGCCTCTTCCTCTCCTGCAGCATACGCATCAACATCTTGTCTTTCATTTCTGTCACTGACATCTATTTCATTTTCTTCTTCTGTAGGGAAAAGGGTGATTTCCATCGAGTCAGCCTTAAAGATTAGGCTTGTATGAAGTGGAAAGGAGATGAGGGAAGCAGGTATCATCCTCTCCTCATCATTTATATCTTCAGAACATGCACCCTGTGAGAGCATGAAGGAGCTTTGGCCAAGCCTTTCGAATGCTCCAGGGCAGAAATCATCCAGGGGAAGGAATGGTGAGTCAGGACCAAGGCTTGAAGATGCCATAGCCATGTTCTCTTTGTCAGGGGTCAATGCAGAGTTGGGGATATCTTGGTGGGCCTGCATCTGTCTAAAATGTTCTTCTGATAAGCAACCCTCAAGAATTAGTTTCAGGCCTGATTGAGTGGGTCTAAAGTACCCAGCTCTGTTTACAGTTGTCTCATCTAAAGGGTAAAAGGAGCTTTCTGATTCAACTTCATCATCCTGGGAGTCACTGCTGCTACTGCTTTTTGCAGAGGGGATATTCTCTGTCACCCAGCATGGGCGACTAGTTCTGGAAATCTTAGCCTCTTCTCCTTTTGGGGTATCATCATCTTCAGAAATGATGGTCTCTGCTATATCTATCTGTGAATTTATAACAAATTCCCCAGGATGGTACAAACTGAAGTCCTCTGTCCTTTCCTCCTCTTGTGCTGTGACCAATCGCCCCCTCTCCTCTGCAACCTCATCTCCAATTTCTGACAAAGAGCTCACAAAGCAAGCAGGTGCCTCTTGTGTTTCTTCTATAAGGAGGAGGTTGGGAGAAGTGGATGGGGAGGTGGAGGATGTATAAGAAGATCTACAGCTGCCTCCTTCTGCTGTTATGTAAGAGCCAGATGGAGAAGTAAGAGGGGAATAAAGGTCTTCACTGTCAGATGGAGTACCAGGGGAAAGAGGAGATGCAGGGGAGCCAGGGTAGGAATGATGTTTAAGGTGCAAGCAGTGAGTAGCCATCTTGATTGGAGTGGATGGAGCTGTATAGTAAAGATCTGGGTCAATAGATGAGGGAATGCCAACTCGAAGGGGGTCAACGGGACAGGTTGGTTCAGTAAAGGACAGCGCAACTGGACAAGACAGCTCTGGAAAAGGGAGTGAAGGCACTTCATCTAGAGAGAGGGTCTCCTTGTCTTTTCTGCTGTCTTTTTTTATTTCATCAAATTTTGTAACTGATTTAGGAGATAGGGAGGAAATGTTTTTAATTACGTCCTGTGCATGTTCCTTTTCCTGATCCTCTGGTTTCTGGGGGATTTCAGATCTGATTTCTTTGTTGATGCTATCTAGTTTTAACTCTCTTGTTTGCAGCTGAGAACATGGAAAACTTGGGAGATATGGCAAAGGGATAGCTTGAGCTTTAGGCTGAGTGGGGACCTCCCCTTGAAGAACTTCTGTTGTTTTGAGCAGCGTCTCTTCACCCATCACAACTCTTGTGTCGATAGTCTGTGACTCTGGATAGTCACTTTCCACCTCAGATCCAGTAAGAACCTGTTTGTAAGAAATTCAACATATAACTACAGGTTATAAATGTATTTTGCATTATCAATATGGCAAAACTACAGGCACTCTAAATAAAGAGCACACCTTTATTCGTTCCATCTTAACAGGAATGTGGCGGTTGAATGGACCATGACCACCCAGTTTTCCCAATAGTCTGGCTGGGTTAATGCGATTATCTGACCCTTCGGGCTGTGGTCTTGGAGTACCAGAGGAGCTGGGTTTCACATGAAATAGTCTTGGCCCAAATGGAGAGGAGGATCCTGGGAGAAGCTTTTGTGGAGTGCTGGGAGACGGGCTCGATCCACTATCGTTCGGAGAGGAACCACTATCACTTGGAGTAGATTCTGTAGATGGATGTCTTGTCATGCCTGAGGATAACAAACATTATTTTAAAAAACTTTAAGTATGAAAAGACAATGTAGTATTAACAGCAGTTTAAAATAGAAAGAGTCTTAATCTGAGCAATTTAACAGAACCAAATTTAAAACAGGGGGAAATATGCGTGATGAAACATCCTCTCGTATTAATTGTTCTTAGACCTTAATAATAATTAATGAAACACACACACAGTGGGTGAAATAAGTGTTTAGACGAGCCACCATTTTTCTCAGTACATATATATTTCTAGAGGTGCTATTGACATGACATTTTTCACCAGATATTGGTTACAATCCTCACTCATAAAGAAATCAAACTATAGATGTCCAGAAATTAAGTTGTGTAGTAATGTGGAATGGCACAGGGAAAAAGTATTGAACACATGAAGAAAGGGTGTTGGAAAAAAGCATGGAAAGCCAAGACACCAGACAAAATCTCTAAGTAATTAGAAAGCAATCCTCTCCATTGTCAGTGCTAATTAATATCAGCTGGTTCATTCCCAAATGGTGGCCAATAAAAAGATGTCTCTGGTATCAAACAAGACACATCTCATGATTAGTAAAAGTAAACAGCTGTTTCAAGACCTTTGCAACCTTATTGTTGCAAATCATAATGATGGCATTGGTTACAGAAGGATTTCTAAACTTCTGAATGTTCCTGTGAGCACTGTTGGGGGCATAATCGGAAAGTGGAAAGAGAATGATTTCACCATAAACCGACCACAACCAAGTGTTTCTCGCAAAGTTTCTGACAGAGGAGTGAAAAGAATGATCAGAAGAGTCGTCCAAGAGACAAAGACCACCCATGGAGAGCTTCACAAAGACCTGGAATCAGCAGATACAATTGTTTCAAAGAAAACAAGTAATACATTCAACAAACATGGCTTGTATGCACGCTCACCAAGATTCCATTGCTGATGGAAAAAGCATGTTGAAGCTAGTTTTATGTTTGCTGCAAAGCATTTAGACAAGACTGTAAAAATACTGTAAAAAAATATAGTCTGGTCAGATGAGATCAAAATTTAACTCTTTGAATGCAATATTACACATCATGTTTGCATGTCAAATGGCACTGCACATTACCCGCTGCCATCTACCAGGATGATGAAGATGAAACATGGGTGGATATTTCAGCAAGACAATGAGCCCAAACGTACAGCAAAGGAAACTCTCAATTGGTTTCAGAGAAAGAAAATAAAGCTGCTGCAATGGCCCAGCCTATCCCCTGACTTTAATCCAGTAGAAAATCAATGGAAAGAACTAAAAATCAAAGTTAATAGAAGAGGCCCATGATATCTTCAAGATTTGAAGACTTTTTTTGAGTGTGAATTTCGGGGGCTGCGTCCTCCGAAGGCCAGATTCATCAGCCGATTACCTCATAGCGCGGCGCTGTGGCCTGTTTGGATTGGTAGACTCCTCATTACTCAGCTGGCAAATGCAGCCTTCTTCTTGCCCGATATGAAGGATGGGTCCGGTGTATCCTTTATAGCCTTGGGTATCCCCTGATTCATTGTGAATCCAAGCAAGCCGGCTGCTCCATGCTCAGAGGAAAAAGGGAAGGAGCGCCAAATAGTGATGAATATTTTAAGTGCAGTTTAACATAATACAAGTATATGAATAGTTCCAACCGAAATGAATGTAAATAGTTGTTTTAAGTGGTTATTGTGTGAGATATGTTGCAGGTAATGTTTGGTTAATTGAAAGGTCTTTTCTGTCCCTGTGCAAATAAGTTTGGCTGACATTTAAGCACAGATTCCAATATCTGTGCAGTGTGGGAACTGTAAACCTAATATTCGTGGTGACTGTAATGCTGCTGAAACTCCTTGAAAATGTAGTTAACACCTACAACCGTAGTGAGAAGTTTGGTATCCATTTTTTTGCCTGCTTTGTTTATCAATTGTCCCAGTTGCTAGGTGACAGAGTTTACACTGAGTGAGGGGCGTGGAAGCCAGAGAAGGCTGGACCTGTTGGAATAGCCAAATTCTTCTAGTCTCCTTATTTTCATGGACCTCAAAGGATCCTTAAAAAAATATCAGTGTGCTCAATACCTTTTCCCTGTGTCATTTAACTTTATTACAAATAATTTCATTTCTGTTAATCTATTATTTGATTTCTTTCTATGTGTGGATTGCATAGACTGTTACTAACATCTGTCAGTAACAGTCTATGCCAACTTCCTCTCAGAGTCCAAAAACATGACTGTAATATTAAATGGTGTCCTCATGTATGTGTGTGCATGGCTGTTTGTCCTGTTATGGATAGGTTGACCTTCAGCTTTTGCCCACTGAACGCTAGAGGAAGCAGCCATCCCACAACCCTGGAAAGATAAGTCAGTTCTACCTAAATAAAACCTGTTCTTCTGGGAGCATGATTAGAAATCAAAAACCAGTGGAATGAAATGACAGGGAAGGTGAAGAAACCTGGGTCACAGAAGCTGAGAGAGGTTATTTTCTGACAATTCATGAGGGGAATAAATTCCCAAACTGAAAACTTGGAATGCATTACCTCTTTTTTTTCTGTTTCATTTGCCCTTTTTCTCTTGATCTTTTTCCCTGGAAAGTGTTTTACTGAATCCCACAGAAGAAGCACATTTCTTGATTAACACAACAGACTCTTCATTTGCTCTACCAAATTAGCAATAGCAATGATGACCTCAACTGCCTCCCCGGTCATTGGCTATTATGACACCTAACAATTGGTTGAATTGGTGCCAAACAGAACTGGTGCAAGACACAAACACAGCTATAGATATTCTCACATGGGGTTTGCAAAATGTCAAATCGAATATCAGTGTGTGCTTTTGAGAAAGCATCCCCTCATTTTATCTTGCTCTGTTATTTCAGGGATTCCATGGTTTTTGCCTTTCCTCCATGCTGCATCCCTGCCAAGCCTGAGATTGTGACAGGTGTGCACATCAGCAATTAGCATTTTTTCCTTATTGCTGCTATGTTACTACGTTAAATGGATGTTTGTGTTTGTGCTGAGTAATTTCCCAGAGGTAAGAACTAGTAAAAAAATATGCGCATTACAGCAAGCACAAAAGGCAACCCCAGCGCAACATTTTAATGTACTCTGTACCCTGGTTTCTTACCAATGCTTAGTCAGAAGATTATAGATACTTGATCATTTTTGCAAGACAGAAGAAAAAAAGAGAAAAACAATAAAATCATTTATCTGAACTTCTTCACATGTAGAGGTGCCTACGATGGACAATTGTTTGAGGGTTGTTCTCTTGTTTTTAAAGGTTGATTTTAACTCTATATAAGCAGTTTTACCAGACTCACATGTCAGTTAATATGCTGGTGTTAATATGTTGGTTATTATGCAACTCACAACAACATAAATTAAGAAAGGACTGGGTGTAAAGACATAAAAGCTGATCGCCTACAGAATATGTTTCCCGATCCTGAATGGAATGAAATCCTTCTACTAAAACATATTGGTGACCTAATTTAACAGCTTATGTTCCTATTATATGCCAATAAATTATTTCTTTTTTAAGTCTACAGCATGTTGATCAATACAAACTTCAAGATCGATTTCGCTGATACTCAGAAACGAACGGCATCCAGCTCAACTCAGACACCAAAGGCAACTCTACAGTATTATATAAAAAATTTAGAAGAAAAAAAAAACCTGCAAGTACAACCGCAAGGTACGAGAACAAGCAGAAAAGTGCTGCAGTTCCATGTTTTGGCCATAGTTAGCAGTATCATTAGAAAATGCTTTAATAACTCTTTAATGTGTCAGCAGAAAACAGAACATTCCTTTATTTTGGGATATAAGTTTTTTCTCTAAATACTGTGGGTAGAGGATTTCATCTGTGTGAAATGCCAACTTGTGTATAGTTATCACTATAGTATTATTTGTTTATCAAGTACATCCATCCAAGTTTCAATAACTATTGTCTTCCTAAGTGGATATTTAAAAATGTAATTTATATTTAGATTTTAAATGTCAGACTTTTTACTTAGCAACACAGTAATCATGCATTAATTAGCTCAGCAAAGTCAAACTCATGAACAACAAGTGTATTGGTATTACATAGAGCATGCAGTCAAGGTTCTGAACCAGAAAACAGATCATTACAATATATTTGGCAACATGAACCAATAAATCTGTCTTTGTCTTTTTCAGGTCAGAAGAAACGCAGTAAAACTGTGCACCAATTTGCCATGTGAAAAGCAGGCCGCAGCACACTGGAGCTGCGTCACAGACGCTGCAGCGCCGGCCCCCCCAGGGGTGCCTCTATTTTAGCTGCTAAGGTTGTTAGATGAAGAACAGGCATTTAATAGATGTCTGAGCCCTCTTTATCATGCACTGGGTCAAGTATGGTGTCAAAGTTTGGGTCAACTACATGCTAATGAAAAAAAACTTCATGTGTGTAAAAATATCTATGATAAACAATAAAAAAAAATATACTCAATAAACAGGCAAGACCTGCCTAACTGAGCCATCATATACAGCACATTATTTCTAAAAAGTTCTAAATAAATAAAAAAACGTCCAAGACCTGGGTGATGCAAGTTGATGTTTGTGCATTGGAGAGTGTGCTTCCATGCTGCTGTGTCATGTTCCCTTTACTGCTGGGGGAAGGGAGATACTAATGGGTTCTGCTTCCCTCTTACAGCTCACTAAAGCAGTGGATGTGAAAAGATGCTGGAGGGAGGAGGGATGAGGGGGAGTAGGGCAGCTTTAGGGTTGGGGCTTCAATAAGGATGGAATAAGACAATAAAAAAGGATTTGGAGGTCTTTAGGTAGAATTTAGAAAAATATCTGTTTGAGTTTGTTAATAACATGGGTGAGGTCAGTTAAGAGCACGTTCGCTGCCCAGATCAGGGCAGAGGGAAAACATGCAGTTCAGTGAGGAGGCAAACAAGCAGTTGAATAAGAGCTTTCTTGAGTGGCACATTTAGATAAAAATAAATAATCCTCAAGTATTTCTATCCTTACAAGTTCTTTCTTCTTGTCAGGCACAATTTCTCTTCCCATACAGCCAACATTTAATGTGATTTGTTTAAAGGTACTTCCTGACACACTCATACCCGTCTCTCTGTCTTCATTTCTATCTACAGGCTTAATGACCTCATCTTTATACTCTCTCCAAATCAAGAGCTCCTACCTGGTCCCGGAAGCCCCGTCTCCTCATCTCCCAGGTCCTGATGCTTGTCGCCGGGGACAGATCTATGACTGCTCTCCCCTGGCATGCTTCTTGCAGGATCTGTGTGGCTCTGACGCAATAATGTACCATGTAGACTGAGGAGGCAAGGTGAATAGGGAAAGTGAAGAAGGAGGAAGAACAGAGAGAGAGAGAGAAGGGAGGGGGGTTGATCTGAGTGCAACCCTGTGCTCAAATCTCCCTTGCAGCACGTGTATGTGAGACTGAGCAACGCGGACAGCAATAGTGAAAGACTGGGAGTCAGAGAGAAAGGGTGTGTGTGTGTGTTGGGTCCTTTCTGTGGTGCAGCACCATGATGCTGCTGTGGTGGGTGTGGACTTCAAAGCCTCCTGATGCTGCTTATCTGAATATGTGTGTTGACTCTGAGAGGGCGCTGCAGTATTCACTCCTGATGCCCAATCACTGCTACCCCTCCTCCACCCCTCCTCCTGCCTCATTTTTCCTGTATCTCCCTCTTCCAACCTTACCCTCTTTTGCTTGAAGCCAAGCAATGACTGGATCTTAGAAGATGATGTCAGCAAATTTGTTCTGGTTTCTCAGTGCTGCCCCCCCAAGCTTGAAGGAAAGGACCAGTACTGCAAAAACAAGAGTTAAGCAGAAATGTGAGGAAGGGGGTTTCAAGGAAATCAAATAATAAGAGGAGAAAGAGAAACCAAAGACACAAAATGACCAGAGGATAAAAGAAAAATCTTAAGAGTATTCCCCTCATTATGCCGTTTGCCTTCTGCTCAAATTGTGTCCTCGAGGTGTCATCAGGGAGAATATTTCCCCTGAGCACTCTGATCTTATTTAGTCATAATTTGATATAATACAAAAGCTACTCAAAGAAGAGACTTGGATATGAAAAATTAACACATTTTGATCCAAATCCAACATCCAAATTCTGAAGCCAGCAATTATAAAATTGAATTTACTTTATCATTTGCTGTATTCCTCAGATTATGTTTGTTAATATACTTTCCTTGTCAACAATGTTTACTCTGGAAGCAAGATCTTAGCAAATCAAGAGAACTTTGCTGTTTATCCTGTACATCAACAAAAATATGCTCACCCACACAATTTCAGAAAAAAATATTTAGATTATTTCAGACTCTCTGGTGAACTATAAAACCAGTTGTTTTATATTGAAAAGGGGTGAAACAAGCATAAATTATGCTTTATTGCCACTTTCGTGGCTTGTGTCAATCTTTATCAAACAGGATCACCTGAATTAGATTAGGCACTTCAGAATTGCTAAAATTAAATTCCCTACATCTGAAAACAATGCAAGAACCACAGAAAATGCTAAAACGATTAGAGCCCTTCACTTAAATGGACAAAATGCTCAGAAAACCACATTTTTGACATTTTAAACCAGTTTACCAGTTTCTTTGTTAAACTACACTTTTTTATTGTGTTCATAACCTTATGTCCAGAATCACTATAAAGTTAGTTCAATAAAATTCCTGTAGGATTTTGATAAGCTTTATAAAATAAATTTGTTTTTGTGTTTTAAACAGACTTAAACAGGTTATTTTTAAAGACCCCCTTTCTAAAGGTTCTCTTATTTTAACATGCTCTGTAAGTTAACTTGTATATTTTTTTTGACATACGACAGCTTTTTTCAAATAAAGCTAATGCAGAGATTTCAGCTAAAATCTTTATAAACCCATAGCATAAAACAGGCCTACTTCAGAGTAAATCAAGTCCAGTCTTGGTGTGAATCTTTAAATTAGAATCTGAATATTTGCACTCTCACTCCCCATTTGATAAAGACAGGATTGATTAAATACAAACAGAGGAATGGTGCAGCAGTAAAGAGCAGGAGCAGAGATACAAAGACTTATATATCTAGTGCCAGAGGATCTGCAACTGTAGTTTCCATGGCAACCCAAAACTTCCCACGGCCAGAGTGCTAGTTCAGCAGAAGAGATCGACGCTTTTATAGATAGAATCTAATAACCTTCATGAAACACTCATACCTTTAACAAAACAATTCTGGAGGTTCAAAATGAAGTGTTTCTCAGGTTCACCTCAGGTTTTTGCAGTACTTTTTAGCATTTATGCCTCAACTATTTTGCAGAAATGTAGCTTCATAGAAGAAAAAAAGAAACATATAGCCTTTGTCCTGATTCAAGGGATGTTCTGTGGGTAATCCGCTTTTTCTCTGCCTCACAGCATCTGAAGTCTGAATGCACTGCTGTCCCTGAGGTTATGCAAGCGGTTTCTGGGCGGCACTCTTCATCTCTGGTTCTCGCCGTCTCTCCATGGCTGTGCTATCCCACAAACATGCATATCAACCAACAACTTTGTAAAAAAAAAAGTATAATCTTTAGGTGTTTTAAATTTCATAAAGCTTCAAATTGAGTTTTTTACTTTGAAGAGATATTTTTCAAATGATGATTTTATAATACTGAAACTGTATACATGAATTAACATGTATACATGTGTAGCTTCCTGTTGGATTCAATCAAAAACACTTAGAACAATTGTAATAAACTATTTATTTTATTATTAGTTGACACATCATCAGATATAATATATTCTGATAGTTACATTCTTCATCCAAATAATTTACTTAACTCCAGAACCTCTGTTGCAGCAAACCACTTATACATTTAAAGACAAAGTCCTTGATCAGATCATATCTCTGTTGTGTTTATTTCAACCTCTCTTCTCATCCTAAACTCTTTACTCGCCATTACCATGGAAACAGGGAAAGCCCCACATGTTGCCAGGGGAACGAGAGAGAAAACATGCGATCTTGCTCCAACCCGAGAGTGAACGTGGGTGGATGTGTGCATTCCCTGTGGGTCCCGCTGGATTGAGAAAGCTCTAAGGCTTTGAAAGTGTTCCTCGGTTCACTTGGCCATGTCCTCCGCCACAGCCTTCCCCATTTTGTCCTTCAGGTATGCTAGTTTCTGCCTCTCCGTCTTCAGCTCCAGCCACTCATAGTATGGCACCTTAAAGAGGATGAAATGGAGGTTTTCAATAGCTTAAGACTTAACATACCCTCACCTTCTCTTTATATTTGATATCTTTTTATTTTAGGTACTTGAAGTAAAAGAATGGGGGGGGTTGTTATTAGACAAGCACCAGTGATTATACACTTATATAAAGTATGCTTCATGGTTCATTAAAACTTAAGTCTTGGGTCTCTCAGTCAGACTTGGAAGTTTTACACAACATCCTGTAAATTAAGTTAAAATTTTAGCTGAAATTTCTGAGTTTCTTTTTAAACCAACCAGACTCAAAATGAATGCTAATTATATTTTTCCTTTGAGGTATTTCAGTTCTCAATACAAAAATACTTTATTGATATAAAACAGAAAATAAACATTGTAGTAACTCCTGTAGGGACTTCTACAACAGGTAGATGTTAATAATTTCTAATAAAGTAGAAAACCAGACTGTAATAATTTCTCACAAAGAATAAATCTAAATAAATCTGTCCCCTATTGACCTAGAGGCTGAGCAAATCAACATCAAGTGTCGGGCTCATGCTGATAATCTAACTTTTCTTGGTTGGCACACTACAGGAAAAGAATTTCCCGCAAGGGATTAATAAAGTAATTCTGATTCTGACGCTTTATAGCTCATCATTCAACTACTAAATCTTTTTTAAAGTTTCATGTGATGTTATAAAAACTGATGAATGTAAGATATTAAAACTGATATATTTTTAACATTTTAACAGAAATTGGAATAATTATACTTTTTTAATACTTTACATAAAATAAACTAGCTCATAGTGTTCATTTCTGAGAAAGATTTCCTTTTGATAAACTACAAATTCTATTCAGGAAGTCAGCTCTTTAAGTGATCATAAAACAGAATATAACCGAGACTTAATACAATTACTCAAGGGTCAAATCACCAAAGTTTTATTTAATTTAGAGGCTTTATGATCAAAAATTTGTAAATAATAATAATGAGGACATTTTCAGACATAGAAGTTTAAATATCTTGCAAAACAGCCAACCTTTGAGGGAATTTAAGCTACTGGGAAGTAACGAGATTGTCCTAGATGTGAAGGAGGGCAGAGCTTGGATTGGCCTAGATGAAAGAGCTGTGGCTGGAGCTCTATTAATACCACAGAATGCAGCAGGATGCACCTTACATGCAGTCCTAGAAAACCATTTGGTCCATTTTATGCACGTTCTCTGTCTGTCAGATGCAGCAGCACAGATCTGCTTGCTCTGCCCTTTTAAAATGAAATACTGCTTCAACTCAGCAAACCTGATTATTGTTGCTAGCAGCTTTAGAGTAGAGACTGGATATACTGTCTTAGCCTCCATACCTCCACTAGGATGAAACCAGCCAACTGAAGATGTCTCTTCATCATGACAAAGCGTCCCAGAAGGTCTCTGCTCTTAGAGCCAAAATTAGGGAATTCCCATCCTAAAAAAGCTAATCTAAAAAATAAAAAAACAGAAACAGAAAAAGCAAAAGCTTTAGAAACAAAAGTAAAAGTGATACCTTTTAATGAATCAGTTATTCTCCCCCCCATGACTCACCGTCTTGCCCCTGCAGGCAAATCCTGGTCACCTCCTCCATGTGGAAGATGAGGGGCTTTTAACATTGATATGTCAACTGGTTTGTTGTCGCAGTCGACAACAATCTCTCCATCTAATGAGAAAAATAATAGGTATCAGTAAAAAAAGATTCAATTTATAAAAAGGTAAAAAAGTCTTCAACTGGACAAATTTATAACCTCCCGCTCACCAATTCTCCACCCAAACACTGTGTCGACACCTGTGCGAAGGGCCCCCTCATTCCCACCCACCAAGCTCTGCAACACTTCTCGCAGGCTGCTCTGCAGCTCCGTTAAAGAGGAGCTGGTGGCTGGGACAGACAGGACGCTGAGAGACGGGACGGTGTCCGAGGAGCCGGGATGCTCCAAGAGGAGAGTGGCAGCAATGTGCAGCAGCTTCAGTTTATAATTCTCCACTCGAACTGGGCTCCCTTCTGCAAACAGAAGAATGAAAATACATTATTAAAAGAAATGGCTTCCAATAATTCTTCAACAATCATAACCTTCAACAGAGATAAGTTATAGCAGGACTGTTACAAGGCAATACTGCCATCTATTGAGGCATTGAAGGAATTAGACAATTTTTTTGAAACTGAAAGAATAACTGTTCCTTAGCTCATGTTCGATAGACACAATCTCTCTTGAGCCAGGAAATCAAGTGCTTGATTAAACAAGCTAATTTATATCAGCTTGCTGGTTCCATTTCATCAGTGGAAAACAATCTTGGAGATGTTCATTTTTACACCAAGACCTGCTTCGATCACCTCAGGAAATCTCTTAACTCCACCCTATCCTTTCCCCATCAGATACCGAAAAGCTGGTCCATAACTGAGCCTCCTCATGACCAGACTACTGTAACACAATTCTCATCAGGATCCCTAAAAAGAGTCTACAGAGGTTTTAATGCATCCCAAACTCTGAAGCTAGAGTCCTGATGAGAGTGTACAAACATGAACACATTACCCACATTCTCTAGTTTGGTGGAGACAACTTTACATCTCCCCCATTAAATATGAGCTTTTCCTCCTCATACACTAATGGATCTATGGATAACCCGTGTGGAAATATCAGCTTTGGGAATGTCTTTTTTTCCAGTATAAGGTGACATTCTGGAGCAGAAATTGAGGTTTAATCAAATGTTTCTCAATAACATAAGCTGGAATACAGAGGTTTTGTGTTTAGCAACTAATGTTATAATATGATTGATTGGTTGATTTTTATTATTATTACAGACTCAAGGTCCTATACACATTAAAAGAAAACAGATACACTAAGAATAAAAAAGAATAAGAGTACAACAGAGAAAGTGCCTAACCCTTCAGGAGGCAATTATACCAATGTCTCCAAAGCACAGATGAGTATTTAACTGCACTATATTTGACATTGGTCATCAGTAAAATAATTCTATTATCAGACTCATTTAGACGACAAATAAATTTATACATAAGCTTTCTCAAAACGGCCATAAAAGTCCTGACACTAACAGATATAAACAATTCACTGGCACTGGTCCATCTGGGCTTATTTAACATAAGTCTTAGTGCATCATTATAAGCCACCTTCAACTTATGAAGACTGGCTTTTTAAAGTTGCACCACAAATGTGCTGTATACAGTGATGTGCAATATGATCTGAACAAGTTCAGTTTCACTTCGTCAGAACAGAATCCAAACATCCGGACAAGGATATTTGCCTGAGCGTATATCATTCGGACCTGACGGTAAATGTCCTCATCATCAGACATACGGTCTGTCAACACGTGACCAAGATATTTGACTTCATTTGAGACGTTCAATAAAATACCAGATAGTTTAAAATTGGGAAATATGTAAGGTAAAGGACAATTTTTTTTCTTTTTAAGCAGTCCGTCTTTTGTTTTGAAAAACACACCTACCGTACTTTACACAAAAGATAAATAACTCATAATTGGGTTTTAAATAATCAAATATTCAACATTAATCTAAATGGATAGTTGGTCACAACATGTTTCATGATGATAAGAATGGGTCATGAATACAACAGCTTCCCTCTGTGACAGGATAAGAATAGGGAGGTTTTTTTCTAATTTGTGCAAAGACAATTTGGTGAGTTTGTTAATATACTTTGACTTGCAGAGAAAAAAATTCCTGCCAATGTTCCCCGAATGCAATTTCCGGTGCACAGAGGATACTGATTTCTACTTCTCTATGTTCAATATTACTTTTATTGGCCTTGCCTCATGTGGGTGTTGGGGGTTGCATATATGGTTTCTAACATAATTCAGAGTGTATTTGAAACTGAATATTGAAAGGCTAAAAAAATAACATTAGTTTCACTTGGAAATCAGAGTTGATACCTGAAGTGATACTCAATTCTTTTTTAATTCACCATCTTTTTGTACTTAAGTCTAGAGTTAAACGTTCCTTTGGGATCAACTATTCGTTTGCTTTTCTTTTTTAGCTACCTGAGCATCTATTTAACATTTATTACAAGAATCATCATTGCATTTAACATAAAAACATAATATAAGAGGGATGAAGGAAACAGGACAATAAATTAAGGTGTTAAAAAAAAAATCGGCTGAACTGCAAAGGAGGGGGGGGGTAAGTGAACTGATACTTATTGCATATTTACAAAGTTGTTTTGTTACTATCATCTCCTGCCTAGATGAAGCACATGAAGATCATTTAATAAAGCTTCGTTTTCTTGATATCTTTCCCAAAATAGTTACAATTTCAGAATTTACCTCCCTTTCAGGAGCTTTTTACGTAAATTTAGTGTAAAAAATCTTCGGAAAATTAAGATCCTGCCGAAGGCTTGTCATTTTCAACAAAGACTCTTAACACCATCTTACCCGATAGCTTTGCAACATGACTTGTTTGAGTCAGAGGGATGAGATAATGAGGCTTGGCCTGCTGTAAAATACACAGAGACCACACCACATCCGTCTGCAAAAAAGGCTCCAGGCTCGCGAGAGACTCTTTCAGCACAACATGAACCTACCGAGAAACACAGAACACAGGTAAGTGGAACCAACAGTGCACAGCTGAGAGAACAGCAGCCACTTAACTCATTAGTACCTTGCTAAAAAACTCCTCTCCTTTGCTCGGCTGGAAGCCAAGTCTGGCAAACGTCATGAGAAGATTGCAGAGCTGGAGGGTGCTATACTTCTCACTGTTTGCTATGTAATGCTGGGGGACACAAAACAAAGGACAGTGAGTAAGAAACAAGAGAGGGGAAAAAATAAACTGAGAAATAGATGAGACACTGGAAAAGAGGCAACTGACCTCAGCAAAGGCTTCAAAGAGAGGAATGTGGAGCCATTTAAGAAAGCCCAATGACTTGGCACAGCGTGTAACATCAGTGGAAATGAGCTCAGGAACTCTGGGGAGCAACTCGCCGGCAATTCGTTGAAAAACCTGGGAATGGTTGAAATTCAGCTTTCCTACAAAGAATTAACAGAAAAATAAGACTTTTAGTTATAAGGATTTGCACAATCTTCTATAAATTACACCCAATATGAATCTTTACAACTTTTTTATGTTTTCAGGGACAATATGAGTTTAAATAGTTGTTGGATGTGATTAAAATATTGACTTAATTACAAGGTTTATATGCGTACAACACAGTTATTATTATTCTCTTTATTATTATTCACTGATTTTAATCCAAATATTTATATTTATTTGAGGGGGATTAGTTCTGCCTGAATTGTGAAATTCTGGTATTTTTCTAACCTTTTGTTATTTTAAGCTTTAAAATTCTAAGATTGCATATGATATTATGTGTCCATTTCATTTTAAGCATGTTTAAACATTTAATTCACATGTAGTAGACAAGAGCAGCCTTTTTAACCAAACCATTTTCTATTCTTAAATATGTTTGTAAACGACAATTCCAACTTTTACTTGAGTAAAACTATGTTTAAGCAGAGCTACTCTGTTAATTTACAGAAATATAATCTATATTATGCCAGTATTCCAATCAATTACCGATGCTGCTGTAATGGTGAAAATATTCCTTGAAGACAAAATTATATTCTTTGTTTTTAAATCCAGTCTGCTCCTTCTAACACCTTCATTTAGTTCTTACCAGTCTGTTAGGATTATTCAGGCATCCTTCTCTTCCTCTGTTGTTTATCACCTGACATCCTGCTCTCACTCCGCTCTGATGCTAGCACTTCTGCTGCACTTGTTGCCCTAAATATATCCTTATTTTTCTGCACATTTTGCTACATCAGTTTAGAGACGCTCAGCCTTTTTGCCCCCACAATATTTTTTATAGCGGACATGTTGTCTCCAACTCAGTGAAGGGGGGGAAAACTGAGGGCTGAACTGAGCAGAGAGAAATTTTAGGTAAAAAAAACCCCCAACAAGCTGCATATAGGGTCTCATTTAGCCTACTATAAAGTTTAATAAAATCTAAAGATACATTATTGTATTTGCACATCGATTTCATGAATTAAAACAGGCTCCCTCTCCCATATTTTAGTATATAAGAAAATGCAATTAATTGCATATATATTTTTTTAAAGCAGTAAAATTTTATAATTTAATAATTGAAATGAATGTGTTAAAGTCCCGGCCCAAATTAAAATGTGAAAGGTCAAACATTTACCTGAATAAGGGGCAGATATTCCTATACAAACATTAAAACACGACAGACATTTTTTCATTTTCAGAGGTCTTACCAAATGCGAAGGCCAGATCCATTATTAATGGAGTGGTGTACTCAGATGAGGGCTTCTGGAGGAGGTGGTAAGACACAGCCCTGAGTAATGGGACACTTCTACGGCTCTGTGCTGCCAAAGCTACACAGACCTTCCTAATATCTTCTGCTGAAAAGCTTTCCGAGAGCTCCAAAGCCTAAAAACAATAGAAATGGGATTCAAATTTGTCACGAGATACATCACTGATATAAGCAGCTCTTAATAAATTAAAATATTATTTAAAAGATGGTACAATTCTCTGCACAAAATACTACAAACAGCCAGCTTGTAAAGCGACAAACATTTGTCATCAGTTTTCCCTATGCAGATGATAAATTCATTCTATATAAATTGTAATAACATTTAAATAAAATTTCATTTTCAATTATATTCTAACTTATTGTCATTAATTTCAGTTTATATTATATGTAAGTAAAATAGATGAAACCTTGTCTTCAAGTTTATCCATCAAGGTAGGTGGCATGTGTTCTCCTTTGGATAACAAAGCAGTGACAGTTTTAGCATCTGCGATTTCAGTCCATCGCAGCTCCATCTGTTTAAGGGCAGCGTTCACAATCGCTACATCTTGTGGAGATTTCCTGGCTACTCCCCAGTCTATCAAGAAGCCCAGTTGCTTGTAGGATAGCCTGCGGACTCTCCAGAGGATTTCCGTCTGGACTGAAGCCAGTAACGGATGGGTAGGGGGAATCCTCATGATCCAGAGGGTCCTTAAAACGGTCACCAGATTGCCATTCCACACCAGCGACACCTGGAGTAAAAGAATGTACAGATATCAGATATAAACTGACACAAATACTATATAAGAGGAGGAGTGATAAACAGAGGAATCCTTACCTGTTTTGACAGAGTGTCCATTATATCCATGAGCCTTGAATCTGTCAGGATTTCCGTTTGGTCTCCCTTAAACTTTCCCTTTGTCTTAAGCATTAGCTGAGTCCACTTCATCAGGGCCACAGCCGCCTGATTACCATTACCTCCATATGCTTCCCAAGTGGACAGGATGTCCTCTGGAGCTGTCGCCTTCTCCATCGTCTCATCCAGCTGGGTGCGAGGAGGAGCACTGGGATAAGGTTCATCTTTGGTTACAGGGCTTTCACAGAGCAGCCTCTCAGTGACCCATAGCCAGCTTCTAATCCTTGGTACCTCTACTGATCCGCCCAACGGCGGATGGAAGCGAACAGTGCTGACAGCCGACACAGCCTGAGAGGAGGACTTGCAGATCAGGCGGGCACATCTGCCTAGCAGGCGGTTGGCCATTGGGTCAGAGAGGTGGGACTGGAGAGTAGAAGTCCTCACAATCTAAAAACCAACATCCCACCGTAGAGCTGTAAAAATCAGAGTTAGCAAAATTAAATCTGGCTTGTTTTGTTGAAGTTAGTTGACTTGTCGAGATGCAGGAATCCACCAACTTCTTTCTGTTGTGTTTAATTAATCAGTTAAATAAAATGAAAACAGGGCATATCTTGACCCTTCATTAATACCATCCTTGAACATATTCCCGTCATTTTTCAGCTGTATATTAATTTTATTAAATGGTTCAAAATATCATCCAAACTCCAGTTTGTTGTAGCCATTTTCAAGCATTCTAGTACATTAAACTCATAAGAACAGATATTTTCAAACTGGTTTTGATTAAAGGACAAACTAACCCATATCCCTATAATAGGTACATTATCTGATCGTGTAAAAATACATAAATCATTCAGCTATTCACTTGGTAACAACTCAAATGTATTTTGTCAGGGAGAATACGAACTGATTTGGTTCAGATAAACCAAATGAATGAGATGAAAGGGGATTTGGGTGACCAAATATGATGGAGGGTATAAGAAACTGACACAGAACTGATCTATAGGGATTTTAACGTATAACCACCTATTGGATTTAAAGATAATGGACTGGAAAAAGGCATTAAATTGGGCCTGGTGTATGTTGGACTCCCGACAGAGCTGCTCTCTGTCACTGGTGCTGTTTATAACCTTTATGGCCGGGATTTCTAGGCACAGCAAAGGGGCAGAGGGGTCTGGTTTGGGGACTGGCAGATCTTATCCCTGCTTTATGCAGATGACATGGCTCTGCAGGCTGGCTCCCTCCTTCCAAGACCGACAATTAAATTTAATTCAGTTTATTTATGTAGCGCCAATTCACAAAAAATGCCATCTCAAGGCCCTTTACAGAGACGATTCAACCAGATCATACAGTCAAATTGATTGACAGGATGCACAGCGGCGGTTAGCAGCTGGGTGTGAAGCAGCTAGGATGAGAATCGGCTCTTAAAAGTCCGAGGCCTTTATTCTGGACTGGAAAAAGGTGGCTTGGTCTATTCAGGTTGGAGGAGATTCCCTGCCTAAAGTGGAGGATTTTAAGCATCTTGGGGTCCTGTTCAGGAGTTAGTGGAGAATAGATAAGGAGATTGATAGATCAGAGCAGCAGCAGCAGCTATAATGCATACATGCATTGAGGGAATGAGGGCCTAGTGGTTAGGGCAGTGCGCTTATGGTCTGGGATGGGTTAAATGCAGAGATACATTTCTCCAATGTGTCGTGGAGAGCTGAGTGAAAAGGCAAAGCTCTCAATTTATCTGTCTGTCTACATTCTTACCCTCACCTATGGTCATGAAATCTGGATTGTGACCCAAAGAACCTAGATCCCGGATACAAGCAGCTGAAATGAGCTTCCTCCCAATGTGGCTGGGCTCTTTCTCAGAGACAGGATGAGGACCTTGGAGTACAGCCGATTCTCCTCCACATCAGGAGGAGTCTGCTGAGATGGCTCAGACGTCTGTTCTGGACGCCGCCCTCAGGAGGCATTTCAGGAAAGTGCAACCGGGGTCCCAAGACAAACCATAGGGACTATGTCTCCTAGCTGGCCTGGGAGCATCTTAGGCTTCTCCTGGCAGAGCTGGAAGTGTCTGTGAAGAGGAAGGTCTGGGATTCTCTGCTGAGACTGCTGTCCCTGCTTACCGGTCCCAGGTGAAGAGGAGGACAACGGAAACTGGCCCTGCAAAAGTGAACTAAAATGTCCAATTTATGTTTGGGGAAAGAGGAAGGGGTGGGCAGGCTGATTTTTAATTACAGAAATAGAATAGACTCAACTATCATCATTGCAACTATGTCAAGTAGAATTCCATTTCCTAATGCAGCAAAAAAAAAAAAAAAAAAACTCTTCCAAAGAGTAATTGGGTGGATGAAGCAAATGCAATGTTTTTAACACCACTAACTGCTTTGACTGTACAAAGATTAATCTTACATTTTGATTTGCTTCCGCTGAGGTAAAGATTAAGCCTGGTAACAATTATCCATATCTTTGTCATATTAAACGATAATTAGCTGTTAAAGAAGTGAGTTAAGATTCGGACAGATTTTTAGAAATGTTTCTAACTTTACATGTGACAAGTATATATAACAGACACAAAAAACAACAGAATAATAAAAAAAATAAAAAAAAAAGCCAACTGCTCTGCCACAGAATGAAATTAAGAGTGATAATAAAAGTCTACAAAACATTTATTTCAAGCCAGGGTTGCAGTTTTTCTTCCAGGTAAAACTGAGGATCATTTGATCATTATACTGCAGAATGACTTTGATTAAAAAGGCTAAATGAGGTAGAGAAACACTTCCACTCATTTATTTTCAATTAGATAAACATACTACTTCAACAAATAATTAGCAATTTTCTTTGATTATTTTTTAGTGAAATTTAATAGCTTTCTAAACAGGGTAAATAAACCTCAATTGTCTGAAAAAGCATCAGAGCAGGTTTGAACAGAACACAGTGAACAAAGTGTAGATTAATAGTTAAATCAGAGGAATGAGCCACTGAGTGGAAATCATCTACAGTATCCGAAATGAGCAGCTGCTCAAATCGTTTATACAACTAGAAGCATGATAATCGAATAATAATAATAATGCCCGTCATAACATGGTAAAGTTTTGTAGTGAGGAATCAGACATGTGAGTTTGCATGAATCTGTCAGAATTCAGTAAATGCCAACTTTTATGTCCTGGATGATAAAGAGCCAGATCTCCACATTAGCATCACAGAGGTATTGGAAGCATGAAGTTCTTGTAAGATTGGAGACATGCACGGTATACAAACTGAATCAGTTTTAGTGCGGATTTCCAAGTGTATGCATCGAAAAGTTCTTCATTTAGTTTTCCAAAAGGAAAAACTGAGACTGAACATGTTCCTGTCATGTAACACCGGATCCTGACCTTGTGTGGGAAAGAAGGGACGCACAAACCGACGCTATCCTCCTCGTTTTCTATTCTAGCACTAAAATCATGAAGTCTGAATAAACACAAAATCAAAATCAATGAAGGCGAATAGTTACTTACCTAAAACTGTGGATATATATTAGAGATAAGCGACCGTGTGAAGAAATGTCTGGCGGAAACACTCGTCGCAGGAAATTGACGTCATAATCCATTGTCATGTGACCCACGGATGAGCCAGCGATTGGTCCTTTTTCTAAACGGATCAGATAGTAGGATGGACATTCTATTAGAAATATATTATTCAGAATAAAAATATCGGTTAGATAGTTGTATTGTGTAGATTCCAGTACATATTGGAGTAGAAGGAAACGAGCAAGGCAAGGCAAATGTATGTATTTGTATAGCACAATTCAGTACAAAGACAATGCAAAGTGCTTTACATGATTCAAATACAGAAAGATAATACAGAATCAAAGCAAGTAGGAAAACATAAAAAAAATTAAGTAAAAAAACGCAAAAACAAAAAAGAATATTAAAAACAGTTGGACTACAAAAAATATGTTTTAGTTGAACTGTTTAACTAGAACAGTTGAAGGCAATCCTAAACAAATGTGTTTTTAGTCTTGATTTAAAGGAACTCAGGCTTTCCGCACTTTTACAGGCAGATTATATGCTAATCAAAATCCTATTAGTTTTACAGTTAAAACAAGTAAAATCGGAGGGAAAGAGTATTAAAGAAAACCTGATGGAAAAATGGCACACACAAAAAAGGTGGGGTGAAGAAAAAACAGGAAGACGGTTTTATAAAATTCAGAAGATGGTTGGAAAAAGAAGAAATTGAAGACAGAATAGAAAGGAGGAGAGAGTGATAATGAGGTTAAGATTTGGGCATACAGGACTTAATTATACACTTCAAAATTCAAAAGCGAGAGAGGGCGAATGTGTGTATGATATAGACTGTAGAATACAAAGTTATGTATAAGCATATTTGTGTGTGTGTATAGTGTGTATATATATATATATATATATATATATATATATATATATATATATATATATATATATATATATAGTTGTTTTTTTCCCCTTAGAATTTATGTTTATTAGTAGATAGTCCATCACGAACCACACTCCATACCAGTAAGTGGCGGTAATGCAACTAAATGCTTNGAAGGCAATCCTAAACAAATGTGTTTTTAGTCTTGATTTAAAGGAACTCAGGCTTTCCGCACTTTTACAGGCAGATAAAATGCAAATCAAAATCCTATTAGTTTTACAGTTAAAACAAGTAAAATCGGAGGGAAAGAGTATTAAAGAAAACCTGATGGAAAAATGGCACAAAAAAAGGTGGGGTGAAGAAAAAACAGGAAGACGGTTTTATAAAATTCAGAAAATGGTTGGAAAAAGAAAAAAATTGAAGACAGAATAGAAAGGAGGAGAGAGTGATAACGAGGTTAAGATTTGGGCATACAGGACTTAATTATACACTTTCCAAAATTCAAAAGCAAGATAGGGCGAATGTGTGTATGATATAGACAGTAGAATACAAAGTTATGTATAAGCATATTTGTGTGTGTATATATATATATATATATATATATATATATAGTTATAGTTTTTTTTTCCTTAGAATTTGTTTATTAGTAGATAGTCCATCACGAACGACACTCCATACCAGTAAGTGGCGGTAATGCAACTAAATGCTTCTTGCCAACCGCCAATGAATCAAAGAAGAAGAAGATATTAAACCGATGCTTTATTTTTTCACGTACAAACATGGCAGAAAAACATAAAGAAAATGTTATTAGAAATGCTGTTATTAAAAAAAAGTTTATTTTAATACTTTACTGCCGTTCTTCCCGATTTAAAATATACAGAAACATTAAAATGTACAAATTTAATTGTCTAACATTCATTACGTCAATATCAAAACATTTTTCCTTTAAAAGCTGTTTGAAACGAGAATATATAGACATCTGTTGTGCCTATATCCTCTTTTGTTACTTATTGATTGCCGTTTCGCCCCCCAGTTGAAATGTACTCTATTCAACCTGCCAGATGGCAATCTTGCCATCCCGGCGAGCAGAACCACTTAAAACATAACGATCCTCGGCTGAGCAGAGAGTTTGGATACTGTCTGAATGGGCTAGAAGCTCCTTCGTCACAGTGAAACTGTCCAAGTCTACCACCAACACCAGGCTTCTCAGCTGACCATCACAAAAACCACCAACTCTGCTCCATCCTCTGCAGCCAACCCAGATCTAGAGAGATTAAATGAAGCACATCATCAAAATTAGGCAAACGCACCCTAGAACTGTTTCAGTGTCTTATTAGTTTCATGAATCCGTGGCAGGTTATTTCTCCATTCAGTTAAACCAATTAGAATAAGATAGATTTTTGGGTTGATTATTACAATTATATATAAATTCTAAAGGGATTACAATATGAAAAATATTTCTTAGATAATTAAAGATAAACCTTGCAAACTGACGTGTATTCAGAACTCACCTGGCTTTTTACTCTAATCATACACGTGACTCCTGAAGTGCCTGGCAGTGAGATTCTTTTGTGAGGATGTTTCAGGTTGTTTGTCTGCCAGAGACACAATTCCACCGAGTCAGAGCAGCCTGTCCATACCTGCCCATGCTGCAAAAGACAGATCTTTTTAGTTAGATCAACTCGTAAACCACTTGGCAGATAAGATTTTTCAGCAGCAACAAGTACTGTATAACGTTCAGGTTCCTTTTATGCCCTACCAAATAACAGAATACTGTATAAATGTGTGAAAGGCACAGCTGTATTGCACTGGTTAACATTCTCAGTCATCCAGGTCACAGTCATTACCAAAAAAAAGTTATAAAACAATCCACTGAACTTTTTTTCCAAGTTTGAAGACGTTTCGCTTCAAACCTCAAACTCAACACTATTCCTGATATTTTGAATTAAAAAAGCTTCCTGGATGGGAAGCGAAACGTCTTCAAACTTGGAAACAAAGTCCAGTGGATTGTTTTTTTTTTTACTTTTTCGGAATCACAGCTGTATTGGTTTAAAGTTTCAAAGTCACCTCTGGAATGACAACAAAGCAGCTGAAGCAACTGGGCATGCTGCGCAGATCCTCAGGAAGCACTATCCTCCTCTGTGGTGTGCCACTCTTTTTCAGTTCCACAATGCTGTCACCACAACCTATACATGCAAAAACAGATTATACAAGAAATACCTTTTAGTATCCATTTACTGATTGTTTAAGAGCAGGCAGGAGATAATTCTAAAAAAAAGAATGAGGGATTTTCTAAATCTCATTTCATTTATGCACATATTTTTATAATCAAAAGTAATTTGATATATGACTTTAAGCTAGATCTGGGAAATGTATTTTATTGCTTAATCAAATTTGCTCTTAATGAAGATTTAACTTTTTTTGTTTTAGTTTTCAACAATGCACCACTTTTTTTTTTTCAAAAGTACAGAGCGACATCAGCCTGTCATATTTTGTTCTTAGATGTATATTAAAACTGATCAACTAGGTAACTGTTAGAAAGTACAGTAGAAAGATCATAGGTTTTATTTTTATGACATTTTTTTATACTTTTATGTGACTAGATAAAATAATGCAGAATTGAGATCTAGACATTTTTCTGAAAGGTGAACTGATTAAACAAAGGGCAGTAGTATACATTTTGTGAACAATACAGACAAGAGAAAAACAAGCATTAAAAATAAATAGATTGTAAGCAATTTCCCTCTTTTTTAATTTTATATTGCAACTGCATGAAATTCCAAAAGTAACACATAAAGATTCAAAGCAAAGGCACTTTTCCAAGGATCCCCATAGTCGGTTTCGTTTAACAGAGCAGAGGGCTTTAGTGAAACAAGTTCTGACGGTTTCAGTTCAGAGGAGGCAGAGAAACTAAACATTTTCTTTCCTGTTTTACACTAAACACGTGGGGTAAAGAATTATCAAATGGCCCTTAAGAATAGTGTAACCTGTAAGTTCTCACAGGAATATTGTATAAACAAATAAAAACCAAACCAACAAGAAACTTGTAAACCAGAGTTATTCAGAATATAAATTTAGGGAAGGCAGGCCAATGTTAGCATGCAGTTCACAATGGTGGTCACTGATCTGTTTATTCACTGCATTGCTGATAGGCCAGTGGTAGTACACGGTGCTGTTGATTCACCAGCTGCCATATTGGTACCCTTTAATTAGACCTGCTGGAATGTAAACAATGAGTGCACTACAGCATCGAGCAACGAGGATTTTCACATTTTCAGGCGGCTTAAGACTGAGTCATCTTAAGATAGGCTTAAGATAAAGTCATCACATTGACACACTGTTTCATAGCATCGGTATATTACTGTAATTTATGGTAAAAAAAAATAGGTGCATCACATTGCATATTAAGTATAAAGTCCATGGAGACTATAAATCATGTACTAAAACATATTATACAAAATTGATCACAACATAATTATTGCGTTAATGGAGCATAATAAGAATGTAGTCAGATATTAAGAATATTACACCCGCACACACATAAATACACTTTTGATGTGCTAACAGAGCTAAATTGATGATGCACATATAATATATATGTATTGATTACATTGCTATGGAAGTTACAGTACATTACAGGCATTTTTATGGCGCAACTCCATGAGAGTGGGGAGTACCAAGATGGCGGCAGGTGACTTCAGTTTTTTCTATCAGCAATTCCGTGAAAAAATGTTTATCTCTTAAATGTCTGGTGTGTCTCTTGGTCTTCATGACACTTTTTGTTCAGTAACATAGTGAAGCCTTTCAATACAGCTGTATTTATACTGAAATTAAAGTACGCTAATCTTTCCAAAGTTCTCACTGACTTTTATTGTTTGGTAAACAAATAAAGAGGGTTGGACAGAAATACAACCATGTATCATTTTCCGTTCCCTGACACTTGTATGGCAATTTACACAGAAAATCCCAATTAAATATCAACATTTGGTGGCTTAAGTTGGTGTAGAATGAAAAATCTTTCATTGTTACGTGTATTGTTGCAAGACACTATACTTTTAAAGGTAGAGTGAGAGAACTTCACAGAATTAGACTTAAAGAGCCTACATCTGATCACACCTCACTGAAAAAGATTACTCACAGCACCAAAGGATCCCATCATAGAACCGTATGGAGCAGAGACGGTCACAGCTGAGGTAGAACTGGCGCTTTACCTTGAGGCTGGTTGAGTCCCACTGCAGGATAGTTCCATCACAGCTGCAGGAATAAGCAAGTTGACTAGAAAATGGAGAAAGAGCAAAGTGAAAAAGTGCTTCATGAGACCAGGTAGTGAGATTTAACTAAGACGGTTTTTATAGAGATATCAACCGGTTAAGAATTATCAAGTTTGCACCTGTTGTTTTGCTCTTTGGTGTCAACAGAGAGGCCAGTAACTTCATGCCGGTGTTCAGTCAGCTGTTTGTTGCAGGACATGCTGTTAGTATCAATGATATAAATAACAGAGTCCAGGGAACCCATCCACACCTGATCCTGGATTAGACCCATCATGCAGGTCTGTACAGAAAACAAATCAATGTGTAAACAATATACGGTATAAACAGCCACAGAAAAATGCATTCAGAATAATGAAATGAAACCTGATCTTTTCATATCTTTATCTACACGTTTACTGTATGAGATTCTCATTAGTTAGGAAGGGTACTCAAATTTACAATAGAAAAGTTTAATAAAATTTAAAGTAATTTAAATATATATATTAAAAATATTAAAGGTGGAGAAACTGAATATACATTCATAGCCTTTTGTGATTATTTAAATAAGTGTTAGATAAGATTTCAAAAAGAACAATGCTTTGTATTTTAGCACAGAACATGAAGTGCACTGTAACTGATCCTGTGATAATATAGACCCAGAAACTAATCCTTGTACGAAAGAAAGTAGAAAAAAAAAATGTGAGGGCGAAGTTTTCTATGTTGTAACAATTCTTCTTGGCAAAAACACACAAAATCCTTTCCATGGAAACTAAATCTGTTGAGAAACACTTAAAGCAAGCATTCATCCCACACTTGTAGGGTCATCTTGGAAAAGTTTTTTAGGTCAGATTAAAGAACCCAACTACACTAGCTTTCCTACCACAAATGAAAATAAAATAAGGTAAATAAACAAAAAATATGCCATTCCCAATTAATGTGTGACCACACACCACACCGACCAAAAAAACAAAAAACTTAGACAAACTTTATTGCATTTCTGTATACACAGTGTCTTAGAAACGAAATTTCGATGAATAAAGCTTTTCAACAGTGAATGAGCAGCTTATAGCAGTGTAATGAACCTTTCCATTTTTAAAGTGCAACAGTGATCAGAACAATATGGTGAAAATTCAATAGAAACCTTGAGTTGAGTTCTATTTAAAGGGATCATTCTGAGAAGAAACGAGGCCACAAAGTTTATAGATAAACCGTCAAAAAATTTGTATTCAAACTTTGAACATCGATTTAAATAAATGGCCCCAAACATTAGCCAATAGCAGAATAAGTTTTTCAGAAATGACAGGATTTGGCAAATGTATCATGCATGCAGCCAATATACCCGACTGTGCAGCTTGACCTTAAAACAACTTTTCTAACAACTATGGTACAATTTTAATATGAATGAAACAGTCGTGTTAAGGTAAAATGCTGCTTTCACAACAAATGCATTTTGAAGGAAAAAAAAAAAAGACATCAGTCTTGGTCACTGGTGCACATGGAAATCTGATGCACTTTGTTGGTCTCTTATGTATAAAGTGGATGCAATGGAGACAGTGGGCTTGCTTTATCTGATGTGATTATGTGAAAAAAAAAGTAGTTTTATGAAGTTTTAAAGGAGAAAGTACATCTCAAAACACCATACAGTCAGCATGTGACTACATGGTGACTACATGTTTGAATTCATTTCTACATAAGCAGCATTATTACTAAAACATTTAGACAGATATGTGTGAAATAAATCAGCTCTCACCACTTGTGCCTCTCCAATCTGTAAGCAATCCTGCTGCATTGACCAGCTGGCTGCATCAAACACAACCACTCTGCCCCCACTCAGAGCCACCCACAGCTTTGGGTTCATTACTCGCTGGGAATTTTTGCCCCTTAGCTGTCCTGAAATTGAGGGGGAAAAAATTAAAATTGATAGTACAGAAAAACTACTTCTTTAAAGAAGATTCAAACATGTCAATGTTCAAGGTTACCTTATAGTTTTTTTTGTGCCTTTTCATGCAATTTTACTTTATATCAGTTTAAAAAAAAAATGTTCAAAGCCATGACAATGTAGATGTTGATAATGTATTTCTATGAACATGATGATTTCTATTCATCTAAATATTTCACACTTAATATGTACCATCGGCAGTTTGGTGTAATTATATTTTTTTGTGCATGTTGATTTTGTTTAGGTACTTCTTGCTATATTTAAAAGTCAAGACCTAACCTTGGCTTATTTTGCAGCCATGGCTTTGAAAAGGAGGCCTTCTTCATTTTGTCCTAGGAGTTTATGAGCTCCACATGTGCACATTCAGCCTAGATACGTACATTTAGTTAGTTTCCAAAAGGAAAATTAGCATTTCTTATCTATTTTTCAGAATCAAGAGTTTAATACCATTAATGCTAGGCTTAGCTGTAATAAGCATCCTTATAAAAATGGTGTATCAGCATTCAATACTAGATGCAATGTAAGATTTTTGAAGTGTTAACTTTTTTTTTATTATTTTTTTTTTAAAAACAGCTCTTCAGTAAAAGTTAAAAACAATATTTAGGGTAAAATGCATAGGTTTTACATTTAGGAAATTAAGTTTAAAAAACTTCTGAAATAGAGTTACACATTTCCTAACTTTGGTTCCTCAGATACCTGGTGTGTAAAGAAGCACAGATACAGTCTGAGGTTCTGCTAGGTCCAGAGATGGGTTGATTTTGTGCTTTAGGGTCTCCGAGGTACTTTTAGGAACCATCATATGAACTTGTAAAAGACAAAAAAGGATAAATTACTGTACACACAACAAACATATATTCCAGACGGACAATAGACATATCACCCAGTAAAGTGTTATAGAATTACGGAGTTATTAAATTGGTTATCCAAGTATTTACATCAATTTCCCAAACAAAGTGCGGATTAAAAAAAAAAAAAAAAAAAAAACACGTCTGATTAAAGGGATTGTACCACAAAACAGAGGAAAAAGAGGAAAGACCGTCCAAACCTTCATGTATGATTTTATTAAAGTAAACCAGCTTTGAAGCTGCAGAGATGGACTTGTGAGGGTGCAGGCAGCCAACAACAGCATCCATTAACAAGACATTGGTCAGAGCTTGAGTCATGTAGTGAGGGTCCTGAAGAAAAAGAAAACTAAATCAAAGAGCTAAAGCTAAATGCATAATCAGATAGAAAATTAATGGATGCATGAAAGGCAAAAAAACTGATGGATTGAGAGGTGGAGGGATAGTTGGACAACAGGTGACTCCAGAGACAAACGGATGGAGTTTTGTCGTTTAATTTTGGTACCTTATCTTGGTCAGCCATCTTGCGCCCTGCCCACATCTCTGTGATAATGAGGTACCAGAGTTCAGTTTCCATTTTAAGGTTGGCCTCAAAGAGCTCTGGCCTGCTGGATGTCCTGATGCGAAGAGAGGGAATACGGACCAGAAGAAAGGGGGCTGTGGCTATCTTCACCTCCTAGAGAGGGAAAGGAAGGGAAATCAATTCTATTAAAAAAATGGACAAAAAATAATAATCAGAAAAATGTAAATGTGAAGAGCTAACCTGTATATCTCTGAATTTTGTAATATCCAGGAAGCCCGGTCGTCCCTCAGTGAGCAAAAACAAACGTTTCTGAGTGAGGGCTATTTTTCCAACACCGTGCGAGGTCTTAACGCAGGATGACAACTTGTACACACATTCACTGTCGTCGAGTTCGCTGATGACTTCAGAAGGGAGATTTACATCTTGTGCTTCGGCCTCTGTCTCTTTCCAGAAGGTGTAAAACACTCGGAAAACTTCTGGATCCACCTGATTATGTTGTCCTGGAACAAAGACAGAGTTCATAGGTGATATAAGGTTATTTATATTTAACATAATAAAACAACAGTGAGTAGATTCATTATGAAGAGCTGAACTTGTGCCACTACTAGAACCACACGATTTGGTTTCCATGTAAATAAAAAACAAAAACAAAAAAAAGAAGGAAAAGAAAAAAAAAAAACTTTCCCCATAAAAGATGCAACACAACACTGACTTCAGCGTTAAGCTCTGTCAAAGTTATGGTGCATTTTCTTGTGTTTAGTTTTGCATGATTTTCTTTTTACAACAGAGTAAAAAAAAAAACTTTGAGAAAAAAAGTCAATATTTTCTTCTGGAAACAAAGCTTCTTTAAGAAGTTGGTCATGGCTGAGAACATAATGTGATGATGTCATGACCTCATATCAAATGCACTTGTGCTTCCCAGAGGTAATAGTTGTTTGAAAGGGCAATTAATCAATTTCTTTCTTTGGAAATGTTCAATGTGCCTCAATTTTAAAGCAGAAAGCAGACTGATTTGTAAGCTGCAAAATAAGTATTCTGTTGTTCATACCGTCTGATTATAAACATGACAGTAACAGAAATATACCATCAGACTCAGCTGTAAAAGTTAATAGTAGTTATTATTAGCTTTAGCATCAGCCATTCTGTTGTCTTAAAATAAATTCAGATTAGAAATAAGAATTAGAGCAGTGGTTCCTAACCCTGTTCCTCAGGTACCCTTGTCCTGCATGTTTAAGGTGTTTCCTTGGTGCATCACACCAGAAAAGAATGTATGATCAACAGCCTTCTGCAGAACCTGTGTTCGATTTCGGCGGCCACATCCCCCTTTATAGGCTGTGAAAATAAGAAGGCTGGAAGAGTTGAGCTATCGGTCCAAACAGGTCCTTCTCCAACTGTCATTGGCCCTCACTCGGTGTACAGTCAGTCAACTAGCAACCATGACGCCAGGCTATGATGTAATCGGCCAACTAATCCAGCCTTTGGAGGACGCAGTTACCAAATTCAAACACAGCCCTTGATTGCAGAGTGGGGTACATAATTGAAAAATCAGGTGTGCTGGAACAGAGACGTATCTAAAACATGCAGGGCAGGGGTTTGGTTTTGTTTGGCAGGCTTACTGCTACCCTCCTAAAAGTTAAGGCCGTTGAGAGCCATACAGACCCCTTGGGCCATTATAGAGGTGTTATTCAACTAATTGTAAGTTGTCGTATAATCACAACAGTTATGAAAACATTTTATGAAGGTTGAAAGGTTACTGAGTATTTCATTTAGAAACGTGTTGTATTTAAATTGTAAAAAGACTAAATGCTTAAATTTGACCAAGTTCAAAGGTAAGAAAGATCATAGTTACTATGCTTTATTTTCCCATCATCTTTAGAAGATTTGTAAATGACTAATAACTGTAAACCTCTATCATAACTTCGTTTTACAAATCAACTGACACTATCTTGTTGTAAATGACTTAATCGATCCATCTATGGGTTAAAGCTAATTGCAGTTATGCTGTGCTCTTTGTTGCTCGCCCTCAATAGTCATCACTGCCTCTACTTGATGCACCATTTTAGCCATGTTTTGTTGATGCATGCATGCATGCACACACACACCCATACATATGTATGGGTGCGTGTGTGTGACCTATGTTGAGCCAATGTATTTGTTATTTTTTAGAAATTTAAGACTTTCTCGACACTTTAAAAATTCCATTTGACAAAAAAAGCAAAAAAGTTTACTTTTGAAACCAATTATAAAAAAGCTGCTCAGATCTATCATCTTGCTTCAGGTATCATCTGTGAAAGACTTCAATCACCATTAGCATAAAAATAAAATAGCTTTTCAACTTCTGAATGGATCTGTGTATGCAGATATTTGCTTAAAATGCATGCAAATTTTAAACAATTTTATGTTAGAAGTTAGGTTTCATGCACTTCAAGTTACTTAGGCATTCTATCTTAACCCTTACCATTAGTAAGTGCATCAAATAAACGATGTATCGTTGCAGCATCCTTTACAATTCCACATTCCTGAATGTAGCGCACAAACTCATCCCGATCCAAGGGATTCTGAGGAAGCTCAAACTTCTTGATGTGATTTTCTGCCTGGACAACCGGCTTCTCATTATCTACTTTTACCTAAAAAAGAAAAAGGAAATGACTTCACTCATTCACCAGCTGATATGGAGAGAATATGCATGAGTTTACTGACAGACCTTGAAAATAAGTCTCTTAAGCTCAGGTCTTCTGTGGGCTTGCTGCACCTCGTCTTGCTGCAGAGAGTCCACGAGCCATGAGACCAAGTGTGTGGGAAAGATTGTGGTGTCAGTTTTGTTGAGATTCTGGAAATCACTCAAAGCGTCCAGTCGCCTTGAGCACAATGTGTTGATGAACCCTCGTAAATAGTAGAATCTGGAGAAATGACATACCAGGAGTCAAACTGGTGGATTACAGTTTTATATAAAAAAATCTAAGATCTCTTTTCAGAAAGTTGGAACTTTATCTAAAAAAAAAAGAACAAAGAAATCATAGCACCTGGCCAGCAAAGCAGAGTTTTCATTTTGGACCGAGAAAATTGCTTTTCCCAGCAACTGGATGAGCTCACTGTAGTACGCATGGACAGAGATGAAAGAAAGAGACACTGGAAAGTCTGGGAGTTTAAAAACCGTTATGGGATTTGGTGGTGATTTCAGAGCTGGAAAGAGAACAGATGGGAATGCAAAAAGAGACAAATCATAATTATATAAAAAAAGAAGGATAAGGTCTTATAAAATAAATAAAAGGATTGCAATTTTATTATATCCAGCCGTGTCTACACCAAAAGATTCTGCCTATTAATGATTAAATAATAGATTTTGAATCTAATAAAGCAAGATAATAACCTAGTCTAATGAGCAATCTGGAACTTTTATAATTCCAAATTTAAATGCCAACATTATCCAGATTATGTAATGCACACGTACTTGCATATAGAATATAAAATGTGGAGACCCACAAACAGTATAAGACTTATTTCTAATAATGATTTTGTTTGAACTACTTTTTAGTTTTAACTATATTGAAAGCTTCAGTGCAGTTTGGCCAAGCAGGTTCTGCCTCATGTCCAACATAGACGATCCATCTCACCTGAATTAGACATCATGATCCTGGTTAGCAGTGAGTTTCTGTCAAAACTGAGTGTTTGGTAGCCTCTTAAATTAGGCAGGCTCATCCCAAGTCTCTTACTCAGTCCGAGAACAGAACCCTTTCTCTTTGTCAGAATCTCTTGCATGGTGGGTCTACGTTGAAGCTCAACTGCAGACATCATCCTATGAAATGGATAGAAAAACAAAACAAGGTGCCTTGTAGACTCACCATGATTGGGCTAAATCACAACATGATAACAATTCTCCTTGTAAAATATTAATGTTTAAATATTATAAACTGGTTCCTATTAATTAAATAAGTTTAAAGGTCTGAATCTTTAGCTTCTAGCTCTAGTTTGCGTGACAACGGAGGGACATGAGGGCAAAAAAGAGCAGGGATCCAGGTGGAAAAAGGGCTCCTCACTCTTCTGGCTGGTCAAACTTCAAGAGTCATTTTCCACAATGGAGGTCATGCAAACAAAAAAAGCCGGTAAGGTACCAAACAGGAAATGCGCATAGAGTAAGGTGGATGTAGATTTGACCAATCAAATGCCTCCTGTCTGTGGTACTGTCTGCAGTCGTCTAGAATTTTGGAGAGGTGCAGCAGAGTGTCTGTGGAAGGGACGAGGGCACATTTGCTTTCACTCGAACACATGCAGATGACCTGGTTTCTGAGTATAAATCAGCCTTTAGTCTCAGTTACAATAAAATAGGAATGAGGGGGAGAAAAAAAAAAATCAACCTTTTAACTGCTTAGTGCAGTATCAATGCAGAGCATCTGAACACCCCATTCAATGTTTACAACAAATTCTACATAGGATTTGCCTCCGGACTTTGCCATTTTTACCTGTCTGAATATGCAACACTGTAGTCCAGGCTTTATGCTTAGGGAGTTTTGTCCTAATAGAAGATAAACCTGCTCTGCCTGTAACTGCAATAGCTTTTCTTTCAGAACTGTCCAATATTTAGCCTAATCGATCTTTGCTCACATCCTGATGGGGCAACCCCTATCTTTAGGGATGGTGAGTTCATAGTCATGCAAACCATTATATTTTTGCCAAACAAACATTTTATATGTAGGCCAGAAGTTTTTATATGGCCTCACCTTATCAGAGCCCATGTTTCCACATCTTTACTTTATATCCTCCAGAATTTATTACAGATTCTAACTAGGAGAACTTATGGCTTTCATCATGTTCTCTGAAAAACCACTGAGGATTTCACAGAACAGCTGCATTTATCATTTACCGGTACTTTACAATACAGCAATAATTTTAACCTATTAGGTTCCAATAAACTGATTTTTGTGACAGTAAAGTTACAAAATCCAAAACTGCTTTAGCTGGAGTAATACTTTTAAAGGTGCAAAAATTTCCAGAGGATGTTAGGCAGCTCAGTTGACATAGGAACAGGCTTTCAGACTATAGAGTGAAAAATCACAAGGTGAATGTTTTCCAATTAATGTTGCAGCACTACAGTTCACTCATTCTGATCATCCTTTGAAATAGAGCCCATCGGGCTTTAAAATCTAGGCATCATTGTCACAAGATCAATAAATATGCTTCTTTTTGCTATTGCCTTTAAGGTCTACAATTAAATTGGATTTCCAAAGCTGGGGAAATTTACCTCCGTCACTTATCGGAAAAAATCAAGGGAGTTAAAATGCCAAAGCAGTTTCTTTTAAAACAATCAAAACATTTCCACTTTCTATGGCAAGTGAAACCTTTTTTTCAGGCCTCAGAGAAGCAAGTTCAGTGGGGGATTGGCACCCCCTAATTTTCAATTATAATAGTCAGCAACACATATTGATAAAACTCGCTTTGGTTGAAATCTTTGGTCTATATTGGAGGCTCAATCCTGTATTTCATCCTCTCTAAGTGCTTTGCTTACTTCTCCCATTCCTTCCTACTCCTCTCTTTTTACAAATAACCTGATTCACACTGAGAATTTGGTATCAGTTTAGGAAGCATTTTAAATTGTATGCAGGGTCTGTATTATTTCCTTTATTGAGGAATCATTTGTTTTAAATTTAGGTTACATATCGAACGATTTTCAAATGTGTTAATAAGAGGATGTTATTTTTCAGTGACTTTTAAAACAAAATTTTTTTTCTGTAACTTAACAGATCTGTCAGAAGAGCTCCATCTTTCTCTGCATCTTTTTGTAACTTTGTACTTGCAATATGACTGACATCTTCAATTTTTTCTTGTTGCTTGTTTATTATTTGCAGAATTATTTGTTACTACATCTAAGTTTCTGTCAGGGACCATTAGACCCTCACCCCATGTGGCTATACTTGGACATCCAGTTAACTAGAACCTGTTTCTGAACAGTTAGGTGTTTCAGCCTGAACTCACTTTTCCCTCCTTTTTTTATTATTTATTCATTTTGTAGAGTAGGAAAAAAATTAGAATGTAAAGCATATATTTTTCTTTTGTGCACATATCATACCTGTTCTTTTGCATACGTATTCGTTTGTGATATAAATGGGATATTTACCATAATATTAGGTAATATTTGACTCATCTCTCATACCTTGTGATTTTTAATAAAATCTATTAAATCCAAACATAGTAACATACTTCTGCATCTCCGAACGAGTGCTGAGCTCCATTTGTGCAAACATATCCATTTTTTTATTGAGGCGATCCCTCAAGAAGGAGTGGAAAATGTGTGTGTCCAACACCTGCAACACAGACAAGACAAAAACGTAGATCTTTAAATAATTGTAGATAAACTGTAATTAAAGATCTACAACCAGCAATAAATGACTCTGATCTAAAGTTGAGGCATACCGTTCTGTAGAAAAGCTGTTCATCTGGGTCTCTGCTTTTCAGGAACTCCTCACTGTGAAAAACTCGATGTTCATAATTCAGATGACTGCTAACATCCCTGATAAATACACATAAAATAACCATAAATACCATAACCAGACACAGGTTTAAGAAACAGATCTATCTGGACGTTAATATTCAGAAAACCTGAATACGTTGACCAGCAGTTCCAGGGCAATCCTCTGGATCTCATTATTGAGTTTTTGTTGCCACGCCCTTCTTTGTGCACGCTGGTCATTGATGTCCATGCAGCTTGCACTGTGGTACTGATCCAGGTCAAAATGTATCTGCAATGACTGACTCCTATAAAAGAAAGAACATATTTTCATTCAATAGGCGCAAATCGGTGCTTTGCTGTGGCTCATCTTTGACTCATTGCACCTCTGTATGAAGCAGTCTGCAGCAGCCAGAGGAATTTCTGGAAGATCAATAGCATCAGATAAAGAAGTGGAAACATTCCCTTGATCAATATTCACTAAAATCAAATCATCTGTTTCCTGAAAACACAAAAAATAAAGAACTAAATTACATCTGTGCAAATAAAGGAAGAGGATAGAAAAAAAAATCATCAGAAATTATTTAAAACAGACATATTTAAACTTTTTTTTAAAATACTCATTTATGTTGATTTGGTAGATGAAATACTGACAGTAGCAACTTCAGTAAGATGGCTCAGATGGCATCCCATAAGAAAGGCAGTTGGAGCCATAAGAAAGTCCAGCATTCCTCTGGCTAACACAGGAACATAAGGATGCTGCCATGTCAGAGGCTGGGGGCGAAGATAAAGAGTTACACAAGTGTTACAGCAACTATTCCAACCACTTTCTGGCTGCGTCTTCATCTAGAGTTAACATTTTGCTACATTTATAAGGCTGATTGTCATCAACATTGGTTCTACTTTGAAAAATGTAATTTTTGCCCACAATTAAAAACAAAAACAAAACTGATTTGCAGTTGACAGATCAGATATTTTTTTGATACTACACCTGCAAGAAAATGAACAGACATTCTGCCATTAGCGTTAGTCTTGCCCAGTCGGCAGAAAACAACACCACTCGCTGTTCCTGAAGAAGGCAAGAAAGCACCTGCAGACAGAAACAGGAGATGTAACCATCAGCCTGAACTCCTCTTGTTGCATTTAGATGCTAAATTAGGGTTGAATACCAGCAGTAGTTGCTGTGGTCGGAAGCAAAGGAAGGGCAGGTGGAGTTCCAAGTCGATAGCTGGAAAATTTTTATCCTCTCTGGAAGGTAACACTATAGTCAAAGGATTAAATTGAAACATCTGGAAAAGAGAATTAAAAGCTTTATTTAGAGTAAAACCATCCTCTGCATAGTGTTAGCTAGGCTTTTGCTTTGGTCCATTTGATACAATATTATTGGTTTCTGATGCAAGTGAGCCACTATCACCCCTAAGATCTTTCAAAAACATTGATGAACATTTTATAAACAAGAATTACTAGAAATAACCAGGGTTCAGTTAATAATATATTTAAATTATAACAAATTTGACAAATTAAAGATGGGATATTTATCCCATGCAAGTAATTATGTTTAAGCCCTTCTTTCAGTCTTGTCTACAGAAAGATTTAACATTACACTTGAGTTACAGTAGTTATTAATGGCTATTAAAATAACTACCTTGAAACTAAACTTTGCCAAACATACACCTTACAAAACCGGTCCAATCATATTTGAGGAACATACCAGATGAAGGTGTCCAGGAGGTGGAATTGGTAAAAGGCTCAGCTTGATGGCAAATTCTTTCAGCCTTTCTTCCAAATCTGGTAACCGACATGATCTCAGCTGAAACAGAAGACTGGCGAAAAATGAGAAAACAATGGAAGACATGGATGATATAGATAAAATATATGGTTTTATCATAACAGATAACCAGACTGAATAATGAGACCAACTTATAACCATGGTACATATGTAATATTTGCACTGACAGGCAATGATCCGGTACTATTAAATGTTATAGATTACTTCTGTTTCTCACCATGACAGGCAATCCTTGAGTGCAGTAAAGTAAGGATACTTGGATATGATGCAGACACCAAAAGGAGAATAAAGCTTTGAGAACTTTGAAGATCCACCCCCATTCTGATAAGACGACCCTTCCTTTGAAAGAAATAAAAAAAAAAATAAAAATAAATATATATATATATATATATATATATATATGTATATATATATATATACACACACACATATATACACATACACAGTATGTATACCACAGTTTTCAAATAAAACTGCATTTATGATAGTAAACAACAAAACAAAGCCCATTGTCCCTCCATAATTCCAGATATTTCTGGTTGTAGGTAGCTCTTCCCATATTTTAGAGTATGCAGAAGTTATATTACTGCATTCTTTGTAAAATATGCACACCAGTATTTGACGATAATACTGCATCACTACTCCGTGGGTCTTGTTGCCGAAGACGTCAGTAAAAACCAGGAAGTGGAACTGCTCAGTTTTCTCCTCCACACTGACACGCAGACCTCCTGGTGACAAAAACATTTACAGTATTTTAGTGCCAAGGTTTATTTAAAGAAGCCCTTTTTGTTTCAATAAAGGGATTAGTAGCATAGAGCCCCAAACCTTAAAACTTTGTTGATGGTTTTTTTTCAGGAAAAAGTATAGCTGGAACTAGTCTCCTGGTTCACAGTGAGTACTGGTTTAATGAATTTAAGTGCATATAGACCTTAACCACAGTGGTAAAATACTCCAACATTTAACTGTTGTGTCTATACATTAACTTTACTAGCATAAGGTGACACACTTATGGAAATCTTTTAAAGCCAGATTTAAGGGAACATTCTTAGATCTAGATAAACTGTTATTTTATGTTTCTTTCTAAAGCTGTTCAACCGTGGCTCTCTTACAAAGACTAGGTAGCATTTTTTTCATTCGTCTGTAAAATAAAAGTTAATAAAAAACAGAAATTGTTTCCCGATTTAAAACAGATTGAAATGGTGGACTTTCTTTAACTTTAGCTTTATTATTCTAAGAGTTTCTGATGCTTTCAGTCACAAGAACCTTTTAAAGTTTTTTGGAGGGATTTGCTGGTGTTTTGTGCTACATTGCCTGGACTGAATAGAGCTTTGTCTAAGCTAAAGTAAAAAGTAAAACAAAGAGTCTGTAAAGACCATTGATGGAGCTAGAATCGATTTCAGTTCCTATGTGGTGCAGAGAGTACAATCCCCACAAAGCCTCTAGCAGAAGTATGTATGCTGCTGTCACTGAAGGCAAAAGTAATCACTAAAGGTTGAAAACTTAAAGTAACAAAGATCTTTGAAAGTTCAGATCCAGATTATGATTGCAGAACATTCAAATAATGAAGCATTCTGTGTTATTAACAGCTATTTTGAAATTAGATTTCTTTAAATAAGAAATCTGAGATCAAGAGATTGATTCAAATACAGCTTAATCAACTAACATCAGTGTCTTTATCATTTTCAGTATTTGCTCTAGAATCAAAACTTGCGTTATATGCATTACAGAAAGCCATCATTTAACTTGTGAAGGGATGTCTCAGCTGTGTGTACATATGGGTGGGGTCTTTGTGTTTGGGTGTGTGTAAAGGAAAATAAATATTTTACCAGGAAAACAGAGTTGAGGCAAAGCCATGAGATCGACATTTTTTGGTACACTAACATCTTGGCTTCCTCCTTTTCCATATGATGCATCTTGTTCTGCAAGAATTTAAATTTGTAAAACTGTGAATTGTGAACTAATTCAACAAATAGCAAGGCTAGCAAATAAAATATTAGGAACACAGAAAATGTTTCCTGCATTATACTTTAGAAATGATCAGTGTTAGTCTGCAGAGAACAAGCCTCAATAGTAAACAAGTTTTTTGGGGGTTTTTCACCTGAAGAAAGGTGTTCCTTCTTTTTTCTGAGAAACGAACGGTGTCGCTTTCCACGTGACTTCAAGGCCTCATTCTCAGCTGTCCTGCTAAGAAACGGTGGTGCCAGAACATGAAGAATCTCTGGCTCCAACAGGAGAGACTCTGCATTTCTATCGCTTTTAAAAGCCTTAATAGGATAGAAGAAAAATACACAACATGAGCTACACTCCATAGTTTTATGAAATCAATAATTTATCAATATGTTTATTAAATTTCCAGGATATTTAGATCCTTTTACATAGTGTCACTTTCAGACAGATGTGTTTTAACAAATCTTATCTATGTGCCTGGAAGCAAGAGCGTCCCATGTCCATCACTATAGAAATCTTCTGTACATCCTAAAAGTTTGAAAATTAACTTAGATAAAAATGTAACACGGCAGTTTTATCTATTGATTTAGCTGGGATTCCACCTAAAAACTGTTTAGTTTATGTTAATCTGAGGTTTAGTTCACTTTTACAATCAATGTCTGCTTCTATCCAGATTTGTTAGCCAAGTTGCACCCAGAAAATGTTGTATTCACACATTTTAGAAAAGAATACAAGTATTTAGTAATGAGTTTTTTTTTTTTACTTTTATGCAAAGATGAAGAAGATTAAAAGTAACAAATTCAAGAGATCAATTTACCAAGAAACACTGAAAAGATGTTGCCTGATGCATATAGACTGTCAGAAAACAGACAGACTGCTGAATCTGCACAGCATTGGTTAAAAACCAAGTTTTATAAACGTCAGAAATAAGTTCCCCAAGGTTTACTAGCAAGACTGCCATACAGAAACCTGGTAGACTTCCTGAAGTTTTTCACTGGATGCTCCGACCACCACACAGGCCTCCAGCAGAGAAGGCAGCAAACAGTCAGTCATCACTAAGGAGAGAGAGAGAGAAAAAAGAAAACAAAATCCAAGATTCAAATGGCTGTGAACATCTGCTCTAGCTCTGATCAAATGGATTAAATCACATAAACAGGATTTATGGAAGGAAAAATAGTGATATTTTTTCTGGACAGTGTTGTTAAAGTTACCCGCAGTGTGACGAAATCTTTTATCATTACTCGTCATACGTTATAATGTGTAAACAGCCATGTTTTCCAGCTAATCGCAGAAACAAATGCTGCAGTGATAAAAATGCTCTGCTCACATGATTACATTTTCCTAGTAATGAATTAATTAAGAATGCAGAGCAGGATTGAACCCTTGGCAATTATTCTCTTTAGACGTGTCCAGAACTAAAATTAGACTTTCAATGAATTAATTGAATGAATTAAATAGTGTGGAATAACTATTTGTTCCATATCTATTTATACTACAGATGCAAAACATAAAAACTATTAAATATGCTACTCAATGCACTTGCATCTGTTACTTATTAAAAGCTGGACTGTTTATTTTAGCTTGATGTGATAGAAATATATTAATATTCATTACAAAATGTATAAAGTCTGGCATTATCAATAGCATGAAGCATAAAGCACCTATTTTTATTTAAAAGCCATTGCTCTTTCCATCTCTATAATCATTTGGAACATATTTGTCCAATTTTGATAATTTCCGTAAATTAGACCATTGCTTTTAAAATGCTGGTTTAAAAAGCATTACATTTCGTGAAATCTTTTTAAATTGGGAATAAGAGATCCTATGCCTGAATCTGCTGTTTTTAAGGGAATATTTTGTTCTATTCGCTTATTCTTATTTATCAAAAAAGAAAGATAAGCGGATTAGACAGTTTATAGTTGTATCTGATCACATTTTTTCATTTTCAGGTTAATCCAGATGCTCTATTTACACAAGATTTATTTTTTTTTTTATACATTTACTGAAGTAACTTTTGGAAAATGACTCTTTATTTCTGCCTAGTCATAAAATATCAAAGTAACACAACTTTTACTTGAGTACTTTTGGCTACTCCACAACAGGCTCTCTGTTAAGGCTTTCCTAGTTTAGGCATTTAGAAAACACAGACTAAGATTAAGGTTTAATTGCTTTTTTGCAGCATGAAGCTGGTTGCTTATGAAGGTGGGTTTATATAGAATATAAAAGGTTTATTTAGGTGTTAGATCCTTTTTTGAATTCTAACTTCTCAAATTTGGCTTAAATCAGTTTGTTTTTCTACATGTGTGAATTAAGTTACAGTAACATACAGTAAGCTTTAAAAAGATCCACAGATACCTACTCATCTAAAAGCCTGATTATTAGAATAAGAAGTTAATGCACCTTTGCGTCCAAGCTGAGAAAAAGAAGGGAATAATTAACAACTAAAAAGAATAAACATTACAACCTCTGAACTAACAGCAGAAAAAAAAATATGTCATTTTTCTTCTGCAATTCGCGCACTTCTCTAAAAATTAGCACGATCTTTATCTTTAACTTTATTTTCTGTCTCATGATCAGTAAACAATGATATAGGAAAATAATAATACAAGTAAGTCAAAGAATTAGACTTGATGTTTTTTGGGGGGGAAATCCAATTAAATATTGCATTGATTATCAGTACCAACAGGTGAGCTGATGCTGCTCAGCCTGCAGGCAACGCAGATTATAAAAACAAACATTCAGACATAATCTGCTCACAATGCGCCTTAAAGCTTGATCAAGTCGTTCTAATTTTACTCACCGTCTCCAATGGTTTATTGGCCCCTGATTGTCTAAATCTTCTCTTCACATGACTGTCACCTCCAGGACAGAAACAAATCTGAAGTGTGTGGAGCTCCTCCCTGAGTGAGGAGCCTCTGTCACTTTCTCCCAACTTCCTGTTTCTCTTTAAACTCAAACATGTGCGCAGATCAATGGAGCAGAATAAAGGTGACCTGAAGCGCCTCTGTCAGGCAATACAGGCTGTTATGTCATGGTTTGGTCTATAAATTAAAGTAATCCAGGAGGGAAACGTAACAACTTTATTTTTCAAATAAAGGACCTTAATAATTATGTATACGTGTTATATATCTATATCACCTACTAAGACGTTCACGCTTTAATCGTTTTTTTTTTTTTTTTTTGCAGCCTCACGTGAACCTGGAGGAGAAACAGAAAGTGGTGTAGTTACCGAAATTGGCCGGGAGATGGCGGTCGTTTAATAATTAAAATGACGCAGGGGACGGCATATTTGACATGGCCAGTTTCTGTTAGTTTAACACACGCAAAAGCAAACTTACGCCCTTTCTTTCCCTGTGTGTGTGTTTTCCGTCTGTATCATTCTTTTATTTTGGCATAACCACAGTCTGCTAAGGAATGTCGAGTTATTTCTACTTTCATACTTGATCTCATTGCATTACTTTGGTTGCTGTGGATCATTTGGAAACTTCAGTTGACAAGAATCTGAACTAAGCCTTTTTAAAACCAATGGTATGATCAAGATTTAAAAAGTTAAAAGGTTTAAAATGTTGAAGTTGCAAATCAACTCTAATCAAAATAAGCCCCTCGATAATAGGCTTAGTATGTTAGAATCATGCTTTGGCATCATTTTTTAAATAGAATATTTTATCCACTTGTCTTAAAAGATTTCAAAAGCATTTACTGTGAGTTAGAGGATTTCCTTAAATGTCTACACCTTATAAATGTACTCCCAAATCTTTGTGTGAAAGTGAGGCAAAGCGATCTCAAACCACAATATTGTGGTTTGAAATCGGTAGGGTCTTTCAGAAAAACTTTCTCATAACAACCATAAGTGAAGATTAAAAAACAGGAGTATTACTGGTTAAAGGCTAGAATAGACTGATAAGATGCTGTCAGGGTATTAAAACCTTACAACTGGAATAAAATGTGAGGTAGCCACATGGTTAGGCAAAATAGTTTTTTTTAGGTTTTTTGGTGAGGCTTTCATGTCCCATAAAAATTTCACTGTTAGGCATGGTGGTGGTAGCATTATGCTAGGGTTCTGTCCCATTTTGAGAGGTAAAAGAGTAGAACAAGTTTTGGAATGGACAATTTAATTTCAGGCCTCTGGAATAGAGCTAACATCAACTATACTGAAAGTTAGGCTTTAAAACTGAGTCAATCATAGCAAACCAATTTAAGCAAACTCTATTCATTTTTCTTAACAGTATAAGGAAAAATGTAACAGGTCGTAGTTTCAGGCTACAAAACTGTATAGTTTCTCTGCAGCTTTCTAACGGACACTTTATAATGGATTATATTGACCTATTAAAATATTGACAAAGTTAGAGAAAGTAGAGAAGTAAAACCAACAATTCCTGATTTTTAAACACTGAAAAAATACCCTAAATTTGAGTAGGTAAATGAGTTTGCCAATGGAATGAGTATTTTTACTCTCAAAATAAGATAATTACATAACATGCACTTGAAATAAGACAATGTGTGTTTTATTTTAAATGTAAATTGTCTTTTTCCATGGATAAAATGTTTCTTTTACCTCCTCAATCCAAGAACAAATTTCTTATTTTAAGAAAAAAAATGACTTCTCGATTTTGATTTTTTACAGTGAAATAAGCTGAGTCATCTGTATATTTCAACCTTTAAAAGGATAAAAAGAAACAAGCAACTTTCATATTCAGGATGAATCCTTGTAAACTTAATACACCACCATGTAATGGCTAATGTCATAGCCATTACATGGTGGTGTATGATTTTTATCAAACACACGGCTGTAACCACTGGGGTCAGAAATAACAACTTTGTCTTAGTAGAGGCTCTTTTAGGTATAAAATCTGATCTTTTTCATATTTTCCTCCTCAAGATAAACTGTTGCATTTTTTTTTTATCTTAAATCAAAGAACAATTTACAAAATTATGTACATCAGCACTCAAAAGCAAAGATCAGTTTTACCAGTTTTACTTAACACACAATATGCTCATTTGTCAAAAAAATTACAAAATATCTCAAAAAGGAAAGATTGCAATACACAGCCCAAGTACAGAAGTTTGGCACAAAAATATGTTTGACAAAAAAAAATCTTTATCAAAACTAGTAGATAAACCAAAGCTTTAGTAACAGCAGTTAAGACATTCTTCTGTTTTCTCAAATTATTGAAAATAAATCAAAGATCTCAATTTAGCAAACCTTTATCTTTTCCTCTTTTGGGGAAAATAAAATAAAATTAAGGTTTTGTAAAAAATGTTTTCTTTGATTGGATATTCTTTCATAATCCTGATCTCATCTAAAAAGTAGACAAAGATTCTTTGAGAACTGTTGATAGAAACCATCAGAGCAAAAGAAAATAACTGAATGCTTAAACAGCGAATTAGATCTGGGGTTGCCATGAATGGAGCGATTATCAGATTATTATCAGATTATCAGCCATGCAAACTGCTCCTTACTGTCATTTAGCACATATACAGATTCTTTGAAAGGACACAAAGTGTGAAGTTTACATTTCTGAACTAAACAAACTCTGTAAAACAACTTTTAGTGTTTAGAAATACAGTTTCTGGATTTACACCATATAAAAACTTTTTTCTAAAGCTCACAGACCTGTTAAATGAACTTTGGGGAGTGAAAGCCTGCTTCAAAAATTAAATGTGCTGCTTTCTGTTAAAACATGTTTCTCTTGACTTGTATGCTCATTTGTGTATGCTCATATTTTTGTACTCCCTTGTGAATTCTCTTGAACAGGACAGATTTACAGCTACCGGCTGATCTGTTTATACAGCAGGGTAAAGGTCACTTGGTGTTCAAGGGAATTCTCAAATATAATACATTCATCTCCAAAACTATACATCCTTTTTTGCTCATCTTCAAAAATAGTGTTTACAGATATGAAAATTTCAGCATTCAAGAGGAGCCATGCTATCAAAAAGATCTGAAAAAAACAAGCAGGCATGTCCATCTTTTTTTTTTCTTAACAAAACACCCTGAGATCAACTTGAATTAGAACATTTGATTAAAAAAAAAATTATAATAATTCTGAAAACTCCAGTGTACCACTATGAACACCAACTGAAAATTATAGAGAACTCCTATGTTTAATTGGATAACGTTTTTGCAACTAAGTTTACTTCAGGAGGTTGGTACCTTATAACATTATTTTTGTGTTTGTAAAAAAAAAAAAAAAGAAAAAAAAGGAAAAAATACGTTTAAAATTTCAATTAATTAGATCTAGAAAAGAAATATTAACATTATGTAATGCTTCTTAAAATATGCAGGGTTGCACAAAGTACCCTTTTTGCAACATTATGATTGTCCATTTCTTAGTCCAGTAGCAGCAGCAAAAGTAAAATGTGACACATTGGTGACATTTGGCACCATTATCATGCCAGCACTGTTAAAAAAAACAAAGTGCTTTGTGCTTCCAGAAGTCTGAACTAAATTAGTTTCACTAGTTTGACAGCTTGACAATGTTTTTTTTTTGTACGGGGTTAGTTGTGATCTGATGAGCTTAACATGATTTTTCTTAGTGTTGAGGTAGTGTTTGCACAAACAGAGCAGGATAAGCTGGCACTGCGTTTACATTCCCTTAATTATACAATCTCCAACATTTTACTAGATGGAATGTAATTTCTATGCAATTTTTTTCTTTTTTGGTTTCTTTGCTGGTCCAGAAGGCTTTATGTATGCACACAGGTGTTTTAGTTGTAGAGTAAAACCCATCATTGTGCATCTTTTTACCCCTAGACAGCAGAGGCTTCTCTGGTGTGATCTGTAAGGTTGAGCAGAGCTAGTCTCTGGTTGTTCGTCCTTTCAACGTTCTGATCCTCCTCTACAGGTAAAGCATCAGAGTCTTGATCCTGTTCAGAGCCGCCGGGCTCTGGGTCGGGATAAATTACAAGGAAACACGCAGTGAGGAAGCCAAGGAAGGAGCCCCCAGAGGCCACAACTGGAATGACACGAACACTGTCGAAAGCCTCAACCACAGATCCAAGAGCTGATGCCACCAAAATCTGGCTGATATAAACCTGGAAATAAAACAAAAACATGAGCACAGGTTAAAATTGTAAGTACATGGCTTCTGTTCACATCCAATGCTTAACTTTAGAGCTAAAGCTTGTTCATCTTTTAATTTAAAACAAAGGAATAGAAAGTAAAAGGTAAAGCTTGCCTGGCAGGTTAATATAGCACAGTCTATACCAAAGCCTCTTCGAGTGTTGGCTGGACTATGGTTGATATACTGTGAAAGAAGAAAAAGTCAACATTAAACCTTTTTTGTATTAAATTTAGTTTTTTGTATAAAGATCAGTTTGAACCATTTTTAATGTAAAAACTAAATGAAGCTGTGTGGAATCTTACCTCTTTGATTTCATGGTACTGTCCGAGTAAAGCATAGGGACAGTAAGAGATACTCATGGAAATGATTCCCATGCTACTGATCATCACCATGGCAACATAAACATTAGGGAAGATTGCCATAATTGCAGTTCCTAAAAAAAAGCAGTTTAAGTTTGTTACAAACCTGTCAATCCTCAACAACAGTCTGTAACAGCAAAGAAAATATTTGTGGACCTTAATATGTGCATTTTATTTATTTATTTTTTAGTGTTATATCTTTCCACAGCATTTTAAGTGTCCCCGGATGAGAATGTCAATGGGATATTTTTCCAACTTAGGATTACGTTTTATTAATATCTGTGTGTTCCATTACCCTAATGAAATTATTAGATCTGGAAATGATGTAAACGAAACCAAAAAGGTCCAGTTAGGGGGGGTCAAACATCACATTAAACTATAATACATCACATTTGACTTACCTATTGAAAACCCAAGAGTGCCCACAACATAGATGACCCTAATACTCAGATCAAAATTATCCAGAGACTTTTGAAGAATTCCTGGAACAGAAGAGGTAAGCTTTTGTTTACTCAAGACATTCTAAATGTAAAACATGGAGCTCAACTGCATTGTGTGCAACTTCCTTTTGTGTATTGCAGTAGTTAGCACAGTCTTACATACTCTGGACTTAAGAAAGTTGGTTTACCAGAGCAGACAGCAGCAGTAGCAGCATACACCACCAGCCCCCAGCACCCCATCTGTACTCCCCTGTGATAATTTAGTAGCTCTGTGGAATTGGCTGGTGCCTGATGAAAGAATACAGGCACTTCAATACAAGAAAAACATAATAAATACTTGAAATGCAATTTTAATTTATTACAGCCCACACAGATGTTGTGGTTTTCTCTGTTAAGTGAACACATGGAGGAGTGCATTTACCTGAGGGTCTCCACTGTAAATGACCTGACCCATGAAATCAGTGTAAAATACAGATTCAGCTATAATGGAGAACCATGTAAAGAGGTGGCATACACATAGTCTCCAGAGCTGCTTTGGCATCTAAAGGAGATGGAAAGTGAGACAATTAGCCTTTTAGCTGAAAAGAGAGTTCCTACATTTTTAAAGTTGAAAATTAAAATCTTTAAAGAATTAAAACAAAACTCCATTGTGAATTTATCATGAATATTACCTATGAGCTTTAAGAGTGGAAAGAGTGGAACAAGAACTAAACTTTTAGACTGGGTTTAAAGCCCATATTTACAAAAAACATTTATAAACCCCTTGCCGAAGCATGAAGAAGTACTCCTACGCTGGTTTGCTGCTGCGTTTTTTTTCTTTTTCTTTTAAGCTATTTTTCACTTTTTTGTGTAAACTTGAACATCAATGGCCGAAAAGAATCCTGAAAAACGTAAACGTAAAAGAAAGCTTTTTGTCGAAGTTATGGTAATTAGCAAGACGGTTAGCATCAACTAAAATGATTTAACTTTTCTGATGGTAAAAAACTGAAGTTATGTGGCCACTTTCTCATCATGGAATGTTTTTATTACGAATATGCTGGATTGCGTTTTATCCGTAGATCCTTATGGACAAATGGAATATAAACAGTCTAAGATTGGATTAATAATACAACCTCAGGAATGCTTCAAAGGTTGGAAGTCGGAGCTTTATTTAAGATATTCTGATTTAACATGCTGCTATATCTTTATAAATTGTGCTTTGGTCCTCATGGTGTCCATAAAATGAACTTGTCGGTTGAAATGTGGAGAACCTAAGCTTTCTAAGGATGTATAACATGTCAGTATTGGTAAAAGTTTAACTGGTGTTATTTTCAAGTGTACTACTGTAAATAAACAAAACAGACCACCAGAGTTATGACAGGCAAGAAATTTCTCAGAATTTATCTGTCCATCAAAACTCTCAATTTTTGGGCATCCATGCAAAAGAAATACGAAAACATTAAGATTATGTTCCTATAATATGTTTCTACAAAAGTTCCCTTTTTTCATATTTCAATCTGTTTTCTCAGCAGTATGCAAGAGGGGAGGTAATTCTCAGGCAGGTATTTCTTGGCATAACACCAGCAGAGGTGTTTTCAGCGTAGAGAACTTTTGTGAGCACTGACGCATGCGCACAATTCAAAAATACACAAACAGCCGTCGGACATATCTTCCACCACAGAATCCTCTTTCATGCCTTTAACCTACACTAGCATATTTCCCTCTAATATTGTATAAGGAGGCCAGGTCTAGAGTACAAAGGTACAAAATTTATTTCACCTTGAACATGGAGAGCCAAAGCAGTCGTACAGTTGTGCCCCTCTCAGTTTCCTCGTCACTGCTTGAGCCCTCAGAAGAAAGACTGCTAACAGATGGCAGCCTCTTTTTTTTGAACATGTGCTGCCGGATATTCCGTAGATCTGTCAAGCTGCGGGAGGTGGTGATTGGCCGAGGGCTTGCAGGTCTTGTGCGTCGCAGTTTACAGCGTTGTGTTCCCACTCGACCGTAGTATGAAAAGGTAAAGGAGGGCTGAAGATGAAGAAAGACCAACATACATCTTTAATAATCCCAAAGGGAAGTCAGATTTTGTAATGGGGCTCATTTATTTAAGAACTCAATTCCCTGAAAAATGATGTGAAAACAAAATATACACAACTGTACCTGTCTATAGAAAGTTGGTCGAAGAGGCCGTGAGGGAACTGCAGTATGGGCAGTACGGTTCACTGGTTTGGTGGAGGAGTGATCTTTAACAGCGTTTGAGGCACGAGAGGAATAGAATGCAGCATTAATGCCATTAGCAGCGCTATCATTCTAAAAGGGAAGAGAGAAGAGGTAAAAAAATAAATAAACATGAATTAAATGTTAATACATTAATTACAAGCAGAGATTGTATGCCTCTGCAGAGTATTTTAGTTTTAGTTAGCCAAATAAGCTTAGGAATAATCCTCACACTTTAGTAGTCAATTTCTAAAAATGATTCTAACCACACATAAAAATTGCAGTTGTATTCACAGTGTAGGATTTTACTGATCTTACATGTGTATTCTCTGACGCTGAACTGATCTGAGGGATAGAAGGCTGACCATTTGCTGGATCCTTTATCTGAGGCCCATCTGTATTCTCAGACTCTACGACAACCACCCCATCTGTGGGGTCTTCAGGAGGAGATGACGCTTCCACCCTGTTTTCTGACGGCTTGAAGGCATTGTCCAGATCATTTGGTAAGAAATTCGTCTCAGTCAAGAAAACTTGTCTGTCTAGGTGAAGGTCCGAGTCCAACTCGATTGTAGCATCTGGCATGGCGAGAACTGAATCACTTTTACTTCGAACTCTGTCCACGGCTAGGAAATCCATTTCCCCTCCCTCAGGATGCAACTCTTTCTCTGCTTTGGAGGAGGCTGGTCCAAAAGCGTTCTCCTCTTCAATTGCCGCGAGAGAAGTCTGTGTGTGGCCAAGCAGTTTTAAAGACCACTGACTGGAGGATTCTACCCCATGCCTGGATAAAGCATTGGTCCTCTCAGGGATACTGAACATATGCAGTGTGACAGAAATAATGAAGATAACCGCTGCAAACATGAAGAGGACTTGTTCTTGTGATTTGAATGCTCTACCCAGAGCTGTGCCCGTCCAGTCGAGGCCTCCCAACATGTAGCCAACAGCCCCACCAAGTCCTAAAAGACCAAAAACACAACAGGGTTGGCAGCAGTTCTGGATTTTAAAAGGAAAGCTTAATTTGCAACTCGATTTTGTTTTTATGCTGATATGCTAAATTAGAAATAAAAACTGACTAACTTCAATGTAAATGAAATCCTTTAGATCAAGACTGTTGCCTGGCAAAGGCATTCAGACCCCTTTAATTGTGTAAAATTCAACCACAAACTATTTTGTATCATTTGGAATTGAATGCTATACCTCAGGGATCTGCCACCTGTTGCTCTATGAGCCCCTCACAGTGGCTCCTATCAACTTACGGTAATCTGAGGACTGTTAAAATATAAAGAGACAGGTTTTGGTAGCTTTATTGTTTTCAGACAATACTTGCATGGCATGCATATGCTTTGATCAGAAGCTTTTAATTTACCAAACTCTGGCTGTAGGTTTAGGGTAAGTCTTTCTGGAAGGTGAACCTCAACCACAGTGTTAAAAGAAAAGTCTGTTCATATTCTGAATTCAAACTTCTGAAAGTGCTTTAAACATCCAACTCCCATGCACGTGGGCATTATCACTTTAACTATAGTTCTAGCAAATTTCAATGGTGAAATCTAAAATAATTGTTTTTATTTGAAGGAGTGTATAATAGTTCCCACTGATTTTGCTTGTAAAGCGGGGCGAATGTTGCTCGGCTTACCGCACCGTGACATCACTGCCAGAGATATCAGGAGTGAGGCGTTACTATAATTGGGCAAAAATGGCCGCTTCCAGACTTGGTGATCCCGACAGAAATTATTATTTAAATTTTTTTACTGATTAACGTGCAATTCATTAAATCACCGGGAATGTATTAGTTTTAGGTATAGATAATGATCCATTGATTCTTTCTTGCTGACTGGACTTCTTTTCCTTTTAAATCTCTGGCAGCCTCTAGCGGTGAGATCATACCAAATGGGATAGACCACCAAAGGAAAAGAACCTGGTAGCTTCTCCCACCGAGCATCAGACATATCTGTGGAAACTTTTGTTGAGACGCGCTGCTCTAGATGTGCTTCTGACTTCAAAGTGCATAACCATCCAGGTTGAAGTGTTGGACCTCTTTGAAGCACATGAGATGTTTTCAGTCTGAAGGCTAAATAACAGCCCTTTATAAATCTCTGAGAACTGCACTGGACAAAATTAACCAGTACTTCTTAAAAGATAGTTTGTCCATAAATGGACTCTTGTTTTATTCCCTTTGTGACTTTTTATTCAGTTTGTTGTACTTGTACGATATTGATTGACGTGTTTGCCATATACCTCATTTTAAAAGTTAACAAATAATAGAAAAACAAAAAGTAAACATGCATTTAAAAAGTCTTATATATAAGTCTTACCAGCACAGAGGCCATGTATATTCAAAGCCATGTCTTGCTCATCAGTATCAGCAACGTCAAGAAGGTAAGCTGTGATTGGTCCCTCAGCAGCATCAGCACAGAAATCCAGCACCACAACACCAAGAACAGTGAGGACGATACCAATATGCTGCTGGTTTGGTGTGTCACCAATAGAAAGGCCTGAAACAAATCCAAACACACACATCGAGTTAACCTGCCAGACGTGTAATCGATGCACCAGCGTTTTTGTTCTGAAACTATGTCTCACCAATTACCGCTCCGTTTAGAAATAGTGCCACACCGAGGAGCACTCCTGTGCAGAGAGCTAGAATGAATGGTCTCCTCCGGCCCCATCGCAAAGTGCAGCCGTCACTGGCTGAGCCAATCAGTGGAGTGAAGATGAGACCCAGGATGGGACTGAGAAACCAGGTTAAACTATAATACTTCTCAGGAAGACCTAGACAAAACAAAATGGAGTCAATCATATCAAAATTCAGAATATAGCCAAGAGAAGACAGCCGCAGCAGTTAAACTAGGTTTACGGTGAAACCCTGCATCATAATTTATCTTCCTATGATCATTCTAGAACTGGTATAGCATCACATTTAGATCCTGTCTTCTACTTTAGTTTGTAACTGCACAATATTAATGGAGGGAAATGTTCATTTTACAACTATGTCATTTCTTCCTGGAAGGTAATCATTAAAAATCTATTGGAAAATAAGTTTGTCCAACATGCACATTCGGAATACAGACATAGTAACCAGATAAGGTGCAGCATTTTCTCCCATTTCCAGCTGACTACCTAACATCCTTGTGAATGAATAGCTGGCCTGGTTAACACAAGCATAGGATTTTAGTTTGTTGTGGACCTACATGTCAGGAATTCTGCAAAAATCCCCTGGAAAAAAAAAAGTACTATTTGTGAGGGAAATTAATGAAATATTAATTTCCCTCACAAATAGTACTTTTTTCCATATTATTTTTGTCCTCTTAAGACATAGACAACTAATGAACCACTTATCCTCACTAAATATCAATAGCTTGAGGAATGTGTTAAACCTTTAGCATCAACTGTTATAAAATACAGCAATACATAAATAAAACATAAACATGTACAAATGAGGCATGCTGGTAGTGAGAGAACTCTTATGTGGATCTGGTCTTTGGCAAAAAATACACCTATAGTTTGGTCATGACGAGCATAAAATACTACTTTGTATCAGACATTTTAAGACTTGTCATGCTGAAATATATTCTTTAAAAAAAAAAAAAAAAACTTTTACCTAACTTTGTACAACATAAAAGTAATCCCAGGGTAATCCCCCATGTAGTTAATTTACTTAGAAAGAATTGGCAGTAAAAATGCCTGTAGTTTACAAAACACAAACCTAATGTGTTACTAGATCCTTTGGGCAAACAATGTTAATGTTTCTGTTAAAAACATTAACAATCATGAATGCAAATGAAAAAAAAATGTTCCTTTTACCATGAATGCTCCTCTCAGAAATGACTTGTCCACAAAAGCATGGCAAATTCTCATACGATTTTTTATAAACGTTATCCTGAATAAAGAGTCAAAACTTTAGTCAAAAATGTAGGTCTCCAATAGGGAACCTTTGGAAAAGTCAAACAGATGCTTCAAAAATTGTTCATAACCACAGTAAATGAAGTTAACTTGATATGTATTACATTAAAAGAAAAGAACAGCAAACCTAAAATGTGCTGTGTCATGCATTCTTCTCATACCTGGCCAGGGGACGCCGCCTTTGTTTTATTTCTGCTACGCTGGCAGGGTTGACAAACTGTAGCCCCTCATTGGGTAAGGAAGTTACATAACACAGATATGCAGCCAAGGACACAAACTAATTCAGCCTGTCTAAGATTTAACGATAACTGTAACCTTAAAAAAAAGATGACATTTTTCGGCGTTTTGTGGTGACAAGCTGCACATGTCAAAGTCTTTTTGATGATAATAGTCCTCTACAAAGTCAAACCCCATCATTCAGATGATAAAGTAATCCCAAAGTGGCAAAGTGTGGGCATAATGCTTTAATGTCCTGAAACAGTTCAGAGGAATGCGGCCATAATTTCATACTAAAATACATCAAAGAAATTATGAGCACAGCTTTTAAATGTAAAATACAGTAATCCTACTTATATTCTTCTAAACATTTAGCTACTGATGAAGAGTGACTAACTTCTTCATCTATTACAAGTATGGAAATAAAGAGAAATAGAAAATACCATGTGTTTTTTCAGCTCTTATATTAGTTCTCTGGTGAAAGTAAAAAAGGTTACTGAACTGGTTATAGAGATTAGAGCTGTACCCACCTATCTGTAGAAGCACTGGCGTCACTAGAGCAGTTTCCATGGCATAGCAAAACTCACGTCCAAACATCACAGCTGCATGCATCACCCAGCGATACCAGGGGATCGGATCTGTTCTGCCCTCTTCATCCTCACTATTTTCATCTTCCCCGACATTGCTGGCATTTATTTTGTCAGGCAGGTCCAGGGCCTTACTTTCCTCAGCTTCTTCCATTTCTGGCTGGACTTTATTGGAATTATTTCTGGTGAGTTTGTTTAACAACTTTTAGCAAATCCCCCCTAAACAAGCTCCACTAATGTATATTGAAGCAAGAGAAATTCAAATTTAAAAAATGGTCCATAACATTCATCTTGGGTCATTGATTGGAGTAGATGCATTTTATTTTTAAATGGCAGATCAGCTAAATAAGTGGAAAATAAAAATTAGAATGGGATAAGTTAGCAAGGATGGTTCTGATGGTGATCTAAAAGTGGTAGGGATCCAAAAGGCTTTTTCAAAAAAACAAAAACACTTGTAAAGATGTTGCCATCTTTTAATTTTCAGATGTTTTGTCTGTAGAAACCAAGCAAATAATTGAAGGGGTATTTGTGCAGATGCAGCTGGACTGGAATCAGTAGGTGACTGCAAAAAAACAAAAAACAAAATGAGTTGTACCATTAACAAGGTTTAACATGTAGCACAGAAGCTAATATATAAACACGCTGTAGGGGAGAGATGACATTTTAAATGCAGTCTCTTGCAAAAATATGAATACCTCTTGAACTTACTCACATTTTGTCACATAGTAGCCATATGTTTTTTTGGGGTTTTTTTGTGGATTTTTTTCTCTGATAGATCAACCAATTCAGTTCTAGTAGAACATAACTGAAAAAAAGTATAGATGTATTCAGAACCGTTTTGTACAAGTAAAATCTTAAGAGGACTTGCATACGTGGGTGTTAGAACTTAATACCCTAAAGGGAAATCACCAATCAACTCCCTTCAGAAGTGACCCAGGCAATCAAGGTAGACCATCTTATTGCATTTTAACCTCAGCATAACTTTAGTGCTTTGCAGTAGCAGACCATCAAAGCAAATCCCCTGTGAAGCAGGGCAATTACGATATTATTCAATGATAATGCGTTTTGTCAACAGAATTGATGGAAATATCAGTGATATAAACAATGTGCATTCTTTAAAAACAACCAGATAACAGGCAGCAAATAATTTGTAATTGGGGCAGAGGATAAACTTCCCACAAACAAATTGGGCTAAATATAGAGTCAGAACTAAAATGAAACTATTTGTTTTATACAGCTGACAGAGCAAAAATACAGCCTCTAGATGGGCAAACCAGCAGAAGCGTAGCCAGAAAATGTTTTATAAGGGTGGCCAGACAAAAACCAATGTACACTGAGGGGTGGCCAAAAGTAGATAGGCACCAGAACCTCAGGGTCAATCTACACTGTCCCTACAGGAAAATTAATGAGCAAAACATCCATATTTTCTAAATAAAAACAAACTAAACTTTCCTACAGTCTTAGCTAACAAATAGACACATATATTTAAACATCCGTGCTTTCTGGATAAAAGGTATAGTGGATAAAATTCTTTCAGGTTTGAGATTCTGGGGCTTACTTTTTTCAAGTACTAATATCTACACAAATTGATTAATTAAGTTCTTATTACAATTGTTATTTATCTATGATTTCACTAAAGACTCCTAGATGAATTGCAGAGACATCATTTTATTTACCCCATATAACACCAAATGTAGTTCTTTAATGTTAGTATATTGATGTGCGTAATTAACCACAAAAAAAACCAAGTCGGACTCAGCTCCGCAGTGAGATGGACCTGCTCTGACTCGTCTATCCAGAAGCCAAACAAATAGAAGAGGAATATGAAGCTCACTAGAGTGAAACGCACTGCCTTGGCAATTTGTGCAATTTTGTGATCTGAAAGCCCAAAGAAGAAAAGGCGACAACATATTTGGACAAAGACATGACTGAGCAAACGTGGTTACTACGGTCTGTTAATTTCACAGAAAGAACTCTATTTTACTTATTACACCTACGCCATCCTTCTGTGTTTACATCTGAGAGGAGGAAGAAGAAAAAGAAGAATCCTTGTTTGCGCATGACCACTAAGCTATTTTCCCACAACGACCTCACGATTCCTGATCGGGAGTTGTTCATGAGAGGCTGATCGCCCCTCCTTACCCCCTGAACACTACGACTCACAATCAGGCTGAAAGTCGGCCCGATCAAAAGATTCTTGCACGACAGGAAAATCGCCCCGAAAATCTCACAGTGTACACCCGGCTTTAGAAGGAATAAAATGATAGGGGTTGGCCACCCCTGGCCCCCCATTTAGCTCCACCCCTGCAAGCCAGCAGAGAAGGAAACAAATCAATTTGGAATTGCAACATCTGAACACGTTCTAGGGGAGTGTAAATACTTTTGCATAATACTTTCCAATAAAGTGTCACGAGTATTTGGTACTTTTTGCATCCCCAATAGAAAACAAGAAGTCCTCCTAGGCTTAAAAGAAAATGTAGTTTTGCTTCATAATAAACATACAAAATATGTCAGTAGATTTGAAGAAGGAACTGAATATATCCAGAGGTTGGCTACATAATTTATTTTTCCCATTCATAAACTAAAGCTTGAGCTGCTTCACATTCTAACCTTTAATAGGTGTAAACCAATAAACCTTACATCAGAGGCACAACAAAAGCCACATAAAGAAATAAACCACTATTGCAACACACTGTTGTGCAAGAGTTGACTATGTAGATGGAAAGATCTGCCTAAAAACAGCACATGTACTTTGAATGCTGATGTGATTTAACTCTGAGGATATTAGGCTTTTCTACTCTTTTCTATATTTCCCTGCAGGCCACTGCTTTAACTTCCAGCTGCGGATATGCGACGTTTGATTTCTGCTGCTTGTAGATTAGGAGCTCGATCCGCGCGAATAATATCCAGAACGTGTTCTATACGAAAAGCAAAAACAACATTAACTTTCATTACAAAGTATTTAAAGTTTCCTTTTGAAAGGAATGCAGGGGAGCGCTTGTGTAACTTGTCAAGGCTTGTTTTGCTGAAAGAAAAAAAAACTCCTTGGCAAACTTTACCTATCCCGCCTATCCTTAACCGCAACTAAAGCCAAGAGTTTTTTTTGTTTAACAGGCAACAGCAGCAGAAGTTATTCCATTAAAGCGGCTCATTGGTGGACGCTGACGTTAACCCTACCTTGACTGAGGTTTGACTTGCTAATGTTACCTTGACGAGCTAAACAGGCTAAAATAAAAACTGCCAGCAAACGTTTACGACTCGTCTCTGGAAAACCAATAAATAAAGGACATACCTAGACAACTCATATCTCTGCTGACACGGAGCTGTTTCCGGACTTTGAAAATTTCACGGGAAATGTCCCCATAAAAACGTCAAAATGGGGCTAGCGTTCCGGGCTAACCTTCACCAGCGACTGTATGGCACACGCGCTCCACTCATCCATTTCAATGGTTTCCACAGTAACAAGGAGGGGGTGTGGACAAAGATGTTTAACGTGACGTCAAGTAAAGAAACAAATCCATATCATATTGCACTACTTACCATACGCTCTATTTGTTTCTTGAATCCTCATAAATTAGAGGTTGACTGCGCACGTATGGAATACAAACAATTGATTTGCTTATTTTGGGGATATTTGGTCTCAGTACACTAACCGATAGTGTAAATATCAGTAAGCAGAGTGTGCAGTTGCTTTGGGGCACTGCCATACATTCTGATTAGGAAGAATAATAATTCAAGATATCTTAAATTTTGACTAGTCAAAATTCCTTTCAAGATATCTCAAATTACGACACTGGATTTGTCATTTAAAGCGTCACACGCTGATTTTTTTTTTCCTCCTGTGGATTAGACTGACAGTAAGGAATTTTTAAGGAATGATTCTCCTGGAAGCCCATTAAAAAGATCATTACACATTTTGACTAGTCAGAATGTCAATTTAAGATATCTTTACTGAAAAAGCTGAGTAATTCAAGATATGTTTAATTCATTTAGAAATATCTTAAAAGGAATTTCAAAGAGTCAAAATTACAATTCAAGATATCTTTAAATTTGTTTTGTCTAGTCATTATTTGCTTTTAAGATATCAATAATTTAGTTTTCACTAGTCAAAACTGCATATGTCCTATCCTAAAACACATTTACGATATCATGAAGTATGGTGGCATTTGAGATATCTTTAATTAGAATTGTGAGTAGTCAAAACTAAAATAGAGATATCTTGAAATTACTTTATGACTAGTAGTAATTTAATCGTAACGTGGATATCTGAAATGTGTATTTCGGATAGTAATTCATTCGAGATATCTTAAATTGACTTGTCCATACAAGTTAATGGTATATCTAAACGTCTAAAACGTCTAGTCATAAAACAATTTGAGATACCTTGAATGTAAAGGCGGTACAACCAAATTTATGTTAAACAGCTGCCATTGACACCAAGGTAAATCCCTACGCAATTCTGGACTAGGATGTCTCTTTACAAAATTCACCTTTAATACACCTGATAGTTTGACAAGTGACCGACCCTTATTTATACCCCAACTAATGGCAGGTTTCAACAAGATGGTGAGCCGTTTAAACACGATACCAATAGCAAAGCAGACAGTGGTACTTTTAATTACTATGTTAATAACTGTGTATAGTTCATTAGACGGTCGGTAAAAAAAAAAATACACTCCTATAATATGTTTCAAACCGAAATAAACATCTTAAAAGAACAATGCATTTGAGTATTTAATTTTTTACAATACGACTTGGAATTATGGGTAATCCATAGTGTCGATTAAAAACATGGGGGGTTATGGAGTGTTGTACTTCATATGGGGCCCACCAAGATAATGTTGCTTACGGGCCTATGGTTGTGTCGTTACGCCATTGAGACTATCACAGTATAATAATATACAATTAAGAATGTAATCCCAGTTATATGATACATTGAGAAGTTTATAACTCAGTCAAAAATGTCCCAAGATAGGTGTTTACACGTTTGCCTTATCCACAAATATATTATCTTGTAATTACATTTTTGCATTTTATTTTATACTTTGAAATACTAGAATTTGCATATAACTGTTGGTCAGGTCACAAAATTTAGATATCAAATCATATGTTATGAGCAAACCTTTACCCAGTATTTGAGTGACTGTTTTACCAAGTACCTTTTAACTCTTTCTTGAAAAATTTCTTGGATGACAACTTACTACTTTTATTTACACTTAGACTTAGACAGCTTTATTTGTCTTTTTTTTCTTTTTACACAAGTGTAAAACAAAAAGAAATTTCGTTTAGAACAGCTCTCTGGACAATTAGATTTTTTTAAAAGTGCAGCCTTGAAAAATAGTAAAAATATATATATATATAAAAACAGTAATGTAAACATATGACTGTAAATGTACAGTTCTAACATTTGATCAAATAGTTGTTAAAGTAGGACTACCCTTTGAGAAAAAAATGTGGGTACTCTACCTGCTTCAACACATAGTCATCACAGCTTAGTAAAATGGGAATTTGTATATGTCTGTGTGTTTGACTCTATACATAAGAAAATCTGTGGAGCTTCCCTGAGATTTCAAGGATCTTATTTTGCCTTTAGAATTCCTCCATGGCATGGATTAAATAAAGACTGCAGTCAAGATATTCTGAAAATCTTTGGTCCATATTGACAGCATAATACAGCTGCAGTTTTGTTGGATGAGACCTTTATTCTATTGTTCTCAAATGCAGCGAGATTTAGTAAATGTGAAGGTCACTGAAGTGCAATGAAAACATTGGCTGAAAAAAACCACATTGAGGTATTTTGAGATTTTCTGGCACAAGTAATGATCCTGCTGCAAATAGCCATAAAAGGACAGATACCCCCTGGTCATAATCAGAAGCAGGGTCAACATCAACTGTTGATTCATGGGAAAATAAATCCATAAATATATGATGTGTACACCAAATTCTAGCACTACTATATGTCGCAGCTAAAATTGAAATTCGTCAGACCAGTCAACATTATCACAATCTGTAATTGTCTAATTCTGATTTTAGCCTCAGTTTCCTGTGCATTGACAGCCTGTGCTGTTTTCTGCTGCCACAACCCATTTGCTTCAAAGATTGAAATCTAAAAGATGGTATTTCACGTAAATTTGGATGACAGTGGCCTAGGATGCAATGAGAGGCTCACCACTGTTGACTTGATGCCCTCAGGGTTATTTCATCAAGGTTTTTGCAACCACACTACGGTACAGCTGTATAAATTCAGACAATGGAATAACCACAGTGCTCTTATTGTTGGACCTTAGTGCAGCTTTGGTCTTTTTTGATTCTATTAGAGCACCCGGAAAACTCAACTGGCCTTTCTGGTAAAGCACTTGACCGGTTTAATTCATCTTGAAGGACACTCTTCATTTACAGTGGGTAACTTTACTCTTGATATCACAAAAAAAAAATAAAATGCCGCACTCCATCTTTGGGGCCAACCTAATCCATATGATGCTCCTCCTACCCTAGTTTATGAAATAAAAACATATAACCATAATAATGCAAAAAACACACAGTTCTATATTATGATGTTACCAGGCCACTATCATTCCATAATTATTCTTTTCAGGGTTTCGGCTTTTGGCCTTGGCTTCTTAATTTTTCGTCTTTTCCGTTGTGAGTAATTTTTCTCAGTGCATCTCTAGTTTCTGTTACTTAAGCTTGATACCACTGATCAGGGTTGAAATACAGGTGTATTGATAGATTCAGACCTGAACCCTCAGAGACACATAGAGAAAAAGAAAAAGTCTGCCTTCTATTACCTGACAAACATTTCTAGGATTCAATGCTTAATATCGAAGCACAATCTTTAAAAACTTACCCAATTATTTACCTTTTGTCAGCTTGATAACTGCAGTGGTGTCTTCACGGATCTGCCAAATAAATGTATCACACAGCTCCAGTTGATCTGAGATAGTGCTGCCTGCTTCTTCACTAAAACTTACAAAGTAAAGAACATTGCCATAGTTCTAAAGTCCTTAAACTGGCTTCCCATTTTCAGAGAAACATAGACCTACTTCTGGTATTTTATGAATTATTGAATTGCAAATCCACAAAATACTTTACAGACTTGTTGTTAGGGTATCAACCATCAAAACAAATTAGGTTTTCTAGTTCAAGCCTACCCAGAACCAAAAATGGAGAAGCAGAGTTTAGTTTCTTTATACTCCACATATCTAGAACAAACGTCCAGAATTCTATAAAAGTGCTGAAATCCTGGTTTGCCTTAAGTCAAGATTAAAAACCTTTTTCTTTTAGTGCTGCATTTTGCTGTGTTATTTAGACTATTATCTGAACATCTTCAGTATAAATTTCTAGTCTAACTTTTATGCCATTTCCACGTACTGTCTTCTATGTATTTTCTTATGTCCTGATTATGTATATGATGTTGAATTCTCTTCTTACTGAAATGTGCTATACAAATCAAACTGCCTGGCACTTTCTTACTGGTCTTTACTGGATATTTTATGTTTAAACCCTGATATGTAAACCTTAGACATGGTTGACAAAATTCCAGTAGATTGGGAGTTTCAGAAGTACTCAGACCAAGTTGTTTGGCATCAACTTTTCCACATTTAGTGAGAACCGGATCAGAGTTCATTTGATTAACTGTTTTCTTTCCAAGACAAAGCAATATATGGAGCTAGTCTACTATATATATAGTATTACTTAATCAGTGCTACTATATTCCTCTTTTTTGTCAGCTCTGTTCCAACAGTGTGTGTTGACAAAAGGCAGGTCACTTAGACCTGGTTTTCGTGTAAGGTTTCTTCCTGTTAAAAAGGGAGTTTTCCTGTCCACATGTCACTTCATGCATGCCAGCTATGAGCTGCAAAAGTCAATAACATAATGGAGGTGTCTGTCCACTGTTACTAAGTGCCCATTAGAAGAAGAAAATTCTGCAAAATTATTGACTAGATGCAATGTGCTGCATTTATGGATAGAAAATGTTTTAACCAGTGAGACCATATGATTTAAAGTGATTCTGTAAAGTGCCTTAATAATCTTAAAAAATAAAAAAGTTTAGGGTAGTCCTGAGTTGTAAAACAGCAGATATCACTCCTTAATATTTTTTAAATTTGTTAAACACCATTTGTACATATTGAAATCACACAAAAATGTGGCTGAACACTGCAATATGACAATATTTCTATACTGTAAGGAAATGTGCTTAGTCACTTAAAATCAATGATCAGCTCATAAAAGAATTGAAGATATAAAAAGTCTTAATAATCTTTACAGGAGCATTTTTTGTTTGTTTGTTTCTGGCTATTGTCTAAAATCTGCAGCTAAAAATATGTCAATATCATCACTGTTCATCATTTAATTGTTGTTAAATGGTAAATTTTAATACTGAGGCATATTCACAGAGTTGCTATAACTGTACTCAGTAGTTGCAAGAGTCAGGATTTAAATATGAACATTAGGAAGTATTTAGTCAAAGTAATACAAAGAAAATGTGTCTTTTTACCTTTAAATGTGAATGATGTAGGTATATCTCAGGAAGTCTGAAGGAACGATGAGACTTTATTGGTTATCCTGTATTTTGTACAAGCTATGATACAAAGGTCCTTGAGTAACATCATCCAATCAAAGCCCTGGGTGATGAGGATGCCTTAGCATGATGTAAAGCTTAGTTGTGTCAGGTGTCACTGCCCATGTAGCTGATCACAGCAAACTAGGATTCTTTTGAAAGTCTTGAGCTGAAGATCAGTCATAACACAGTAAAGCTGTTTTCACCATTTAAAGAAAACATTTATGTATGTCAAACTTAAATCTTCTTGTTAAAGCAGTTTTATGGTATGATATTACTCTCCAAAATTCGCCCCTGCTGTACACTGGGAATCCTGGTCATCATGATCCTGCTATTGGTGATGGCATTAACTATCCCTCCAGAGGCCTTGGAGCTGTGCTGCATACTGACAATGTCACCACTGGTCTGGTCTGGCTCAGCACGACGCAAAATATGTTTCATTGTGGCCTACAGACAGTAAACAGTGGTAAATAATTTAACTAGTAACAAAGCAAAAATATAATAAACAGTTGTTAAGACATATACAGTTAGTGAGAAAGAGTGGGAAGACAGAACTTCAAGACTTACCTTAAAATTATTTGTAATAAAGCAGTACACAACAGGATCCATACAGCTGTTCAAGCTGCTTAGAGTGACGGTTAAATGGTACACGATCACTTGATGGGGCATGTCAGGGTAGAAGTACAACAAAACCTACAAACACAAAGAAATATATATATATATATAGTGCATGGATGGATGGATGGATGGATGGATGGATGGATGGATGGATGGATGGATGGATGGATGGATGGATGGATGGATGGATGGATGGATGGAAGGCTGGATGGATGGACAGACATGTTTCTCTGACTCACCTGTCTGATGTGAAAGGGAGTGAAGCAGATGGTGAAGATGATCAACACAGTTATCAGCAGCTGGACAGCTCTTCTCCTTCTTTTTCTTAAGACAAGAGAAATGCAAAACTGTAAACAAACGATCAAGGATCTCAAAGCATCAAAAGTTATTCTTCAGGCTTCTTCCCTCCTTTTGAAACTCAAGCTTAAACTGATGTATAAAAGTTCAGATTTACTTTATTCTTCAGTTGCCCTTTACCTGCTCTGTTGCATCAGATGGCGGTCAGTTAAAGCCCACATAATGCGCAGTGTGAAGACAACAATGACAATGAGGGGCAAGAAGAACTCAGTGATTGTGAGGAAGAGGAGCTTTGAGATGCAGCACTCTGTTTGCTGGAAAGCAGTGGAGAGGAAGGAGTATGTAACCACGATGGCAAACAGCCAAACCGTAATGCACACCAGCTTGGCCACGCTGGAGTTCCTCCAACGACGGGAAGCTTCAACCTGCAAAGACAAAGAAGTTCAGCAGGTTTTTAACATCCTGATAAGGGATTAGCAGGACACTATTTATCTTAAAAGACTGAGTTGAGAAAGATGTTTGTTTAACTCACCTGCACAATGGCAAGGTAACGGTCAACACATATGCAGGTTAAAAACAAGATACTGCAGTACATGTTCACAAAGTAACTGAAGATGTGCAAATAGGAGCAGGTGAGACAAGCTCCTCCACTGTAGTAGAGTGAGATGCGAGTTGGCAGAGAGAGATTCACCAAGAGGTCGGTTACGGCCAGGTTGATGGTGTAGATCACAGAGGAGGTCTTTTGCTTCGTTCGGTAGCAAAAGACGTAAATTGCAACTGAGTTGAGCACCATACCCACCTGGAAAAATAGAGGACATAAAATGCCTCACAAAAAAAATCAAACAGAAAATGCCCTAGGACTTTTCCAGCTTCTCGTGTTGCAACTCTACCCTTCAATTAATTTTATAGACACTGTATTTGAAACATCAATTAAACAATAACAAACGTTGTAAAGTTAATATATTTTAGCAAACTACATTGTCTCTTTCTACATGTTAAGGGTTGATGAACTGTGTTCTGGGTCCCTACACTGCAAAAACAATCTAGAAATAAGAAAAACATGTCTTACATTAAGTGTATATACCCCTAATTTGAGTAGGTAAATAAGAGAATCTACCAATGGAATGAGTATTTTCACTCTTAAAATAATATAATTAAACTTTATGCACTTGAAATAAGACAATGCAAATGTTCCTTTTATTATTCTAAATGTGAATTGTCTCATCTCCTAAACTCAAGACAATATCCACTTATTCTAAGAAAAAAAATAATTTACTGTTACCGTAATTGTTTTGCAGTGTATGACTTCATGATGCTGTTTGTTCTTTAATATTCAGTAAATGTTATTGGTTACTCTATATTTAACCTAGTATCAGTATAAAGAAGGCCAAATAGTTATTAACTACAAATGGAAAAACTTCAAACAGCGACAAATGGATAAACATTATGAAGAAGTTTTGTTGAGACCTCCTACCAGGAATATGACAGAGTTTATAACCATCAGTGCAATCCAGAGGCCGTAAAAGTCGTTGTAGAGTCCTTCGTCTAAGTGAGCCAGTCTTTCAAGATAAGCTCCCATGTCACTCCTGTTTGATTGTCTGGCTGTTAGAGGCAGCGTGGAAAATGAGGTGTTGATAGAAAGCCAGGACTCAGTATTGCTGCAGTTCATCATGTTGGAGATGTGATGATACACATTAAGAAAATTAAGATGGGGTAAAGATGATTGTGGAGATGCTGGTGGCTCGGTCATAAACTGTAACAGAGAAAAACACTCAATTAAATTATCTGTTAAAAAAGCAGCCTGCATGACTTTTAATGGTTTTCTTTTATCCCTCTAAATGTTGGATTCAGCATCTCAATAGTTATTGTTACCAAGCTATACTGTTCACCTCTTGCTGGAATAAAACTTCCTACTCTCTGTTGCAAAAGTATTCACACCCCTTGCATTTATCACATTTTATCACATTGCATCTACAACCTTCAATGTATTATATCCGCTTTTTATGTGGCTGTGTCAATTTTGGGCCTGAATTCATTTATGAAAACAAGCACAGACAGACACTCTCTGTCCAGTCTGGCAGAGCTATGAAAAATTTCCAAAAAACCAACAACAAAAACCCACCAAGAATAAGGCTGTAACTTTGTAACTGCATTCAAAGACTTTCATAATTCTAAAAGCAGAGCATTTTACCATTTGTCCTGCTGAGTTCTGACACAGATCAGAATTCAGGATGATTTCACTCAGACTGAACACTTCTTGTATTAATTGGCCCAGTAGTTTGAGCATTAAGCTTAGGTCCCAGAGGTTCTGAGTTCAAGCCCCACTCACTCCCACAGACTGCCACTCTGGGTCCCTGAGCAAGACCCTTAATCCCAGACTGCTCCCCGGGTGCCACACAGTGGCAGCCCACTCCTCCCCAAGGGGAAGGGTTAAATGTAGGGAGTGAAGTTCCCCACTGACAATAAAGGGAATTACATTACATTTAATACGATGCAGTTATGACATCAGCTTCCAGCTTTATTGTAGCCCAAACATTATTGAATCAAAAAGAGTCCAACTAACCACATTAAATGATTTTTTTGTGTTGTATTGTTTTCTGCTCCTCTTCACTCCAGAGGGGGGCATGATTAACATGCAGTACAGTGATTGGGATGCAGTCTGTGTTAAATGTAAATGAAGTTTAACTTGCACATTTACAGTCAGTAATTTGCCATGTCTTTTGTTGTTTCTTTCTTGTTGCCACTGGGTTTGACTTTTAGTTGAGACTTATTTTTTATTTTCTTATTTCTGTAAGATGAGTCTTTGCTCCTTACAGGGGAGATATGGGGCTCTCCTTTCTACACTCATGATTGTGATTGGTCTGCTACCTTGAACCTGCCCCTTTATATGTTTACGTTCACAGATTCATGATCAGTTAAAGCTGGATCGAGATGGCGAGTTGATAACCAGCTTCATGGCACCGCTGATCCTGATTACCACTGTTGTGGATAGGTTAAACTGGATGAACTGGAAGTGACCCTGCTACATTGAGCTTCCTCCATGGTACAGGCCTCTGGTATCACAACAAAAACATGATTCTTTAGAGCTCAGTAGTGAATAGAAAATGCACAGCACACTTTTTATCTTTTTATCTTTAAAGTTTCTTTATAACTATTGTTTGGTTTGTCATCCACATTAGTCACAACCTCTGTCTATTACTATAAAACTTAAATACACTCAAGTTTGTTGTCGTAATCTGACAAAATGCAAGAAAAATCAAGTGGTATAAATGCTTTATCTTGCCATTGCATTTTGAGTTGAATGTGCAGAGAGGCAAGAATAGCTTTTTTTCATTCCTCCGCCTCGACGTGTCCTTCTCCGTCTTTGACCCTACAATGCTTGTTGTTGTTGGCACAGCTGCACTGACAGAACCACTTCAAAATCAATTTGTGAGCTATTTGGTATTTTTTATATAATACAACATTCCCTGCTAGCAGAAACCATCTCTCAAGGGTTATGGGCACATTTATTTCCTTTTTTGTCAGAATGACAAAAAATATATAATATCAATTTTTCCAAATGCTAAACTGAATTGAGTCCATTTTTGTAGATTTACACATCTTAAAGTAACTAAAAACAAACTGCCCTGTTGAGTAATAGTTGCTTAGTTGTGTTTATTTTACTTTAAGAAAAGTGGTAAATTGTTCTCACAGCTGAAATAAACCAAATGCATTTGAGCAGAACTTGTTTGTGTGTTAACAGGATATTTACGTATTCATAATTTGTACCATATCAGATTATTAGTCTACAATTATTCACTGGAAAGAGTCATTTCTGAGGCTGATGAAACTGCAAAAGCCGCATTGATGTCAAAATAAGATAGGCCAAAGCTTTTTTAGTGCTAGGACAGCTATTATGGTAAGGATAATTTTTTATAAAGGCAGATACAAGATATAAAAAAAACAATAATGAGTTATATAAAGCAAGGCAAAAGGGATAACATATGCCCATATGTTCCACGAGGACATATTTCTCAGTTTCACAGCTTTTGATAAATTCTCTTTAAAAAGTGTCTTTGTCAAAGATTTAAGATAATATATTTATAATTCAACTATCAGAATTAAACTGCCAGTTGTGTATCTTTATCAGCTGAATAACTCATTAAGAAAGGTGCTTTAGTGTGAATTTCAGTTTATTCTAATTTTGTCATAAATGTTAGGCAAACACTGGCAAGAGGCCAATCACATCACATTTTTCCTGCATGACAAATACAGTTTACTTACCGGTACTCGAGTTCTCAAACTTTTAAGGATCTGACTCACAAAAATAAATGTAAATATACTCATGATCCAAAGAATTGGGTTAGTGTATAAACTTCTCTACAAAACCACTAACATTGACAATAATAAAAGTAAAACAAATAGATTTATTTGACAATTTATCAAGTTTTTTTCTATGTATATGTGATATTTTTATCTCCATTGCATATGCTTCACCATCATAATTTCCTTCACTTTCAACAAAAGATCTCAAGACACCATACTTGTTGACGCACTTTGGGCACATATGTTAGAGAACCTAAGTGCATAATGTAATAACGACCAAGGAACACAGAAGACAGCTGTAGAGAGGTTAAAAGAAAAATAATTTAATAACACAGGGTCACTGAGCTAATGCTGAGCTAATGCGGATGCTAGACAGTCAAGGTCAGCATTGAATAGAGAATCATCTAAGAGGCTAGTAGAATCACTGGAGGAGCTGCAAAAATTCACAGCTCAGGTAGGAGAACATGTGACCTGTAAACACTTTAGTCATGCACTTCAAAAGACATTGCAAAGAAAAGTACTAGTGTGCAAGACAGCCAAAAGAAGCTATGTTTGAAGTTTGCCATATTGCATATAGGGGGAGCAGTGAACATGCAGAAGAGTTGGATCTGGTCAGGTTAAACCAGAATTGAATTTCTAACACTTTAGGTTTCAAATTGAAACATTGTGGGATTTTGATGTGGGAAAGCCTTTCTTTAATGGGCCGAGACTGATCAGAGCTGATGGGAAGGTGGAAGGGCTCAGTAAAAGGCAATCCAAACAGAAAACCTGCCAAATCCTTGAACGGACTTGGGACCATGATGTTAAACATAAAACAGCTACAACAGATTCGTTCGGATCAAACATATTAATCCCGAACTTACATTTTAAATATAAATCCAATTTGAAATCTTTGGTAAGACAAAAGTATTTGTTTCCAAATACTGTCCTTCCTGTGGTGCCAAATGTCCAAAGCTGGGGGAGATCTCAAAATATTGCTGCTGTAACTGCAGCAAAAGACAGTTCTACAAACTATGCCATCAGATGCACACCACACAGTTGTGCAATACCTTTGCTTTCCAACCACAAATTACCAATCTCAAAAACATTGAACTTTGATGTTTTAATCTCAAGAAGCAAAACTGTTTAAGCAGGAAGATAAGTAGTTATATGAAGTTTATAGATATGCTGCTGTATAACAAACACCTTTTTTATTACTGTATTTTTGCACAGCATTTTAATTTTATGAGGGCACTTAACCAGAACTCTTTCTGATAGATTTTCTTTCTCATTTAGTAAGGGTTATTTGTAAAACCTGGGAAACATAACTAATATGGCACTTCCAAGAGTGGAACAGGCCTGTTGCAAATTCCTCTCACTGAGTTATTGGTAAATCTCTGTCCTTCACAAAAACATTGTGGAAGTGCACAAATCAGGAAAGGGTATGAACTCATTTCTGAAGGACTGAGCTCCCACAGGAGCACGGTAGCCTTAAAAATAAATTGACTTTCCAGCTAAATTGAGTAACTTAGGAGGGAGGTCCTGAGACACAGATAACTTAAGAGCAAATCGTAATACTGTACTGCTGCAAAAAAAGCTTTGGAGAAATGAGTGACACGCAAAAATAGGGCCTGCAGTTCTGCATTCTGTAAACCTTTCATGGTAGGTTTGTTAAAAAGAGGAAATTACGATTCGAATGCAGGAGAGAAATCACACAAAACATAAAAAAGCGATAAAAGATCTGTAAAACAAGAAAACTAATAATAAAAAAAGGAAAAAATGACTAGATATTTAATTGTGAAGTTTAAAACCTGAATCAGTTATTTGATTTTCACTTTGTATTATACAAATTTTTTTATTGTTTCTATTTAAAACACTCATAGAAATTTCCCTATTACTCACAGAAGGTACCAAATTGCATTTTGTTTAAATTAATTTACTTTCCAAAGATCCAAACTATCTCCCTTAAATCAACCAGTTTGGTTATGATTATAATTTGATTGAAGAAGAATTCAAGTTTATTGTCATTACGCTCTCACAAGTACAAAGTAACAAAATTCACTTTCAGCATTTAACCCATCCCCTTAAACTGTATGCACCACACAATAGTGCACATCCAGCATCATTAATGTATGTGGCTGTCAAACATTACTGAGAGGAAAACTGAGGGCCTAAGGGAAGACTGAAAATAACACTGTCCAAATAAATTCCAGCAGTGTGAGAGTCCTGTTTGGATGAGTGTTATGACTGCATGAATGACAGAAAATACAGAGAGAAAGAGAAACAAAGGGTGAGACAGTGTCAGGGAAATCTCACGCTGATTTAACATCATCAGACTGTAGCTGTAACTAGAGACACCTTTTGGCAAAATGAATGTTTTCTTGTTGCTGTAATTCAAATAACAGCTAGTTTGTGACTACATTCAATTCTATGAGGACTAACTGTATTTCAAGCGTATTTTTATGTTAATTTAGTATCATTTAAAAAAAAAAATGGCTTACCTATCGTGGCTTCAAATCTATTTCCTAATGAAGTTGCCTTCTCCTCCAAAACCAAAAGTTCTTCGATAAAGTCCAAAGAAGCATCATTCTCAATTCAACAGCATTCATGCTCTTTGTTTTTAAGACAATATTTGATGTCTTGTCTCTGTGTATCAATCAACACTCTTTTATCACATTTCTGAGTCATCCTAAAAGGCTGCAACAAAAATGTTCCCCATCAGTAGAAAACTGTTTCTGATTCCTTACTCGACCATTTCTTGCTCTATTGGAATATTTAAAATCCCTGTGATCATCTGCTTTAGATTCCTGGTCTCATTCATTTTACCATACATTCTTCTTTTCCTCTATCCCCTGTCATGTTAACATCATTTTCAGGCTCTGGTCTCTCTCAGTGTCCCTGCCTTCCAATTTTTCTCCCTCGAATTCTAGAGCAGTCCTCTGTTTGGTGCTGAGACAGGAAGTCTCTGCAGTGTTTACATTCTGCAAAGGCATGTTCACAATCCACGCACATAATATAAGAGTGGCTGTTGTTGGAGTATATCTTTACTAAAAGAATAATAAATGATGTAATAGTTTAAAAAAAAAATTCCCGGTAACATGCAAACATGAAAAGGCAACTAATGCTCCCCTAAAATTTATGATTATTTTTGCCTGGCTCTTCTGTATTTTAAATTCAGAATTTTTGTGTGCATTTATTTCAATTATTTTATTAGACACTGACAATTTTAGATACCTACAAAAAAGTAATAGTTTAGTGGGGTAAATTCATGTAATACATCCTCTACATTGGTTGGGATCTCTGCAAAATATGTGCAAAAAGAAATTTAGTTTATCTTTTGTTGCACTGTTAAAATCTGACACCTAATAAACTTATTAGGAAGGGAACATTTTAGTTTTGCATAATAAATGGTGCCAGAATAAAAGCGTCTAATTTTTTTTAAAATAAATATATTTCTTTAAATTCATAGAAACTTTTCTTAAAAAATATATTTTTGTTTTCATGTCAAAAAATAAATATGATTACAAACAACTAACCATTTATTTTAGCCCATATTTAAAATTGGAAAGAGAAAATGTCTTTCTTGTAAAGCCAGGTCCAAAGTGTGTAATTGCTAAGCTAAATGTTCTCTGGTTGTTCTGATTAAAAAAAAAAAAAATCATCTTTGCCAAACATAAAGTGTCAAAATTTGCTTGAAAATAAGCCTGACTTATTTTTGTCATCGGGCATGATTACCTCAACTGATATCCTTTCCCTTCTCTCCTCCTTAGTTTAAATATAAACGTAACTTTCCATTCATTGTTTAATATCTGTCACTGTTCTGATGGGCCTGTAGCAGCAACAAGGCATGCAGTTTAAAATCTCATATCGTGCTGCTACAGAAATTAAAATCATATCAACATTGCAATGTGTGATTTTAAAAAACGCACAGCATATGCCATGCTTTAGATTAGGATGTTAAAAAAGGCTATGAAGCCAAGAGTGGCAAATATTTTAGTTTCACTCTGATGCAACAAAGTTTGTTTATCTTAAGCCCTTTTATACATTTTATTATAGGTTTTCATAATTATTAAGGGTATTAAATTACTTAAGTACAAACAGGAACGATTTAATACAATGTTTTCCATATGATGTGTAAATAGGAAAAATGAGCCCTCAATCTTCTGTTTCACAAACGGAAAAAAAAATAAAAAATCTGAAGAAATAAAATTTCTTTCAGGTTTGCTAAAAGAAGCTCTGGCCAAGCTGAAGCAACCGCTTCTTGTTTAAGCTACAGAAACAGTTAAAAAGTAAAGAACCTCATTTAATATTTCCATATCTGAGTAGATTTAATATATGCAATAAAGCAGGTTTGTGCCGTGTTTCTTGTTTTCTGTGAGACTGTGTAAGTAAAGGACATAAAGTCAGGCTTTTACATTGCCTCTGTAAATAGCCCTTGATCCATCTATCTTGCAGAATGAGATGGATTTGTGTCTCCTGGTTTCCTGGCTGGAGGATCATCATTACTCACAACCTGTCAGCGTTTCTGGGAAATATCCGTAATAACAGATACCTGGAGAAGTCAATGGATCATCTTCTACAGAGGATGGGGATGAAAAGAAAGGCTGGAACAGAAACAGAACAAAAGTTGGGAAACACGTCTGTGAGTCTTGATACCGATATTGAAGATGGACATTTACCCCAGGTGTTTGTCTTTTTCTAAAGAACAAATCAAGGGATGAATATTTCTTCTTTTATTTTGAAAAATTGAACTACTTAGCTGTCCAGACACCATTTTTTCCTTAAATTAGGTGTTAACCTGTGAACAAAATGAGATTCAAGAGAAAATGATCTTATTTTAACAAAAAAAACCAACCCTTTAGTGTAATATAGATCTTCCAATCAGTGAACTGATCCTTATTAAGACTGTTTAACTATCCCTTTCATAGAGACTCACCCACATCTGCAGGAAGATTGTTGCTTCTCATAGACTGGCTGTTTAAATCTCTGTCAACCTGACATAGTGCAGGTTTTCAGCTCTGTCCTCATCCCCCTGAATGACTAAGCAAGCAACAGACTGTGACCTGATTTGTGTCCCACCAGCACAGGGTGATATGTTGTTTGCCGTTATGTTTAAACCAATTAGCTGCCAAATCATACAGATTTTCTTGTAATATAACACATGGGTAACTTTTTAGTATAAAGATAGTGAGAATGTGACAAAGTTTATTCATGATTTATAGTTCCCACTTTTATTAAACTCTCTTCATTTTTAATCTAAAGGCTGAACTTTTGTCGCCTTGGACCAGCAAACCTCACAATGTTTCATTGGAAAAACAACAAAGTGGACATCAATTAAAATGTTTTTCAAGTCTTTTTAACATGTGAAGTGTTCCATGCACTGTATTTTTCATTTAAATTCCTGAGTGACCTGGATGGTAATTAGGCCACTATTCAGTGATAAACTATTTCATTGCAGCTCAGGATGGGTGGAATGTTGTCCTGCAGCAACGGGAACATCTACCACTCTGGATGGGTGGAAAGTTTTCCTGCAGGAACGGGAACATCTACCACAGTTTTAAACCTTTTTCAGCTTCTAACTGCAATCTTTAGACAGATCCCTGAGTATGGTATTTTTTTCATTTTATATTTTATCAGGCTAAAGCTAACACAGATCTAAAGGTTTCAAATTACGTCCTTAAAAACGTAGAAGCCCTAAATGTTTTCGTTTGGAATTCCCTTTAACTCCATACTGTATATCTTAGAGACATGGCCAGGATGCTGCTACTTCATTTTCTTTTGAAATATGATGAGTTCAAGATCATGTACAGTGTAGGTTTTTCACTATCCACAGTGTTTCTGTTTTTAGTGTCACCTAGTTTATCTCTTCTTCCAAATGTTTAGCTGTCACTTAAGTCAAACTACATACTAGACTTCTTTCTCTCAGTAACAGTTTTATTTCTGAACCTTTTCATACAAGCAGCTTTTATGGAGTGCATAATGGACAGTTTTTCTGTAGACAGACACTCCAGGCTGAGTTGTGGTGCTACGCAGCGCTTCCACAGTTACAATTGTCCTCTTGGTTGCCTTTTTACTGTGATTCCAAATAAGAATAGCACTTGAAAGCATTCTTTCCATTTGCAATGTAAGAATCCATTATCATTTTTATTTTTCCTATAAATTCACAAACTCTTTTATACACAAAGACTTTCATCACCACTGAAAAGACAAAAACAATTTGTGAAAAAGGTGAAGTAGAAACATGGATAAAATCCTACCCTGTTTCTTTCTACATTTATTTTATATCAGAGTTATAAAAAAGACTTGGCAATAGTCCTGAAAAACTGTTTTCATATGGCACTTTTGATAATATTAAAAATAAGAAATCATATCGACTCACAGGAACTGATAAAGAAAGCATGAAACAAAACAAAAACAGCGGAATCCTGCAACCCTACAGTCATCCATCCTTGCATTTTAAAATCGGACGGATTACAGTAACCTAGATATATTACTTTGAAAGATAATTTCATCCACACTTGAAGTAATACACTTAAACCCTGTTATGCAATCATATGATGACACATTCTCCTCAAAAATCATACTGTTCATTTAAAACAAAGGAAGAACTGCGTATTCACATACGTTTTAACCCAGACTCACAATCATATGTTCTAATAAGACACTAGAGTACCGATTACCTGAGTATAAAGCTGAGGTCAGCAGTTTTTCTGTTCCCTCCTACAGTTAGAATGGTAGTTCAGGATTAAGAGATTATGATGACATTTTTGTCCTCAGTAAAGTCTATAAGAAGTTTTATGTAAACATGGCAGAATCATTAATTTGATGAGAGTATCCTGAGGTATAGACTACAGTATCTGTAACTGGCTATATATTAGTGCAGTTCTTATGTTTGTTCATGTATAAGAAAGAGAAGAAAAACGTTGGAGTGGAATCTGTTCTGGCTTGTGCAGGTACTACTCCGCTCCATTCCTGTAGTGCATAACGTAGTAGTCGTGGACGTACATCAAGACAGCGAACGGCTGGCCGATGATGATTGACATCCACACTGCAGCGTTGCCGTAGTTACCTCGCAGGAAGTTGCCAACAAACCAGGCTAATGGAAGCTGAGGAGGAGCCAAAAAAATATTTTAGTGAGCCACAATTACAGTTTCCTGGATTTCCTTTAGCTGATTGGTTTGTAGGGCTACAATCATATGAAATGTATAAATCACTGAGTTAATAATTCACATTCCAGATTTCCTTCATAATTTACCAAAACCATTCATTCCTGTCAGACACTGTTTAGTACAGTTAAAAAAGAAGTAAGCAACTAAACCTTATCAGGTTCCTAATTACATATTTGGTCACTTAGTTAGAGCCTAGTCTGAAATTAAAAGCTACTAACTTTTATTAAGTTCAGAAATAAAGGTCTTAGACTATTAAAACAAAAGGTTAACACAGATTTAATACTGTCCTTAAAACGCAACAATTGGTAAAAGATTGAATAATTTTAGTGACAACATTAAACAGAAACTGTTGAGTAGGGCTGTGTGATTACTCAGGTAGTTTGTTTTCATTTCCCTCGTTTTGATTCCTAGCAAAAAACAACAACAACAAAATAACAAAACAAAAAAATACAAATGAACAAATAAATCCACCAAAACCAATTTGTTTTATTCTTAAAGTAAGGTAAAACCAACACTGTGTCCAAGTTAAATAAATGCTGCTATAGCATTATTAGACTAGTACTATTTCAAGTAATTATAAAGATATCATTAATAATAATAATAATAATAATATCACAAATCTTATTGCAATGCTTAGAGGCAAGTAGATATTTTATAAAAGCCAATTAATCAGGCTATAAACATTTATATTTGTGCTTTTATTGTAACACGGTATAATTTATATTTAGTGTTTGGAGTTAATTGACATCATGATTTCTATTCATACTGGTTAAGAAATTAACAAAATATTTTGTCATAAAAATTATAAATGACAGTAATAAATGAAAGTTCTTAAATGATAATCAACCACCCCAAATAACAATAATAATAAATCTGATAATAACAATCACCCATGGGAGATTCTACCTGGAATCATGTTTGTACTGTAATGAATAATATTGCAGCTGGACTCCGGCAGCAGTTAAAAAGAGTATCATGAATTTTTCTTGACTGTAACACGACAATAAAATAATCAAAACTATACTGACATTGGCTTAAACATATCGTTCTCTGTTTAATTCTCAAAACAAATTACAATGAACAAAGATTAGTGTGCTTTGCAACCTTTGCTTTGGGGTACAATTATGAATGATGTGTGGTTTCTCACCTGTGCCATCATTCCTGTGAAGGCCCACAGTCTGAACATCCTGAGAGGAACACTCACCAGGTACTAATGCAGGAACCGACAGGGAACAAAAATCCATGACATGGCATTTCACTGTCAGCAGAAGGTGGCATCTAGAATAATGGTCTTACCTCATGGAAGAATGCAGAGAGAAAGAAGACAGCTGACTGGCTGACTATTTTACTGAATCCTTTTCTTAGCAGAGGTTTGTAGAAATGACTAACAGACGGTGAAACAGATACAGAGATAAATTAACATCCAGAGGTAATTGTAAGGACAAATGACAGAAAACACTAACACCTGCTCAGAAAGTGAAACATATTTGATGCATTCTTTATTTAATGAACCCCACTGACTCCCTACATGATTCTGTAGTAAAACCAGAGGAGAATCCAGAGACTGTTCTACATCTATGCTAAAATCATTGCCAGAAAAATGTCAGTCTTAAGGTCTGTGCCTGCATGTTTACATCTATTTCAGCTAGAATGTGTTTCAGTGAGTAGATGATTTACCGTAGACACCACTTGTGTACAGGGATGTTCCAGTTCTGCCAAAAATAAGTCACCGTCTCTGAATTCCTGAAGGGAACAATTAAATATTAAAAGACAGCAACAGGTTAAGTCCATCATTATATAAACTAAGGAAAAAGAAAAAAAAAATCTATAGTGTTATTAAGATAAAGATTAAATAAATAAATGGATTGGCCGGTTTTAAAGTTTAACCAGCTATTTAAAAATGTAATATTTCAAGCCTTTTCCAAAACCATAACTAAGCTTCAATGGGTTCTAGAAACCACAAAACATCTCAGGCCGAATGTTGTTTCTGAGAGAGGGAAACTAAAACTATTGATACGTTGGTGATTTACAAAGATTAGCTATCCGTCACATCTTCAATAACAAATTCTTAGTATTTAACCACAGTTCATAAAAAAGAATCAGGCTTAGTGTCATACCAGCAACTAATACTTAGAAATAGTCGCTAAAGGAGGATAAAGCCAGTAAAATAAAGATCTGAATTTGGATTTTTACCCTAAAGTAACTTTCAAATACTTTTCCCCAGTACCATAGAGCTAACTGTGCTCTTGATTCTTCTTTAGCCTCATTTTTTCTACTGGATGACTGATATCTAATGAAACGAGACATAATGGCACTTTAGTAATTTATATGTTGAACAATTAAAGGCATCAGATGGAGCTTGAGAGAAGTGTGCAACAGTACCAAATACCAACTATTTATTCTGGTCAGCAGTTTAATCTAAGGCTATAGTGGGATGATACCCCTAGTCTCCAAACAGTATGTGGTGCAGGTAACCCAGTGTGGCGTGACCAGTACACCCAAACTGAACCTTGTCAGGACTGCAGGCAGGCTCTTATATTGTCTCTTTGCACTTCTGGAGCCAGTTTGTGATGTCCTGCAAGGTACTTAGTTTATCTAAAGCTCTAGAAAAGTAAATGAAGAGATTAAATGGGATGATGTCCCATATAATTGCATACCTTCACCAAAAGTTTGTTGATATTGGTAGAGATAATTTGGAATGGTTTAAAACCTCAAAATCTTATTTGTGCTGAAAAATTTAGTTTGTTTCCCCTTTTTGAGGAGATAAACAGACTTTCCAATAGTATGAGATTCAAGACGATGCCTTTGACAAAAAAAAAAAAACGTTTATTTTGTTTGAAAACACAAGGTTTAGCACTTGCAAAAGAGAATAAAAACATAATTATTTTTGGAAAATAAATGAATTCATATAATATTAAAATCTTAATTTTGAAGTGTAAATTGCTAAGCAAATCCTTTTCCAGGATTTTGGCATATACCGCAGCACCAACAGCACATCATTGCACAACTAACGCTTCCGGTCATTGATATGCAGCTTGAAGGATCCATTAAGTTCAGTGATAATACACAGACACATATAAACCTACCACCAGTCGTTGTAAAACTGCCTGTCTCCAAACCGCAGCAGCTCGGCTGTAAAATTCATAGACGAGTGGAAGAACCAGTAGAAAAACATCAACCATAACAAGTGATTCGGCACCTAAAAGACGAGGTTTAATAGTCAGACGTAAAAACATTACTATACACGTGTTTATTCATAGACTATTCCTAATTAGTATATTTCACAAATATTACAGACTAAAAAAAAAATCTCCAAAGTTTTACAACTTTAATGTAGCCATACAATTGCTTTACTTACAGCTAATCGTAACAGCCTCTCAGTCATCAGTGAAAGATCCATGTCCTGGAGGAGATTTAAAAACAGATTTCAAATGTTGAAAATATGAGCAACAGTGCTTAAAACATGCGATTTTGCTTCCTTACTTCAAGGGGCTTCATTGAGCTCTGGATGATCGGGATCATCCACTGTCAAGAAGATAAAAACATACATTTTACACATGTTTCAAATGTATCACATTTTGAATATAAAATATATCTTTAAAGGGTTCTAATGTATAAAAAAAGAAAGAAAGAAATCCAATCAAAGCACTGTACGTGAGGTAACAAAGCTTGTGCTTTAGTTTAAAAGAGATTTCAAATGATCTGAGATTTAAAAAAAAAGAAAAAAGAAAAAGAATATTAAACTGTACCTGTTGGGTGAGAGCAACTAAAAGCTGGATGAAAAACAGCTGGAGAGAGAGACATTTTTCCACTGATTAACATGATCTGTTAAATGACAGATAAATGTGGCATAGGAAACACATAAAAATAAATTAAAATCTGGAGGAACTCTAGGAATACAGCTTTTTCCTAACTTTATTTTTTTATAATTCAATCAATCAATCCGGGAAAAAATAAATTAAAGAGTATATTTCTTCACATTTTTCAAATCTGAGCAGCAGTCCTTAACATGCGTCTTTACCCAAGCATTAGGTTTAGAAATTCTACCATCTTATATGAGAGGCAGAAGAGTCATTAAAAATTCAATCCACATTTAAGAGACCGTTGTGCCATGCTTACTTGTCTACTACTGTTGTCTTTTGCACTGTGCATTTATCCAGCACTGTTTCAGAAAAATAATGTAGCTAAGTGATATTTCTTTCTCACCATCTCAAACAGCCTCCTCAGAAGGAAGTGAATGCGAACTTTAGGAGATCGAGGAAAGTTTAGCTCGTAACAGAGAGTTGGAGCAAACACAAAGTAGTACATATCTGTGAAAGTAGAGAGGGGGGCAGAGAATGAGACTAATGGACACAGGCATTCAACAGGAAAATGGAGGTGTTTTTTTTTTTTTTTTTCATTACCTTTGATTGTAAGGTTGCCAGGGTAACATACTTTCTGTGCGGCTGCTTTAAAGTGCTGCGGTGAAGGACCTGTACCAGACAATCAGAGAGTTCAGGTTGGGGGTCTGCATTCAGCAGCTCAAGAGCCAAATATGGAATGTTATAATTGAGAAATAAAGTTACAGAATTCAGAAAAATACGAAAAGGTTTGTTTTTTGTTAACAATTCCTCTGTAGGTTTTTATACATCATCTATAAAGAACTTCTAAAGTCTAAAGAACTTCTAAAATAGTTATATTTGTACCTTGCTTAAACTTTATTTGTTCGTTTGTTCAACAATTAAATAAATAGAAAGGAAATTATGTTCTTTAATATTCTATAATAAAAGAAAAGTGTTATTTAGCATTATGACTGAGCAGAATCACATAATATAGAACATATCTTGATTAAAAAGTTAATTTTGCAGGTTGCATTTAATTATGCTGTGGCATTAAAGAAATAGATGATTTGTCAAATTCCTAAAAATAGAGGGAAAAATAATTTTTATTTGTTGATGGTTATTAATGTTAAATTCTCATTTAAAATTGGATTTAACAAAATTTTAAATTAAACATTTTTGGAGCTACATCAGCCAATGTAATAGGTGTATTAACCCAGCCTATCCAACAACTGGTGTCTTTTATCATTAAATAAATATTGGTTATAAAAAGGCCCAAGAATTGTTTTCTCATTTTGAACTTCATCACAATACATGCCAGAAACCTACAGCAACTAGGTGTTTTGAAAAAGGGTCAAAAACACATTTCTGTATTAAAATGCTATTTTCCTATTATTCAATTGTAACTTTTCTTGTTTAAAATGCTGTTTTAATTTTCTGCGAGCATAAAATCATTGTCATTCATTAAAATGACGTCTTAAACATACCAATATGATAAATCAAAATGTGACTTTATAATTGATCAAAAAGCTGCAGATATACTGTCTACCAGTAGGTGTCCCTGCAACATTATGAGCCATTGCAATGATTTGAGAAGTGGCTAAAATTTGATCCATATCTGTACTAATGATACAATTATGTTATCATAATACAGTAATCTGACTTCATGAATCCATAAGATGCACAGGTTGCTTGTATATGTTTGACTTACAGGACAGTGACCGGGCCAGCTTCTTGGCCTTCACAGAGCTCAGCTCCCTGCACCACAGGTTCACGTCTTTATATGAATACAGCTTCAGGAACAGGATTGTGTAAATGCCGAGTGCAAACGCACCACCAACTGACAGGAAGGGCAGAAAAGAAGAAGTGTCAGTTAACAAAGTGACCCTCTTGAGACAGCAGCAGCAGAGACGCCTCATGTGTTTACTGATGGTCTAGGTGTGGACGGGATAAAGACAGACGGAGACAGAAAAAGTCTGTCGTGGCAAGAGAATGAATAAAAACATAAAGGAGGCAGGAAATAAGTTATCATATGACTTCAAGTTGTGTTTTCTGTTTACAGAGTTGAAAGGGATTTAAAGGTAGCTCAACACCAGCTGAGCGGTTTTCATACCAAAGCTTTATCAATAGCCACCATACCCTTTGTAAAATGAGACTACACTAAACAGAGAAAAAACAGACACTCGGATGCACCCAGAATCACACAAATAAATACAGCCATAATGTGCCAGCAGAGAGATGAGGAGGTCTGCAGTACACCTGGCACCTAACTACAGCAGATCTTATCCATTAACCATCTGCCTCTCCTGCTCACTGTGGTCTCTAAACAGTGAGACCGTGTCCAAATCGGCAACTGTAGATTGCGATCATGGGCGCACAGCGGGGACAAAGCTGAAATGGGAAAACATGCCAGTGGAGCCAGTAGTTTGTCTTTCACAGTCATCCACTCAAATCAGGACTAAAGAGGTTCACAATCCTGTTTTTGGTTTTAAAAGCAGAAATTCAAAGAATAAACAAAGAATTAAAAAACTTCAATCCTACTCCATCATTATGTATTTTAATCTATCCTCTTTTAGTAGGATATATGAGGCAGCTGAAAGACTTCCTTCAGACACAGATATTCCATCAAACTTAATGAGTTATACACCATTAATAAACACTTGAATAAATTCCTTCATTCCAGCTTGTTTATTGTCATTACACTGACACAAGGACAGAGCAACAAAATTCACTTTCAGCATGTAACCCATCCCTTTGGGGAGCAGTGTGCTGCCATTGTGCGGCACCCAGGAAGCAGTTCGGGTTAAGAGCCTTTGCTCAGGGACCCTGAGTCGCAGTCTTTGGAAGTGGGGCTCAAACTCAGAACCTAAGGATTCCAAGCTCTATGCCCTAACCACTAGACCCCCACTCGCCTTAATGTTAATATGTCAGATTTTCACTTAGTTAAGTGAATCTTAATAAACTAAGCACAACTGAGATTTTTATGGATTTGTTCCATACTTAATAACATTACATTACTTATATAGGATGCAAAGGCAAAAATGCTTCAAACTGCATCTTTCTGTGCTGACATAGTTTTTCTCATTTATCTATATAGATGCATGTTAGACGGTTGAGTGAGAATGAGAAGTTGCCGACTTAAGCTAAATTTAAAATATCTGTAAATAGGTACAGGTATCTGAAAATATATTTTTGCTAATAATTTGCCTATTTTTTCTAAAAACAAAAAAGGCCAAACCAAGTTCTGACAAGGTGAAGCTAAGAAAGTAGCCTATAAGGGTAAGTAGCACTAAACAACTGTAGGTACTATGTTTGTGTGAAATGTTATAAAATAAAAAATAAAAACTATTTAAATAAACTGAATCTTTGCTATGAAAAGTTAAAAGGATACATTAAAAAACGAAAGTAGATTTATTGTGATAACAGAACCATACTAAAAAAAAGGGACTAAAGGTTTACCAAACCCAAACCTTGTCTGGACAGTGCAGCATTAGATTAAATTACTTTACCAAATAATTTGAATTTTAGAACCCCACTTAATTTTATACATTTCATTGCAACACGTTCAGAATAGATTCAGGGTCAATCTATCACAGCTACAAATCAAATGATGTATGCTAAAGTATCAAAGGTGATCCCGGGGTGTTATCTATTTAAGCCAAAGCAAACCTACTGTAGGCAATACTCTGACAGGGACATGTTTGGTTGTGCCTAAAGAAATTATGTCACATTCACTTTTACTTTTCTGGCTATCCAGTGATATTGACAATGTAGAGTTTTACAATTTCTTAGAAACTGTCACACTTATCCTCATTTTCTTCACATTTTTTTAAAAGGCCCTTTGAGGTCATCATGTAAACAGATCAATGTCTCTAAAACACAATATCACCTAAACACACAAATATCTGCACATACACTTGCCCTCTGCCATTGCCCTTCCTGTGTGCACAGCAGCAGCAGAGACAGGAGGGCTTACAGACAGATGGAACAACTCCCTCGCTCCTTCACCTCCCAGGGAGAGAACAGATGAGAGGAAAAACAGAAGAGAACGACACCCAAAGCAGCAAACAAAGTCTTAAACAACTAATTGAAAATTGAAATAAATATATTTATGGCATCAATGCTAATACTTCATGTCACAGGTGTGTTTTTTTACGGATAAAGAGTTGTGAGTTTAAACAGAATGGAAATTTCCAGCCATCAACTGCCAGATTAAAGTTTGCAAACACAAAGAGACAAAGACCATATTTTTGGAAAATAATATCCTGTATACTGATTAACTTAACATTGTATTCTATAATGACTACTGGTCACATTTAGAGGTAAAATGGCGAGGCTTGTCTGGATGCATCCTCCCAACTATGAAAGACGGGTGACAGCATAATGATTTTTAAGTGTTAAGAAAATGATATCCAATATATGTTTTTGTAAATATCTGCTTTCAATTCAGATTTTACTTATAAAACATGCACTGTTATAATAGCAGACCTTCACATTTGCAAATAAATAAATAAATAAAAATTTTATGTGAGTGACAATCCAATCTGTAGAACAAGTACACTGGTCCCCAGTTTTCCATTGGGACTGCTTAGCTCATGGAAAACAGCCATTTTTCCTGCCAAGCTGCCTGATTAAGACAGACTCAAAGACCCTTGGATGACCCTACAAAATAAAACCACACCCACTTTGGCAGCTTTTCTGTTCCCTCCTCATCTTTTCTCTCCTTCCATTTCATTTCCGTTCACCATCTTCACCACTTGACATCCCTCTCTCTTTAGAGCCAACTGGAAGCAGTCCAGTCATGACCAACTAGACCATTACTGCTGACCGACTCCAATAATGACTTGGTCCAAGACGTACCCTTTAATATGCTATTAAATGGTTAAGTGTTTCTGTGAGAGGGTGAAGTTATCACTTCATTTACTTCTATATACTACAATAACATGCATGCAAGATTGGTTTTATAATATATATATATATGTTTGGTAATGCTTTGTGTTATTCAAGGAATAGTGAGCAACAATTACCTGGAGTAATAGAGGGAACCAGAAGCACCACAACTGCAGGAAATGTTAGCAGGATGAACAAGTTAATGAAGTGGATCACAAATCCAGTGAATTCACTGAATGAACCCTGGTTAAAAAAGAGAGAAAAAAAACATTGGAGCTTTTACTTTAAATACTTAAAGCATTTATTCATTGTTCCATTTTCAACCACTGCTCAAGAGAAACTGCCTTAGACTTCTAACTTTTGTTGTTGCCATTATTTTGGAAGGTAGAGCAAGACAAGTTGGATTCTCTCATGTATCTTAAACATATACTGACATGCAAGGTTAAGTCAGGCATCTTGTTTTCTAAAAAACTTCTTATGAGAAAAGCAAAAGGCTGACAAGCCCATTCCAGTTAAATCTTACAAAGCTCTCTGATGTTCAGAAGCAAAGAAAGTTTCTACACTCACCTTTGACAGCTGCCTTTCAGTATAGAGAGCCACAAAAATGAACACATTGCACACTGTGAAGAAATGAAGAGAATAATGTCATTAAGGCTGTTAAATAACTTTAGACCAGTAGAAACTCAAGCATGTTGGTTTAAAACTAAATTGTAGTCAAAATTTTCTGTTTTTCCGAAGTATTGTAACATATATTTATACAGACTAATCCAAATCAGTAATAATTAACTTACAATAGATTCTTAGAAAACAGACACTAAAAGAAATAACTGCCTTTCTTACCAAAGGCAAATAAAATTGACCAATTTTTCTACAATATGTGTTATTAAGAGAGTGAAATCTAATCCAGATTAAATAAATCAGCAGCTTCAATGCAGACAGGTGGGGAAGAAGTTTCCAGTTTTTGCCAGCAGGGGGTGATGGATAGTTGTTTGAATCAAAGTGCGTTGCATTGATGCAGTAATCTCTGACAAATAGAAATTAAGCTAGTCAAAGTTCTGAAACCTCCTTCATTGTAATTTTTACTTCCATGTTTTAAACCCAGAGTGACAAAAAAAACACAGTTTCCACATTAGATGAGTCAAGCAATTTTTTTTTCTTTTTGCAATTTTTCCAATCCAATGTAAAAAGCAGATAGAATTGTTTGTAATAGATCACTTACACATTACTAATGGTAACTGGTAATTAGTCTTTCTCTCTTGATTCCTACACTATACTGATTATGACTCAGTATTTCAGTCATTCAAAAAAAGGTACAAAGCCCTGTAAAAAAAATCACCAACAAAAACAAACTAAAATGTGATTTTACAAAGTAAAATGTGCACATTGCACAAAGGCCATGCTTAGAAAGAAGGAAAGCAAATCAATGACTTCCTGAGACGTGCCGATTATACAGGTGGATCTAATCAGTTTAAACAATTATCCAATCAAGTTAAGAGCTGTCCCAAATAGCTGCTATTATACAAATGACAGGTGATTGTAGCTGGCCTAGGCTTTGAATAATAAAACGCTCTAGTGCCATCTGGTGCTAAAAAAAGAAGTCACTCAAACAACATGTTTAGAAACTGATGAATCTCTGAGAGGTCACTAAAGAAATGCACAGTAGATTAAAAAAAGGCAGACTTGATTACAACAGCAGATGTTACATTCTGAGGAAAAAAGATCTAGGAACCCAATGCCAAAAGGTGTAGTAAAAGAATGGAGAAATATAGTCGTAAAACCCTAACACAGGAGCCAAGAATTTAAAGCTTGAAGATAAATTGGTCCTCCAAATAGACAGTGGTCCTAAGCATAGTGCCAAACCACGTATAAAGAAGTGTTATACATTAAAGCAACAGTGCATAACTTTTGACCCCATATTTAGCTTAATTTGATATTTAGCTAATAATTTTTTAGGTCAATATACAGCACTTGGTACATATCATTGATATGGGCGTAGCCAGAAAATCCTAATAAGGGTGGCCAGTCAATAACCAATGTACATTGAGGGGAGGCCGAAAGGCACCAGAACCTCAGGGTCAATCTACACTCTTCCAACAGGAACGAGCACGACATCCACATTTTCTAAATAAAGACAAACTATCCTTTCCTGCAGCCTTTGCTAACAAATAGATGCATATATTTAAACATCTATGCTGTGTAAATAAAAGGTATATTGGAAAAAATTCTTTCAGGTTTGAGTTCTGGGGTAAACATATTTTACATTGTCATTACCTACTTTTATCAATAATCATTTTGCAAAAAAATTACCTATGATTTCACTGAAGACTCCTAGATGACTTGCAGAGGCACATAATTTTATCTTTACCCCAAATAATTCAAAATTTAGTCATGAAAAGAGCATGAATTCTGTCATCTTTGATGTTTTTATATTGATGTGCATAATTAACCGCAGTTTTTCTGTTGTCAAGTAGTTGTTAATATATGAAAAATTTAAATGTTTAATAGGTTTGAGCATTCCTCTTCAGAGTATTACTGCTGCCACAGTTTGTGTTAGAGGAAAAAAATGGTAGGGTGGCCACAGGGGTGGCCAATGATTGGTTAAGGGTGGGCATGGCCCCCCCTGGCCCCCCATCTAGCTCCACCCCTGCATATCAACGCTTCATGCAGGCTGCCCTTTTCAAAAGCGCTCACCTATGTAACTTGTGATTATTGGATCCATCGCTTAATGAGTCATGTGACCCAGAGCGCCGCTTTTCAGCAGTCTGAACTTCCCTTAAACACCACAGCTAAATCTGCTAAAAGTTGTTGGTAGGCAACAAAACAGATATGATGTTTACCTGATCAGGCATAGTTTTGGTTTTGTGATATATAGAGGTATGAATGTGGGTTGGCCTTTACAAGTAACTACATGACTTCTCAATCGGCTGGTCCACATTGTCGTTTTATCAAGTTAAAAACATGGAGCGAGAATATTTCATTTTGTGACAGTGCAATGTCATCTTCAGGAGTTAAAACTTGAAGTTAGGGTCAAGCACCTCTGGTGGCTAAAAGTTACACATTATTCTTTTAAAGTCAATTTATTACAGTGCCCTAATCAAAGTCTTGATTATTACCATTATGTTTTAAGAAAATTTTTATATCATCTATCATTAGTGCAAAGCAGGGGTCTTCAACGTTTTCGAGGCCAAGGACCCCCAAACTGATTGCGAGATGGAGCGGGGACCCCCTAATTATATATATTGTATGAAATTTTGTTATTTCAAACTTGTCCTATAGTCACTCTATTACATATGGAGTCATGTAACGAAAGTAATTTCTCCCTGGTATTATTAAAGTATTTCTGATTCTGATTCCTGGTTGATGGGACAGGTGTCTGTTACAGGTGTGAATGAAACGGTGCCCAGGTTTGAAAGAGCTCCTGTGTGTCGCTGAATGTGTGCATTGATGACTGAAAGACATCTTCTGCTTCCATTTATCTGTTTACTACAGTATATAGAATTCATGTTAATGTGTATTTAAAGACATTTTAGTTACTGCAAAGAATTGCAGGAGGGAATATAAAAAAAAAAGTAATCAACCAAAACTTTCACGACCCCCATGCAGTACCTCCGGGGACCCCCTAGGGGTCGCGGACCCCCTGTTGAAGACCTCTGGTGTAAAGTGTTAAGAAAGAAGAAGCAAGAAAAAAATGACAGCAGATAGTTTTCTTTGTAATTGGCCAATACACGTAGCTAAATAAAATTGCAGAACTATTATATTCAGCCCAAAATGAGCACAGTACTAATTAATGATACATACAAAAGTTTGTTTAAGTCTATAGCTGTAACAACCAAGCCCTCCATCACATGTAAAACCTGTTGAATATTACATTTTGGAGCAAAACACGTATAGAGCAGCAAGAGAAGCCTACTTATAGCCCACTTTCTTAAAAGCAAACTTTGAGCTTGGCCTTGCTAACTTTATCCATTTTGCTGGCATGCACCATCATTCGAGAGTTAAAATGTGTGTGTAATCTGCTGCAGTGACTCACTGTCCCTGTGGGGGAATTAGCTCTGTTCCTGTCCATGCTACTACTGAGAAACTTCAATTCTCACCTTTCTCTGCAGTCATTTGCTTTAACTCCATCTATTTTCCCTCTCTTCAACCTCTTTCCCTGTTTCGATGTAGAACTTTACCATGTCTCTTTCCATCTCTTACCCCTTTCCCATTTCACAGCTCTCCATACACCTTCACCCAACTAATTTAATCTTCCATTAAATACTTCCCCGACTCCACTACCACCTCTTCTTTTCCCTCTTAGTCACTCACCACCTACCAAGCTCTCCTCATCTCTGCAAGAGAATACCAGTGTTAGTATATAGGGCAGCTGATTGTCCCACTAGAGACACTGTGAGCTGCACTGCTGCAGACCTTCACTGCAATGTAACATAAGGATAAATATGGAAGAAACTGCAGCAGTGCACAGCATGCACCTGCGTGTTGCTGTTACTGATCTTATGTCATACACTACTTAGTGAAAATACCTAAAATAAATACTAGAAAACACAACATGTCTTTGTACCAGTTAAAAAACACTGTGACTTAACTTCCTGATGTTTCAAAATATAATGCCTACTGCATAAAACCTCTAGATTTGTTTGATGATCGTTTTCACCCACAGTTGCAAAGATTAGTTTTGGTTTTGTAGTAGAATCAACCTAATAACTCTATCATTTCAGAAAAATTATGCAACAGTTCTTCAGTTTTAGTTAGTAATTGCAACCATAAAAACAAAATTTTTATGGTTGCAATTTTTATGGTAAATTGACAGCGGGCTTACATAGGTCCTTTTGTATTTCTTACTGTATATTTCTTATAGTTATAAGCATGAATCTATTATATGAACTGTGCATGTTTATATTATATTATCTGATAATAATCACTTGCTTCAAAATCTTTAAGGTGGTGGCAATGATGCAACAAATCATGCACTGACAATAACCATAGCGACACAAGCAACATTTAGGAGAAAGCAAGAATCAAAAGAGAATATAAAGGAGAGATGTAGTTTATCTATTTATTTTTTATGCGAGAGAGAAAGAGGAAGAAGATACGCAGCAAACATTCCATGGTCAGGAATCCAACATCAGGCAACTGCATCAAGGAATAAGAAAGGAATATCTAACGTCCCCTCAACCACTCTACTGTGATGGCTCAGATAGAGGATTTGAAATTTAATGGATAGACTAAATCTATACCAGATGTCTGATGGCATATTATTTTATAATGGTGTACGGTGCCAAGTAGTAGTAGGTGGTACTTCTCTTTATGAAGAACTACTCATTTTTGTCAATGAGGCACACTACAATGTGCACCTAGTTGGGTAAGAAACATGTGAGTGTCCTTCACAGTGGAAAACAAGAGTGTCATTACAAGCAGGGTAGACATTTTATTTTTTGTTTCACTTAACTATTTCAGCTAAATAGGTCACAACAACTCAAAGGGTAGCTGCACTGCAGTACGTATAATTTTTGGAACAGCACAGAAGGCTAAAACTATTTAAATTTACCATTTTGTGTTTGTTTCACTACATTATTTTCAAGCAGTTTAGGTTCTGAAAATATACTCTGAGCAGGTGTTCAATGTAGGTTTTGAGTATTTTTTGTCAAAGCTTTGATGATGTCCAAATAATAAAATCATCTATCTACATAAAATCAGGATATTGTTTACAGTAGTTCTCTCAAGTGGCACAGATACGAGATGTGGAGTCAACAAATCATCTCTATGGCTGCATCCGAATGTCCACCCTAATCACTATATAGGGCATTATATAATGGTTACGCCATTTTAGATGAGTGTCTGAAAATCTAGTGGATGAAAAAGTAGTGGACTCTAAATTTCCCACAATGCAACTTGAAAAGTAGTGATCATCCATGGTCACCAGATGAGCATATATATCCCATAATGCTTTGCGAGGAGAGCCTTCCTCACAAAGCATTATGGGATTTGCTGTCACAGCAGCCCGCTGTCGACTACAGCTTTCGCTACCCGACAGTGGAGACAGATAATAAATATGCCGCAGGCACTGTGCGGGGGGAGTCAAGTGACCAATGGCAAGTAAAAAGTAGTGATCATTTGTCCGAATGGTCAGTTAACTGAGTTCATTATAAAGTCTACTATATATTCTCAGCTCTATATATTGATTTAGGGATTAGGGTGGATGTTCGGACACAAACTATGTCATGTCATTTTTTCTGCCTAGCCACTGAACCAGGTGACTCTTATCTGGTTTAAACTGTGCAGATTGGACTCACCTGGTTCACAGGCGGGGAAGAACAAATACATGACATAATTAATTGTTGACTACAGCTCCCTTATCTCTGCAAAGTGGTGATTAGGTTTAGTGAAATATTAAATCTTTTACATAATCTTTGTCTCTGTTTTCAATTTACAGCAAGAAGCTTAATTTTATGCTATTTGTTCAGCATTATTTTCTAGTCATCGCTCCAGTTTATATATCTTACGGAGTGGCTGAAAAGATGTTAGCTGATGCATGATTGGATCAAACCTTTAGAAGCTCTCTATCACTCTGTCTAAATGTCAAAATTACCAGTAATAAAATGCGTGTTTCCTTTTCAAGCCTGGCTGTTCTCTGTGGTGTCGTAATGCATCTCAATAATCCAGGCAGTATAATTAGACAGGTCCTGAAGATGTGCTCAACTTTTTTTTTAGTTTTATACCTGGTGTTTATTTTCATATGGAATCAAACATCACCTTTCTGCTGCTGGGCTTAACTCATGCATTTATTATCCACACAACCAATGGGCCTCTGTTACAAAGATTTTCTCAACTTCACCAATCTTAAAGCATTCACCAAGTCCCTCAGAGACAAGTCCTGAGTAAGAAATCGCTGAAACTTTTCTCTTCTACTGTAATGTAAAAAAAATGCTGCATTAAATCCACGAATTTGCCTTGGAGGTGAAATTTACATTAAAAAAAAAGTCATTTGCAGCATTTTATCCTCACTTATGCAACTGGTTGTCTGATTTTCAAACAATGATCCCATTATAGAATGAGTTTGCATATTTCATAAACCTGTCTAAAATTATCCTGTGTGTTTTAATATTATGTTTCAACTAATTGAAATAAAAAAAAAAAAGTTTTTTTTAACCTACCAATCACCAGGCATGCGGCAGGCCAGCTATAAGGGTCTTTCAAAAACAGGGAAATCACTTGAATAGGGTCCACAAGAATACCATACCTGGAAAAATATGCAAACAAGTCATCAATGCTGTGAAACATATATACAATATTTAAAATACTTAGAAATTGCAGTTTCATACATGGAAATATTTCACATCTGTCCTGTAATGACTGGATTTAAGTCGTAGGGAAACAACTGTTCAAACGGTTGCGTTTCCGAATTCTCCTGAGTGGTGCCTGACTTTACACGAGTGAATAAAGTGAATGTGATTAGTCAACCATCAAGAGGGCGGGATTGTTGTGGCGGATGGTTCGCAAGCACGTTTGGTTGTGGCCGGTGTCTCGGAAGTATCTTGCTGACCAGTTAGCAACTTAGTGCTAGGAGGTTCCCAATGGGAAATTACATTGGGACCAAGTAGCACTCAGCAATGACACTGGATGAGTCTCTTCCATCATGCAATTTTTATTTAGCGAAGGAAAGCGGGGAGGAAGGTGTTGTGGAAGAGGACGCCAGGGCGGCAGAAGCTTGGTTTGGTGTAGAAGGCTTACAGCCGTACATGTTTGAGCCCTTGCCTCGCAACGCTGCCAGTTCTGTTAGCTCTACGCCTGCCGAAGAAACAGACGTCTATCCCCGTGAACTCAATGGTAAAGTAAATGATTCTTATTTCTTATTTCTTATTTCAACCTTTGCGTATATTAGCTGCGAGATATGAATCAAGATGCTATGACCGAATAAATTTGATTGACAGATGACCGTTGATATATATGATATGTTTGGCCCAAATTAGGTGTACAAGCTGACGTATAACTAACTAGTCTGCATAAGATAACTTAAAAAAAAAAAAGATTTTTAGACAGTATTTTTTTTTCAAATAGAAATGTCTTACTTTTGGGAACAATAACCTCTGATAAAGAGTCAATTTATATACATGTTTAAGCGAGAATGATGTGACATTTAAATATGATTTCCCTACGACTTTAAAGACTTAGCTTATCAATTCAAAGTGAAAATCGCTGCTAAAATCAGAGCTGAATTAGGAGTGTTCAACAGCTTTCTAATGGAACGGATATAAACAGTTTTGCAACAGCAAAACTAACCCTTTGTTGATAAAATTATTAAATATATCTGTTATTTCAGGATGGAAAAAAAAACAAGAATAAAAGACAACATCTTAAAATTAATAAAATCAACTAAGTGAGAAATAATTGTTTAGATTTAATTTATGAGAATATAGTCTCATTTGAATCTAAACCCTTTAGGAAAGAGAGAACAGGGAAAAGTTGTTTAAATAACAGGTAATAATATTAAAAGGTACTCACTTTAATATGTTTTCTAAGAAAAGGCGAGCATTACTCAGGACCTAGAACAGAACAGAGAACATCACTGTAGCAGTATCTTATAGTTTTTCAACTTCTGCAGCCATGAAAAGACATATAATTATTTTGATTTAATGCCATTTTGTAGGGCTGTCCAAATGTCTAGTGGGTGAAAATCTAGTGCACTAAAATTTTCCACAATGCACCTTCTAATTATGGGATTTTTTTTTTTAAATAAATTATAATATTAGCAATTTCACCATTAAAGCATATGTCTCAATGCCTAAAAAAAGCTAATCAAAACAGTTAGCAATTATAGTTTTTATACGTTTATAAAAGAAACAAACCCTGAATTATTTGTATTCCTAACAGCCAACAAGCATTGAGGAAGAAAAGATTTAATGCTGTTAGTTACAATGTTCCTACAGTTGTGAAAACACAAGTAATTCTTACCAACATTACCACACACCAGTTGAGCACTCCTCTGTAGTTTCTGTAACCGCTCGCTGAGCTAAGGAGAGATTCCTGTGCCTGGTGGCAGCTACAAAAAACAAGAATACAGTTAATAGCAAATAAGATAATGAGCTGGAGAGCAATTTATTTCCATCAGATTCTAGCCTCAAATTAAATGTCTTTCAAAGGTTGTTTGTAAAGGAGGAAATGAGACATTGGCATCTCATTAGCCTTCACATGCATTGGAATGTGCAGGTTTATTTACTGTAGCAAAGAGCCAAACAGGAAAATGTATTAATTAAGAACCACAGGCAACACCTATTCATTTAAAAATGCTGCGCTACATTAGTTCTCTGTTATAAGTCTCATAAAAAAAAAGAAAAAAAAAAAAGATGTTATTAGAAATTTGGTAAAATTACATGATAATAAAACTAACTTACATGAAAATCTGTCTAGTTGAGTCTTTTTAAAAGTAAAGATAAAGCAGCACCTCTCACTTTAAAACCTTAATAATTTAAGTGTAAACCTTTTCTGCTTATAGAAATAATGAAAAATAAGAGAAAAGAACCAAAAAAATTTAAAACAATGTACTATATGTCATTTTTGGAAACCAGGACCACCAAATGTTACGTAAGAAAGATTGTTGGGATTGTTTTTAAAAAAATTTTTTGGAATATGTAAAAGTTTGAATTTTAAACCTAAAACCAGAAGAATAACATCATATTTCTGAATCTTGTACAACAGTATCCAATATTATACTACCTTAAAGCACAGAGTTTGGCCACTGCAGTCATATTCATTACTACAATGTGCTTTCCTTTGAGGCTCCCTAGTCAGATTAACAGTAAATAACAATCTTTTGGCAGGTATTAAACATTCTTTTCTGTATTAATTTATGTAGGGTTTGATGCAATATATTAATCTTAAATGTATTTTTTTTATCATTGATTGAAATTGGAAAAATCCTCATAATAGAGAGAATTGCTTTAAAAACACCCTGTGGTTAATTAATCTGTGTGTTTAATTTTGTGATTGAGTAACTGAAATAAACTAACTTTTCAATTATATTATAGTTTATTGAATAGGTTTGTAATGGAAAATCGGAGGTGAGAAGTACAGTTTCCAATTGGCCACAATTTGTGTATGAAACATGTGGTCAGATGGGACCAATGAAAACCACACATTACACAGAAAACTGCTCAACACAATGAGACATGATGACTGCAGCATCATTTTGTGAGGATTTATTTCGTCAGCATTTACAGGGAAAATAATCAGAGTTGATGGGAGGATGCGTGAAGCTAAGCACAGGATAAGCCTGGAAGAAAAAAATGTTAGAGGCTGAAAGTGGTTTGTATCAAGCAATTGGTTTAGATCAAATCATAATTACGTGTTAGAAGGGCCTAATGAAAGCCTGGTCCTTTTTCATATAAGTAGATGTGAATTATGTGGCTATATATTAACACTTTTTAATAAAATATAACAAATACATTCCAAGATCTGACAAAGGATGATTACTTTAACTTTACAATT